GACACTACAGGAGTGGTCTTCGTGCGTCGACCAGCTGATCGACAGCGAGATGACATGGGACGACTTCAGTAATTTGGTGGCTGGTGAGTTGGATTTGGAGTTGGATCAGCGGGTCAACAGCATGGGTCCAGGTATGTGTATTCATGACATTACCACTTCTGTGGGACTGCATATTATACCCATACCCTGATTCACAGATGGTGTGGAGCCTGACCACCCGTTTTCCAAGTTGGATGCAACGATTGCCGTCCGAGCTTACTTGCGCAACTCGACAAGCAACCCTGAGAGCGCTGCCGAAATATTTTTTCAGAGCATCCATCGATTTTCTGATCCAGATGCAAAGGATCTCAGGCTGTGGGATTGGGTTCTGGAACATGCCCAAACCTAAAACAGTGACTACAGTGCTGCAGGCAGCACACAATCGCTGTAAGAAACCATTGAATAGGAAACAAGGTACGGTTTTGTGTGCTGTATATACCCACACCTCACATTGTGTACATTATTTATCTTAGGTGATGAGGGTGCTAGGCTGACCATCATGGATCATACAGATGATGCAAACCCATGCTCACTCAGCCCTTCATCCAACACACAACCAACACCTCCTACTAAAGCTATGCAATCCAACATGGAAGTAGATGATGCAGAGGCAGCATCAAGGGGAAATAGCCCTGATGATATTGTTATGGACAGTGAACAGTCTGCAGAACAACGATCTCTGATTCCTGTGTCAAAGACAATGATTCCTAGCCCACATGGCCTGGTTCATTCGGACGCTGGCGAGAACCAGGGGGATCAGCTAACAACACCACAGAACACCCCTCCTGAACATACTTCTGATGACATCTTTGAATATCAGGATTGTTCGCAATTCGCTGCAAAACACCAGGAGATGGCAGGTCAACAGGGAACAACAGCCTCATCCAGAATCACTATTCTCCTTGTTGGACGTACAACAGGCCATCCATGCTTTCAGTCAGGATGGCATCTCGTTCAATGAGTTCCGCAACATATTGTTGACTGACATCCCCCCCATCCATGTAAACTCAGTACAAGAAACCCTGCGGACACTTCATCCTGGTCGTGCAGACATGAAGACGCTCCATGCCTTACTCAAGGCGTTGCATGGAGAAGAGGCATTGACAACAAGGGTTGACGTTGCCTCCATGGATTGATTATCATATGTTCATGATTTACCTGTTGGATAGGATACTGGTTTTTGTGTGTTTGTAACCTCTGTATCATCTTGAAATGACCTATAGTTCTTGTGGTAGTGTGATTAAAAACGGAGCTGATGGTTTATGTTTGATGTTGTACATGTATCTGACAATTCTTTTGGGTGCTACCTTTCTAACATATATAAGCACGGCATTTCCGGAGGCCTTCCACTTCTTAACCGCGGGCTCAATCGCACTTGTGTCATGCTATGCACGTGCTTTCATTGCGCACACACCGTGCGCACTGCAGGAGATCTGGAAACCCATAATTTATGAGATGTTTGTCCATAAAATTGGCGAAGATACTTCAGGCGGTCGACAGAGCCTGCTTATCTCGCTGACTCATACCAGTATGCTGATCTCGATTTTCCGCAAAGGGTGGTGAAAACGAAAGTTGTGGAGCAGATCAAGGGCTGTCGATCCGTTCCACATATCAGGCTTCCTCCCGCATCAATGCGATGAGGTCCTCAATATGGGTACAAAGTCAAGGTGATAAATCAGAGTAAGATGGAAGTAAATATTCGCAAAGCTTGCAGGCGTTGGCGTTGCTGAGGAAGGGCAGGTCCACAGACGCAGCAAGTCAAGAACATCATAAGTGAACGAAAATCATTGAAAAGTTTGAAACCATACAACCAGTTTGCTGGAGCACATATTATGTGTTGTATATAACTTTCCGACCGTGCAATTCTAAACTTCTGATTGAACATTGAACAGGATAACATGGCAAACATGCTGATGTTTTGAGTCAACACTTATCGCCAGTCCAGCTGGGCCAGCCGTAACTATATAGAAGATCGACGGGGCATGCATGAGATCCCGAATCGTGATGCTGACTAATGGGCACAAATGTCCTGCGTCAGTTTGACATGAAATATCATGTCATTTCAGCTTTCAATGATCGCGATAACACGTACCTGTGTTTTCCAAACCTATTATGGAATTATCACTCCTGAGGACCATGTCTGTTGAAAAAAAGATATATTGACGATGTGGGACTTGGATGTGGTGTGAATATAAGTGTATCGCAGCTGAATCATCTTGTATGGTAACCCAAACTTCATCAGGTCCATACTAGCTGGATATTCCAATTCAAAGTATGTTGTCTCAGAATTCGGCCTGATACATCATACGAAGGGCTGAAATTGTTGGTAAATTGACCAAGTGTGTTCAGTGCAACGTTTCGGCATTAGTCTAAGGCCTCGGCCTGATGTCTCGCAATCATTCAGCCGCTGGCCGACATATAAGATGGCACAACTCAGCATTTGGAGAGTAGAAGGTCCAGCTGAGATTCATGAGACTGTTGAACATAGACAGCTGTACAATATATTGAAGGCGCTACAACTGCTTATTCCCTAGATGACTTTCGATGCACTGCACCTCTTCCCTTAGTCGTTTGCACATGAGTTCGGCGTTCTTGCTAGCTTTCCTCATGAATTCCAGACACTCTTTCACCTCCTCCACGACAGTCTGGTTCAATTGTTGTCCCCCTGCCACATCAATCTTCCTCTTCTTTCTTGCACCCACATCCCAGTCGTTCGGCCGTTTTCCCAGCAGTATGGCGTCACTGGAAGAATCGCATGAACTTCTATGCGAATGCGGACTCGGACGACCTTCATCTCGGACGACTGTGACATGCGTCGCTTTGAGTATATCAAGAACGGATAATAGCAAGTAAAGAAACATACAATTGCTGCATTGCTCCTGGCAGGCGACACAAGCCTCATCCGGCCGGCTCACGCAGTCTTGCTTCATGGTAATGCAACGAGAACACCCTAGGTGCTGTTGTGCAACGAGCCCCGTCTGTATATGGGGCAGTGTCTGATTTTCTGAGCCATTGCATGAGGTTAGCCAATGGTGCAACAGACTCAAATGACACAGTTACCTGTTAGGAGGGAACAATATTGCTGGCATCGTTGACATGCATGTCCAGCCAAATATTCGTGGCATGCCGTGTCATCGGCCAAACAGGAGTCGCAGCCAGGGTCTCTCACCGTGCAGGCTTGGGATGGCTGCATCTTCGAATGTTGAGCTAAGTGAACGACGGATCGTCGTGGCAGAGTTAAATGAATGATTGTGATTCATCGGCGTGAGTAAGTAATTTATAGTGGAGTTGAAATGTGGATGTGGACGTAGTGGTAATTCTAGATGAAGTGGACCGTCTGGCTGTCGGCCGAGATGAATTCTGCCGCCACTTTACCCAGGGGTCATAATGTCATGCTGAATGTGAGTTTTCTGGTAATTTCTGATGAAGCGGACCGCCGATCGCTTGGCCGAGAGATATTCAGGCACAACATGCATCAGGAGTCAATAAAATATCATTTGCCCTTTGTTATTTCAGCGTTGTAAGATATTCCCATTGAAAAATGTCTGACCATACACTCATGGTGTCGCGTTGCATGCAAAGGTCTATGTAATCGACCGCGCCGTGTGACCGAAATAACATTTGGCCTCAGTGCACAAGGGAGTCCATGAGGTAGAAGGTAACATTGAGTATTATATCTAGCTATGCGCATGAGCTGATGTATCTACTAGCCCGCAAGGCATCCGTCGAGACTGTTCAAAACTTGCTCCAATACTCTGCAGACTTTCTCGAACTCGCGGTGCATCTCCTCCATTTGGGCCAGACGCTGCTTGACACCCAGCAACTTTGCCTCAAGTCTTACCCGTTTCTTCTCGTCCAGCGGCTTATCGACCCAGTCAGATGGCTTTTCATCCAAAGCGGTAACTTCGTCAGAGGAGTCAAAAGATTGAGACTCTGATTCAGATTCGCCGGCAGAGTCTGATTCAGATTCGTCGGAAGAGAGTGGAACTTGAGCCTGTTTTTTAACTGAGCCATGTATTTGTGAGCGTAGAATACGGACTCGAGGAAATAAGGACTTACCATGGCTACACCTCTGCTGGCAGGCTATACACGCTTCGCCCATTCTAGAACGACACCTTATCTTCATTCCTGTGCAGTATACACAGCCTGGAATTGTCGGTCCAACCGCCCTCATGATACCCAGAAACCGTGGCATAGGGGCTACAATTTGTCATTAGCGTTAAGGGATGTGACGTCAGATGTGCAGAAATCACTTACCTGGCAACAACGAACACTGTTCGCAGCATGTCTGACATGATGATACAGAACAATATGCATAGCATGGCTGGTTCTTAGCCACGCATGAATCACACCCAGGTTCTCTCAACTTTAATGGTGAGTATGGCATGGATGAGCGTTAGGAAGGGATGCGTTGAAATGTTGCGCGACAGAGATGGAAAATGAAAGGATCGACCTTGGACGTTTTAATAGTGCAAGACCACACTAAATGTCCACTCAGCGGTTGTTCCATAATAGGTGGATTGCGATCGGTCAGCCACAGATGCCCGGGAGGTACAATGTCGCAAGATTTTAGATTATGTAAGATGCTGATATTCACAATTGTATGTTTAAGTGATTCAGCTGGTGGGCAGAAAATCAATCGGATACGTCTGGGAGGGAACATATAATGGAGTGTCAGCATCTATTTCTATTTCTCTCAATGCTGGGTGCACATTGCCGCTCCTGTAATACGAAGTATTAAGATTCAGCATTATTTGGTATTTTGGGAGCTTGATGCAGACTTGAATGCATCTCAGGATATACCTTATGTTTCTGAGACGATCTGCACGAGGCGTGAAGGTGAATTCTATTTCATGGACGGTCTATCACATAAAAAGGAGGTTTCGGCGCAATGACTGGGCCTAGTTAAGACGGAGGTCTGAGGATCTTATAGATACACTGCAAAAATGTTGTGAGCAGGTTTCGAACCGACTGCAAGAGAAACAGATTTTGATTCTGTTGTGGAAACCACTTGGTTAAGACCGGTTAAGATGAGCCACCGAGTGATCCATCCACGAGTGAATGTCAAAGTGTGTTTCGATGGAAAAAAACCTTGTCCTCGGCAGGTTTCGAGCTTGCGCAAGTCCAACACAAACATATTTCGATTCTGTTGTAGTAGCCACTTTAGCCAGGTGAGGTTGAAATGAAGCTCCGAGAAAATGTCCATCAGTGTTCGGATAGAAAAAACCTCGTCGGCAGGTTTTGAACCTGCACTGGTACGGTCCAAGAGACAGATTTCGATTCTGTGATAGTAACCACTTTAGCCAAGGCGAACTTGAGATTAACCTCTGAGGAACTGTCCATCAGCGAATCTTCAAGTCGTGTTCGGATGGAAAAAAACCTCGCCGGCAGGTTTTGAACCTGCAACGGTAGTGTCAGTCCAAGAGACAGGTTTCGATTCCGTTGCAGTAATCACTTTGTCCGGAGCGAGGTTGAGATGAGCCTCTGCCAGTGAGGAACCGTCCGTCAGTGAATCTTCAAGTCGTGTTCGGATGGGGAAAAAATCATTGGCAGGTTTTGAACCTGCACTGGTACAGTTCAAGAGACAAATTTTGATTATGCCGCAGTAACCACTTCAGTCAGGGCGAAGTTGCTCCGAGGTGTTCCGATAGAGAAAAAAACCTGTTGTTCGGCAGGTTTCGAACCTGCGAAGTACAAGAGAATTGGATTCTGTTGCGTTAACCACTTGGGCCAGGACGCTTGCTGGCCAAGTTTAGACGAACCTCCGAAGAACAGTCCATGTCGACAGGTTTCGAATCCGCACCACAAGGGAGCAAATTTATAATCTGTTCTGGTGCCAAACGGTTGGCTATGACTACTCAAGACAGGCCTTGAAAAATCCATCCATGAGTGAATATTCAAGGCGTGGTAAAAGGAGAAGATTGTTTGTCCTGTCACGTTTGGTTTAGCTGCTGAGACTGGTCAAGATTACTCATTCGGTTACCAGTCGAAAAGCATCATGCATTGACGGTAGAATCACATGGGACTAGCAATCATTTACCAAAAATGAAATAAAGACTAGTTTGCGTTTAATTCGATGGTCATATTGAGAAAACATGCCAGGAATAAGCAAGTGGGGGGCTGGCGCCGGCGCCGTCATGATATGACACAGTAACTGCAGCACAAAAGGCCGGACAGCCGCGCTATACTATGGAACCTACAGGTTGTCGGTCGCATTGATCTCTTTATAGGTGTACGGAGTCCTCAACTTGTCACTGCCATTTTTGGCCCATGCCATGGGTGGTAACAGAGCGCGGCCGTCCGGCTTTCCATACCAAAGTCACCTTATCTCACCTGTAGTTCCCACGTACATGATTTAATTTACAATTTAGTGGAATGTGCGCCATCAAAATTTTAAGGGCCAGAGTTCAATTTTCAAGGACCAGGGTTCAAATCGGAAGTGTTAGTCCCTCCGGCGCTCGACATGCAACAACACTCGTCTCAGGCCCCCTTCCATTTTCCTGACTCATTTTCAACCCTTTGGCACAAGTCCTGGTTTTGCACAGAACTCCTGTGCCAGATTCGAACCGTCTGCTTTCGGTGCTGCGCCTTTGATCATCGATTGGGAAGGCCCTTCAATATACACTCATCCTTCCAACCTTCACCATCTTAAAAATCAACTCGGCCGCTCACAGCACTATGCTGGCCAGGACCGCCCGGGACAAATTGTATGGTAGTCTTGAGGATGGGAATTTTGTCCCAGATAGCATGGTTCCTGGATTAAGCCCCGCTGCCCCTCCTCGGAGCAGACAAAACGGCGCCATGCTCTCTGACATAGATGATTCTATGCAGTTTGGTGGTCAACGCGATCCTCCTCAAATGTACCAAGGATTACACCAGGCGAGCATGAGCCGCAAGGGAGGCATACCTCTTCAATCATCCAAATTTAGTGGTGACCCTTCACCGAATCCCATGTGGCCTTCAGCTCAACCCTTGCCACCTGGTTTGGCTAACTTAGGTGGGCGACCGCATGGGCCTGCTCAATTCGTGAATTTGGCAACGGCTATCCCCGTTGGGCTACGCGGTACGGTGCATGGCAATGTCGCCCTCCAACAGCGTTCAACGACTTCCCTCCAACAGTGCTTAACAACTTCCCTCCGCGAGGTGTTGTCCTCACCGTCCCCGTGGAGGTGAGTATACCGTACTCAACTGAAACTAGCTATTAGGTTATGGTATGTTTCTGTTGATGCAATGGAGTTGTTCTGTATATTATTGCTTGGCGGAAGGTAAGTCACGGGCATATGCATACATTCTCGTACCTTTACGCGTACCCATTTTGCATTTGCAGTCATTCTCATCTGGCGTCTTTATGCCATATACCACCGATCTAAGCCCCTACTTTATGTTCTGCTGGGGTTGTTCCTACCTATCATCGCGATCTATATAGCGATGGATATATTTTTATGGAGTCGACCCTCAGCAATCTCAGGTGAATTTCTACTTTGATCGAATTCTGTGCAAGCTGATGCGTTGGCCTATAGTGCAAGATATAGCAATAACTCCCGACATCAAGTACTGCACGGCTGTCTTCCACATCGGTCCTATGCCTGCGATATATGCTTCTATCCCCGTCATATGCCATGATGTTTTCCTGGTTATTATCGCCTTTATAGCACCTGAGAGAACGGAAGGAACTTACAATGAAACCTAACTCCTATGTAGTCATGTTCGTCCGATATCATGTCATATACTTTGTCCTGTAAGCTCCCCTTCGTTTTTTGTGTTCTCTGAAAGCATTCATTGAAACATGCTAGGAATTTAGCAAGTCAAATGATCATGGCGATGTTGTGGGCTGACCTTTCGGTATGATCTCCTGTGATTCTAGAAAGATCTGCTCCAATCTAGGCATGCACAGACGGTGGCGCTGTTTTCCTTCCGAATGACACCCCCGTCTCAGCTCTCCACTCCGGTCTCGAGCTCATCACTTCTGTTCCGCCGTCATTGCAGAAACTCATTTATAGAGGAAAGAAAATCCAGCATCGACAGGATGACTCCGATCCAGAACCCACCATCGCCCAAGCAGGTCTTCGCGATGGCCTCAAAGTGCAAATGCTTGGCTCGACGGTAGAAGAACTCGGACAACTGAATGCAGCTGACTCAGCACATCAGAGGCAAGAGCAAATTCTTAGGAAGAGGGTGCTCAAGCCACAGGTAAATGTATGTTCCGACATCCGTTCTTATCATCAAGACTGTCAATCATGATGAGGGGCAAGTAGCTTCGTTCGACAGGGTTATCGTCTACTTCGTCACACCAGTACGGCTTTCACCGTATAGAACCCGCTCACCCATCTGTAGTGACCTGAAACAGCGACCGAGTGTCTCACGACGCTTTCCAAGGACCCTGCAGTCCTACATGTAATGCAGAAGCATCATTTTTCTGTGGGGCTTGCTTACCGAGCTTGCACCACATGAGCATCCTGAACTTCCAGGTCTCAACGTTGGGAGTGGAGCTACCATCAAGCTGCGAATTCGGCTTGACACATATGATGGTTTTCGTCCGTACTTGGAGGTTAGACGCGTATTGTGCCATGAACTGGCACACAATGTATGGGGCGAACACAACAATGATGTTAGCCACAACCTTCGTCTTCCAATATCCCGTTTACATGACAGTTGTATATTCCTGGTTTAAAGAGTTGAATTCTCAGCTCAATCGTGAGGTTGCAGGGTTTGAGGCCGCAGCAGGAGCAGGAACACATCAACTTTCTGGTTTACGAGACACCTATCAGCTGTCATCGGACGAAGAAGTAGAGGCACTTATTCACGTTCTAGGGGGCACAGGACTTCGAGGCAACGATAACACGGAAGACCGTCGGAACATGGCACTGGAAGCTGCCACAGCGCAACTTAGGAACGAAGAGGAGCTAGAACGGAGCTGCGGGGCTTCTGGGTCGCAGAAAAACAATCTAGATAACAGCTGTGTCGATGGTGACCGCTGGCTACATTTATCTTACGGATGATCGGGCTAGGGATGGTTGTTTGAATCTGAGGATGCTTTACTTCTGGGCTAGTAAGCTTGCAAATACTCTCGAAACTTCTTATCAGAGGATGATGGTCTTACAATATTGGCGCGCAATGAATTACAAAGCGGTCAGGTATTCTCCTTTGCAAACATTTGCTCGCGTAACCTATGGAGTTGGCCCGACGCGGTTTTGCATGTATGGACAATTGTTATGTGGTCCTTCAGAAGCTTGTTGGAGCGTCTGGCGACGCAACGATTTCATTACTAGTATATCGCAAGATCCTGCAACTGCACGCGCCGCCAAAATGCTCTCAACTTCTGGTGTGTTTGGATCCCTACTACAGTAAATTCTGATTGACTGCAACAGTCTGCCGCCCAAAGGAGTGAAGGGTAGCTATGCTGACCAAATTTCCAGAATTCATCTGACGAAGGCATTTGCCGAACGACTTGGATCACTATTAGCCGTATTACTACCTGTCGTCGTTTGTTGAACCTATCCCGCGACGCCTACAACGTACAGTTGGCCTCGTCTACACAGTCTGAATTATCATACATGAGCGTTGCAACCCTGCTATTGCCTTTAAACCCTGTCATTTCACTTTGATTGTTCCACAGTATACGAGTCCACAATCTCCCCCATCGTGCTAGTCACCGTCGTGATTGACGGTGGCATTATTCAGCCACCATTATCACACTGTGGGCGCTCTAAGACAATTCACAGATCGGTGTGTCCACGTCTCTTAAGTATGTCCATCGAATTGCTCCTTCACACTATCGTCCCCTTCACATCATTCTGATCATTACCCTGTCGCCAGGCAAGGTAACTCAAAAGTTGATCACTCCTTCTTTGGAACCCCATTCCAGCTTCATCCAACGCGCCCCATCATAATGCCTACGAATCTTTACCCAGATATTCCCCTTCTTCAAGATCCTGACTCAGAGTCGGCGGACGCTACGGCCTCCGCTCACACCTTCACCTTCGCATATCCTGTTCCAGAAGAGGTGTCTCGAATTCTTCCGGCGTCAGGCACCTATGGCCCCTTTCGTGTTTGGCGTGTTTTGGGCGAGGGCGGGTACGCTACGGCAATGGGAGCCCAAGACATAGCGACAGATCGCTTGTTGTGTCTCAAGGTCTTCCGGAAGGACCGTCTTAAGTACATGTCTACAAAAAAAGTTCTTTTGAATGAACTCGAAGTGTACAAGCGCATTTCATTAGCGATGCCGTGTCCCGCAATTAGATTTGTTATGGGGCTTGAAATGTCGTTTCAGACAAAGGATCGAATATGTTTGGTCATGGTGTGTTCTTCTCCCCCTGCGAGCCGTTTGAGTTGTTTGACTCCATTGGACGTTTCTAGGACCCTCGCGGCCGGCGACCTCTACAATGTTATGAGAGATCGCTCTTCATATTGTGTCCAGCATCGTCGCAGGTGGACTACCCAAATAGTAAGTAGTTGACTTTCCTGATTTTCGATGTCTCATACCTCCGACTTTGAAGGCCGCTCGGGATGAATGCTCTACATGAGATAGGGATCATTCATCGGGATATCAAGCCGAAAACATCCTGATCGATGTTCGAGAGAACGCTAGGGTCACTGATTTTGGCCTGTGTTATGTACACACAGACAAGGGGCCCCTGGAGCAAACGGTGGGGGTATACAAGAGGTACAGTGGGAACGACCCCACTGCATGGCACCGGAGGTCTTGCGCAACAGAACAGACCCCAGTTCTATGGGGTACGGAATACCCGTAGACTGGTGGGGGCTAGGCTGTATCGTCTACCAGCTTGTTTCAAAGACACATGAGGTATGTTTCACATCTTCCTTTTCTGCTATCTTACTGATACCATCTTGTCAGGCGTTATTTTCAACGGAGGATGATATATCATTCTATGTTTCTTGGTTCTCCAACACTGACAGAGCATCCAAGCGGTTCCCTGCCTTCGAAGGACTCCATGAAGTTATCGCCGATTTACTTTCAGGGGTAAGTTTTGTATGGTTCATTCTCTAACTCTATCATTTATCTTTACTGCTGTAGCTGCTACATTGTGACCCATACTCACGGTATGGATTCCATGAGCTCATAGAGCATAAAGCGTTTTTGCTCCAATGTGGCATGTCAGAATTCTCCGGCGCATACGCTCGTGGTAGGTTAGATCTGATTTTGTCTGAGAACATTGTGCTTAAAACAAATTGTAGCGCTTGAACGCGAAGAACTGCCAGATTCGCTGCCAGATTTACGATGTGGATTGGACATTTACGCAGCACCGGTTTGGTTTCGCTTACCTTACTGCGAGAAGCCGCGCGTTTCAAATGTGGATTGGGTCAAGCCGGCGCTTCTTTCTACGGACTTATGATGCCCTCCAGTTGGTGTTTGTTTCGTTGCGATAGTCTCCGTTTGAAACACTTCATTCCACTGTGTCTCCTTCCTTGTTACAAACAATCTTACAATGTACCTCAGTCTAGATACCTTGGCCCATTGATTCTTTTTGTTGGGTTCACATGCATCTTTCACATTTTAAATTCACTGTTTGTTCCATGTCTCCAGGCGGTGGTGGAATCAGGATGGATTTTTGAAAGTTTGACTTTATAGTGGTGGCTGAATAATAAAATTCGGTGGATTGAGTACCCTAATATGTATTGCAAATCTTAGAGTAAGATGCTCGAGTGCGATGTATGTTTGAACATGGCCAAAGTACTGATGAGTTCTCTGCACCAACTAACATTCTCTCCTCCTCTTGTTCCAGTTACAATTATGATCACAACGCGAGGCGCCTTCCACAGAATCAACCCGACATGAACACTCCACTTGCCAGCGAGCTCGTGGTCCTCTTGGTCAGACTTATTCCTAAACGATTTATTTATCATAGACGCTGCGTGCTCAAAACCGAAGAAAATGGGTATGCCACATAGGAGACTCGTGGTACAAACATGAAATTGAAATTTGAGGGGCTCATCTTGACAGTAATCCTCACCGGAATCAGACGCCCTGAAATACATTCTCCTCATTGATCCGGTCCTCAACGAGCCAAAACAAAACATCGATGAGGTCTGGGTACGAAATCTACCACTTTCGTTGAGCGTCGCTGTATTATTAATGTATTCCAGCTCACCTTGTTCCAAGTTACACGGACAATTCACTCGCAGTGTGATTTAGGCTGTACCTAAGGAGGCATGCAGACTAGAGTGCACAGGATTTTGTCTCGGGAGATGAGGATGAGTACCTCTGCTACATCGCTACATGGCTTCGCTTCTCTTTTCTTCGCCCAACCTTAACGAGGATCGTGGGGGTGTACCTTTGTTTCTCTGCTGGGAATGCATAAAGGTGAGGGTTACATGGAATATACAGGTGGTCAAATTCTAATCCGAGCGCAGTTCAGTTTGATGCGGTCGATATTATCCAATTCATGTGTAGACTCGTCGCAGGTCTCTGCGTGGTAAGTGGATGTGTAAATGTTACCAGGCTGAGGTATGTAGCCAGCTGTTCCAAAGTTCCTGATGGTTTGTGTTCGTTGGCGCCACGAATACTAGCATGCCTCTCGACATTTTTGAAGATGTTCAAACCAACTGGTCAGTAATGCTAATCTGCAAACTGTAACCCGGCTGGCCTCAACATGAGTTTCATAGCCTACGACCTCAAGACCTCGACGCACAATTCGAGCCCTGTTCTCTCATCCACATACACTCTATCTTATCGTTGCTGATATTGGCACCGGTGAAGACATTCATCAATGGTGGTGTTTATTAAGTGATGTCGGCTGGTATTATGACAAATTGGCATTTGCCCTACGGACTACGGTGAACCCTAGTAATTCTTAGACATCAGCAGCAGCGCACCTAACTAATATATCTCCAATTAAAATGACTACGTGATTTCAAACATCAGCAACTGAACACAGGCACAGCATACCTAACAATACCACGCACGATCAACTGTTCGAAGAATACAGGAGCAATGAATCACCCTCGGAGAGCATGGACAACGTCCCTCTATGTTCGCTGCTCACCTGTAGCATCATAACCCCCCTTGCAAATCAAGCCTTTCCTTCATTTCTCCACATCTGTATGTTCTCTCTCATGCCCTTGTTTTATTAAGATTTGAAGAAGAGACATAAATCATGGGATGTCAATTACTGATTGTCTCATCAGTTCCACAATCCTTGTACAGCCGACCATCTAATTGGTCCTATGAAACTGTGGTATCAATTTCATTTCGAAGTGTGGTTTTTCAATCGAAAATCAGTTTGTATATGGTCTGAACTAGTCTCTAATAAAAATACAATGGTGGTATATGTGGACGAGTTATTGTGTGTGGTCATCTATGTGCGTGCGAGTATTTGTGCTGTGGAACGTTGTGACACAGATAAAAGTCCTATAGAAATTACTCTCGTCTCTCGTTCCTTAACCTACATTATCTACTCCTGTCATTCCCTATGTACAAGATTGGCAAAAAACATCCTGTGAGCAGCCCTGCTTCTCCGATGACTCCCAATCACAGCAAAAAAGAAGAATCGGTACGTTTTTACAATGATTCATTGTACAAAATGTGACATAAATTTCAGGATGTTTCACCCTCGCACTCCAATAGCCCTAAATCAGACGACATCGAGTACCAATATCGTATGCGGGACACGGTCGAAGCCTTGAGGCAGCAAAACAGTGACTTGAGGGAGCAAAACAAACACCTCAGGTGGAAAAACAGAAGCTTGGAAGCGCTCGTCAACCGGCTCAAGCGTGAACTTGCTGAATGCGAGCTGGATCTTGAAGGTCACAGAGACCGTATTCAAGACCTGGAGAAAGAGGTACAACGCCATAAGGATCTTGATCCATTTGCGGCTCAAGTTGCCGAGCTTCAAGACGATATACGAAAGCATGAGGAGGGTGCGCGGTTAAAGCGAGAGGCAATCGGGGAAATTATGAAGATGGTCAGACATTTTCAGTAGGTGTAAATTAGCACATGGATTACATAGGACAAAGCAGGGTCATCAAATGTGATCATTAGGTGACTAGTCTCCAACTTGCAAATAATAAGTCAAAGTATAGGCATTGACACATGTCCGCGTCATATTTTCGCCATACTGAACTAGCACTGAAATATCTGAGGCACCCACTACAATGCCATATCTAAACTTCGACACCAAGCTCGAGATATATCAGCCATATTCTCTCTCCATTTTATTTAAGCCCTTTAGCATCCACATAATGTTCCTGGACCACAGGACTCCTGGTCAGTGGTATGTAGGCTACATAGCCTTGCATAGGTATGTATTAACCCACACATGTATAACTAAGCAAATATCGCAACATTAGGGGACCTCAAGTTCACATTTTGAAAGATGAGATTGCTCAGCGCGGGTCGCAATATCCCTGCATATTGTATGGTGGCCACGCATATAGAAAAAATGAACGAACGAACTAACGAACTAGTGAGATAATTAATATTTTGGAAAGTTTGTTTCTGTGACGTGGAAATCGGCATGCGTTCTCGCTAGAAAGTTCAAACTGTTACAAAAACGATTGATCAAATATGAGCCTGGTTTCGATTGGCAATTCTCACCTGATCGAATAACCGCCTGGTTGTCGACGAAGATGGATATGGGGAAGGAAATGTCTTCTTTAGTGGCGATAAGTTCCGCTACCAGCTTCAGTCCCACTGCTTCCGCCTCGAATACAGTATGTTCGTCCTTGGTTCCTAGACGAAACAAAGCTTGTGGACGCTAGAGTAGAGTCTCAGCGAGTGATTGGACAACGCTAATATTAGTGAGTACCTAGAGTAGAGTCTAGGTACGAGTCAGTACATGTGACTACTATGAACTACAAGATGACATACCTCAGCGAGTGATTGGACAACGCTGAGGTAATGTCGCAAGAAGATGCGTCCAAAGAGTATCATAGTTACGTAACGATCAGTGGCTTGTGATGGTGCGTGAAGGGAGCTGTACAGTACATACGATAAGGTGACGAAGGTGACTAAATAGGCATTGATGCCAACAAAGCTTACGTGGGCGACGACCTGCTCTGAACATGAGTGGCTATGCCCACTGTTGCTCTGTGGCAGATGTTCTGCAGGAGTAGGGGGGTTGGGAGCAAGTTAGCATGTGCCTCTAGTACATCGGTGGCAGTGGTCCGTAGGGCTCCAGTGATTGCGAATGCGGCAATGCGTTGGACGGATGAGAGTCGCTTGGCTACTTTGACGGAGCCACGTACGATGTTTTACACAGGGTTAATGATTTGCATCTAGCTCTATATAATTCTCAGTACATACTGCAGCTCACAGATTTACTAGTAGCATCATAATCAATCACTGAAATCTAATGTAGGGCTGTAAATTTGGCTGGTGTGACCATCTGTTACTAACCGTGACATGGGTGACTCAAGAAATGGAGGTCCATCACAAACTGATGGTACATGTATAAAGTATTGTTCTATGCAGTAAACCTAGATGCTCTCATTACACCCGTTCCTCAACGCATGACCCCTGCTCGTCCATGTAGTGCCTGGCCAGACTCAGCATAAGATTTACAGGGGAGTGACGTTCTATTGATGGAAATCGCAGCAGCAAGGCTGTAGAGCTCTCTCCTACAGTTCCCGACTTCCCCTTGGCAGGAGAAGCCAAGTCAGCACCCATATATCTGAATGACTTCAGATCACACACAACACCCTTGCCAGGGAGGTATTCCAATATTTAGCGCCATATCGGTTGCCTGGAAAAATGGAACTACATGACTTCAGCGTTCATCGTGCATCGCCACCTCACTAAAAAAAATCGGACTTGTCTGAATATATGAATGTAAGAGTGCTGTGTTACCTGCCCAGGCCTGTCAGCCTGGGATTGCCTCTCCTTGACAAGAGAAGGTGATGTTGGGTGCAGATGAGTCTGGATGACTCCAGAATACTCCCCCTTTGACAGGGAGGTTGTCCACAATACTGCACCGCTGGATGCAGCGCAATATGGTGGGTTGGAGAGGTTGAACATTGAGCAAACAATTAAGTACACAAATCCTCAAGCCAAACACACCGGCACACAACCACACATGAAAATTGTGGCGATCACAGCACCAAACACAGCCAAATACGCCAATGTCACCTGTAGTTCCCACGTACCTGATTTAATTAGATATGACAGTGAACAGCCTAAATCGAAGTGTTTCTGGTTGTTACCAGCCAAATGAATGAATGCTGCATACCAAGAACTCCTTTGGCAGGTTCGAAGCGGCTGCTTCCCTTGCTGTGCCTTTGAACATAGATTGGAAGGGCCCTTCACTATACACTGGACTCCCGCCTCTCGACAATCTGCTTGATGGACCTTCTGGTGCATTGAATCATACAGTTTCGAGCGACCGTCTTGCGACATTACCTCAGCGTTGTCCAATCACTCGCTGAGGTATGTCATCTTGTAGTTCATAGTAGTCACATGTACTGACTCGTACCTAGACTCTACTCTAGGTACTCACTAATATTAGCGTTGTCCAATCACTCGCTGAGACTCTACTCTAGCGTCCACAAGCTTTGTTTCGTCTAGGAACCAAGGACGAACATACTGTATTCGAGGCGGAAGCAGTGGGACTGAAGCTGGTAGCGGAACTTATCGCCACTAAAGAAGACATTTCCTTCCCCATATCCATCTTCGTCGACAACCAGGCGGTTATTCGATCAGGTGAGAATTGCCAATCGAAACCAGGCTCATATTTGATCAATCGTTTTTGTAACAGTTTGAACTTTCTAGCGAGAACGCATGCCGATTTCCACGTCACAGAAACAAACTTTCCAAAATATTAATTATCTCACTAGTTCGTTAGTTCGTTCGTTCATTTTTTCTATATGCGTGGCCACCATACAATATGCAGGGATATTGCGACCCGCGCTGAGCAATCTCATCTTTCAAAATGTGAACTTGAGGTCCCCTAATGTTGCGATATTTGCTTAGTTATACATGTGTGGGTTAATACATACCTATGCAAGGCTATGTAGCCTACATACCACTGACCAGGAGTCCTGTGGTCCAGGAACATTATGTGGATGCTAAAGGGCTTAAATAAAATGGAGAGAGAATATGGCTGATATATCTCGAGCTTGGTGTCGAAGTTTAGATATGGCATTGTAGTGGGTGCCTCAGATATTTCAGTGCTAGTTCAGTATGGCGAAAATATGACGCGGACATGTGTCAATGCCTATACTTTGACTTATTATTTGCAAGTTGGAGACTAGTCACCTAATGATCACATTTGATGACCTGCTTTGTCCTATGTAATCCATGTGCTAATTTACACCTACTGAAAATGTCTGACCATCTTCATAATTTCCCCGATTGCCTCTCGCTTTAACCGCGCACCCTCCTCATGCTTTCGTATATCGTCTTGAAGCTCGGCAACTTGAGCCGCAAATGGATCAAGATCCTTATGGCGTTGTACCTCTTTCTCCAGGTCTTGAATACGGTCTCTGTGACCTTCAAGATCCAGCTCGCATTCAGCAAGTTCACGCTTGAGCCGGTTGACGAGCGCTTCCAAGCTTCTGTTTTTCCACCTGAGGTGTTTGTTTTGCTCCCTCAAGTCACTGTTTTGCTGCCTCAAGGCTTCGACCGTGTCCCGCATACGATATTGGTACTCGATGTCGTCTGATTTAGGGCTATTGGAGTGCGAGGGTGAAACATCCTGAAATTTATGTCACATTTTGTACAATGAATCATTGTAAAAACGTACCGATTCTTCTTTTTTGCTGTGATTGGGAGTCATCGGAGAAGCAGGGCTGCTCACAGGATGTTTTTTGCCAATCTTGTACATAGGGAATGACAGGAGTAGATAATGTAGGTTAAGGAACGAGAGACGAGAGTAATTTCTATAGGACTTTTATCTGTGTCACAACGTTCCACAGCACAAATACTCGCACGCACATAGATGACCACACACAATAACTCGTCCACATATACCACCATTGTATTTTTATTAGAGACTAGTTCAGACCATATACAAACTGATTTTCGATTGAAAAACCACACTTCGAAATGAAATTGATACCACAGTTTCATAGGACCAATTAGATGGTCGGCTGTACAAGGATTGTGGAACTGATGAGACAATCAGTAATTGACATCCCATGATTTATGTCTCTTCTTCAAATCTTAATAAAACAAGGGCATGAGAGAGAACATACAGATGTGGAGAAATGAAGGAAAGGCTTGATTTGCAAGGGGGGTTATGATGCTACAGGTGAGCAGCGAACATAGAGGGACGTTGTCCATGCTCTCCGAGGGTGATTCATTGCTCCTGTATTCTTCGAACAGTTGATCGTGCGTGGTATTGTTAGGTATGCTGTGCCTGTGTTCAGTTGCTGATGTTTGAAATCACGTAGTCATTTTAATTGGAGATATATTAGTTAGGTGCGCTGCTGCTGATGTCTAAGAATTACTAGGGTTCACCGTAGTCCGTAGGGCAAATGCCAATTTGTCATAATACCAGCCGACATCACTTAATAAACACCACCATTGATGAATGTCTTCACCGGTGCCAATATCAGCAACGATAAGATAGAGTGTATGTGGATGAGAGAACAGGGCTCGAATTGTGCGTCGAGGTCTTGAGGTCGTAGGCTATGAAACTCATGTTGAGGCCAGCCGGGTTACAGTTTGCAGATTAGCATTACTGACCAGTTGGTTTGAACATCTTCAAAAATGTCGAGAGGCATGCTAGTATTCGTGGCGCCAACGAACACAAACCATCAGGAACTTTGGAACAGCTGGCTACATACCTCAGCCTGGTAACATTTACACATCCACTTACCACGCAGAGACCTGCGACGAGTCTACACATGAATTGGATAATATCGACCGCATCAAACTGAACTGCGCTCGGATTAGAATTTGACCACCTGTATATTCCATGTAACCCTCACCTTTATGCATTCCCAGCAGAGAAACAAAGGTACACCCCCACGATCCTCGTTAAGGTTGGGCGAAGAAAAAGAGAAGCGAAGCCATTGTAGCGATGTAGCAGAGGTACTCATCCTCATCTCCCGAGACAAAATCCTGTGCACTCTAGTCTGCATGCCTCCTTAGGTACAGCCTAAATCACACTGCGAGTGAATTGTCCGTGTAACTTGGAACAAGGTGAGCTGGAATACATTAATAATACAGCGACGCTCAACGAAAGTGGTAGATTTCGTACCCAGACCTCATCGATGTTTTTGTTTTGGCTCGTTGAGGACCGGATCAATGAGGAGAATGTATTTCAGGGCGTCTGATTCCGGTGAGGATTACTGTCAAGATGAGCCCCTCAAATTTCAATTTCATGTTTGTACCACGAGTCTCCTATGTGGCATACCCATTTTCTTCGGTTTTGAGCACGCAGCGTCTATGATAAATAAATCGTTTAGGAATAAGTCTGACCAAGAGGACCACGAGCTCGCTGGCAAGTGGAGTGTTCATGTCGGGTTGATTCTGTGGAAGGCGCCTCGCGTTGTGATCATAATTGTAACTGGAACAAGAGGAGGAGAGAATGTTAGTTGGTGCAGAGAACTCATCAGTACTTTGGCCATGTTCAAACATACATCGCACTCGAGCATCTTACTCTAAGATTTGCAATACATATTAGGGTACTCAATCCACCGAATTTTATTATTCAGCCACCACTATAAAGTCAAACTTTCAAAAATCCATCCTGATTCCACCACCGCCTGGAGACATGGAACAAACAGTGAATTTAAAATGTGAAAGATGCATGTGAACCCAACAAAAAGAATCAATGGGCCAAGGTATCTAGACTGAGGTACATTGTAAGATTGTTTGTAACAAGGAAGGAGACACAGTGGAATGAAGTGTTTCAAACGGAGACTATCGCAACGAAACAAACACCAACTGGAGGGCATCATAAGTCCGTAGAAAGAAGCGCCGGCTTGACCCAATCCACATTTGAAACGCGCGGCTTCTCGCAGTAAGGTAAGCGAAACCAAACCGGTGCTGCGTAAATGTCCAATCCACATCGTAAATCTGGCAGCGAATCTGGCAGTTCTTCGCGTTCAAGCGCTACAATTGTTTTAAGCACAATGTTCTCAGACAAATCAGATCTAACCTACCACGAGCGTATGCGCCGGAGAATTCTGACATGCCACATTGGAGCAAAAACGCTTTATGCTCTATGAGCTCATGGAATCCATACCGTGAGTATGGGTCACAATGTAGCAGCTACAGCAGTAAAGATAAAATGATAGAGTTAGAGAATGAACCATACAAAACTTACCCCTGAAAGTAAATCGGCGATAACTTCATGGAGTCCTTCGAAGGCAGGGAAACCGCTTGGATGCTCTGTCAGTGTTGGAGAACCAAGAAACATAGAATGATATATCATCCTCCGTTGAAAATAACGCCTGACAAGATGGTATCAGTAAGATAGCAGAAAAGGAAGATGTGAAACATACCTCATGTGTCTTTGAAACAAGCTGGTAGACGATACAGCCTAGCCCCCACCAGTCTACGGGTATTCCGTACCCCATAGAACTGGGGTCTGTTCTGTTGCGCAAGACCTCCGGTGCCATGCAGTGGGTCGTTCCCCACTGTACCTCTTGTATACCCCCACCGTTGCTCCAGGGGCCCCTTGTCTGTGTGTACATAACACAGGCCAAAATCAGTGACCCTAGCGTTCTCTCGAACATCGATCAGGATGTTTTCGGCTTTGATATCCCGATGAATGATCCCTATCTCATGTAGAGCATTCATCCCGAGCGCCTTCAAAGTCGGAGGTATGAGACATCGAAAATCAGGAAAGTCAACTACTTACTATTTGGGTAGTCCACCTGCGACGATGCTGGACACAATATGAAGAGCGATCTCTCATAACATTGTAGAGGTCGCCGGCCGCGAGGGTCCTAGAAACGTCCAATGGAGTCAAACAACTCAAACGGCTCGCAGGGGGGAGAAGAACACACCATGACCAAACATATTCGATCCTTTGTCTGAAACGACATTTCAAGCCCCATAACAAATCTAATTGCGGGACACGGCATCGCTAATGAAATGCGCTTGTACACTTCGAGTTCATTCAAAAGAACTTTTTTTGTAGACATGTACTTAAGACGGTCCTTCCGGAAGACCTTGAGACACAACAAGCGATCTGTCGCTATGTCTTGGGCTCCCATTGCCGTAGCGTACCCGCCCTCGCCCAAAACACGCCAAACACGAAAGGGGCCATAGGTGCCTGACGCCGGAAGAATTCGAGACACCTCTTCTGGAACAGGATATGCGAAGGTGAAGGTGTGAGCGGAGGCCGTAGCGTCCGCCGACTCTGAGTCAGGATCTTGAAGAAGGGGAATATCTGGGTAAAGATTCGTAGGCATTATGATGGGCGCGTTGGATGAAGCTGGAATGGGGTTCCAAAGAAGGAGTGATCAACTTTTGAGTTACCTTGCCTGGCGACAGGGTAATGATCAGAATGATGTGAAGGGGACGATAGTGTGAAGGAGCAATTCGATGGACATACTTAAGAGACGTGGACACACCGATCTGTGAATTGTCTTAGAGCGCCACAGTGTGATAATGGTGGCTGAATAATGCCACCGTCAATCACGACGGTGACTAGCACGATGGGGGAGATTGTGGACTCGTATACTGTGGAACAATCAAAGTGAAATGACAGGGTTTAAAGGCAATAGCAGGGTTGCAACGCTCATGTATGATAATTCAGACTGTGTAGACGAGGCCAAACTGTACGTTGTAGGCGTCGCGGGATAGGTTCAACAAACGACGACAGGTAGTAATACGGCTAATAGTGATCCAAGTCGTTCGGCAAATGCCTTCGTCAGATGAATTCTGGAAATTTGGTCAGCATAGCTACCCTTCACTCCTTTGGCGGCAGACTGTTGCAGTCAATCAGAATTTTACTGTAGTAGGGATCCAAACACACCAGAAGTTGAGAGCATTTTGGCGGCGCGTGCAGTTGCAGGATCTTGCGATATACTAGTAATGAAATCGTTGCGTCGCCAGACGCTCCAACAAGCTTCTGAAGGACCACATAACAATTGTCCATACATGCAAACCGCGTCGGGCCAACTCCATAGGTTACGCGAGCAAATGTTTGCAAAGGAGAATACCTGACCGCTTTGTAATTCATTGCGCGCCAATATTGTAAGACCATCATCCTCTGATAAGAAGTTTCGAGAGTATTTGCAAGCTTACTAGCCCAGAAGTAAAGCATCCTCAGATTCAAACAACCATCCCTAGCCCGATCATCCGTAAGATAAATGTAGCCAGCGGTCACCATCGACACAGCTGTTATCTAGATTGTTTCTGCGACCCAGAAGCCCCGCAGCTCCGTTCTAGCTCCTCTTCGTTCCTAAGTTGCGCTGTGGCAGCTTCCAGTGCCATGTTCCGACGGTCTTCCGTGTTATCGTTGCCTCGAAGTCCTGTGCCCCCCTAGAACGTGAATAAGTGCCTCTACTTCTTCGTCCGATGACAGCTGATAGGTGTCTCGTTAAACCAGAAAGTTGATGTGTTCCTGCTCCTGCTGCGGCCTCAAACCCTGCAACCTCACGATGAGCTGAGAATTCAACTCTTTAACCAGGAATATACAACTGTCATGTAAACGGGATATTGGAAGACGAAGGTTGTGGCTAACATCATTGTTGTGTTCGCCCCATACATTGTGTGCCAGTTCATGGCACAATACGCGTCTAACCTCCAAGTACGGACGAAAACCATCATATGTGTCAAGCCGAATTCGCAGCTTGATGGTAGCTCCACTCCCAACGTTGAGACCTGGAAGTTCAGGATGCTCATGTGGTGCAAGCTCGGTAAGCAAAGCCCCACAGAAAAATGATGCTTCTGCATTACATGTAGGACTGCAGGGTCCTTGGAAAGCGTCGTGAGGACACTCGGTCGCTGTTTCAGGTCCACTACAGATGGGTGAGCGGTTCTATACGGTGAAAGCCGTACTGGTGTGACGAAGTAGACGATAACCCTGTCGAACGAAGCTACTTGCCCCTCATCATGATTGACAGTCTGATGATAAGAACGGATGTCGGAACATACATTTACCTGTGGCTTGAGCACCCTCTTCCTAAGAATTTGCTCTTGCCTCTGATGTGCTGAGTCAGCTGCATTCAGTTGTCCGAGTTCTTCTACCGTCGAGCCAAGCATTTGCACTTTGAGGCCATCGCGAAGACCTGCTTGGGCGATGGTGGGTCTGGATCGGAGTCATCCTGTCGATGCTGGATTTTCTTTCCTCTATAAAAGGTTTCTGCAATGGTACGGCGGAACGGGAACAGAAGTGATGAGCTCGAGACCGGAGTGGAGAGCTGAGACGGGGGTTGTCATCGGAAGGAAACACAGCGCCCACGTCTGTGCATGCCTAGATTGGCAGCAGATCTTTCTAGAATCACAGGAGATCATACCGAAAAGGTCAGCCACAAATCGCCATGATCATTTGACTTGCTAAATCCTAGCATGTTTCAATGAATTGCTTTTCAGAGAACACAAAAACGAAGGGGAGCTTACAGGACAAAGTATTATGACATGATATCGGACGAACATGACTACATAGGAGTTGGTTTCATTGTAAGTTCCTTCCGTTCTCTCAGGTGCTATAAAGGCGATAATAACCAGGAAAACATCATGGCATATGACGGGTGATAGAAGCATATAATCGCAGGCATAGGACCGATGTGGAAGACAGCCGTGCAGTACTTGATGTCGGGAGTTATTGCTATATCTTGCACTATAGGCCAACGCATTCAGCTTGCACAGAATTCGATCAAAGTAGAAATTCCCCTGAGGATTGCTGAGGGTCGACTCCATAAAAATATATCCATCGCTATATAGATCGCGATGATCGGTAGGAACAACCCCAGCAGAACATAAAGTAGGGGCTTAGATCGGTGGTATATGGCATAAGACGCCAGATGAGAATGACTGCAAATGCAAAATGGGTACGCGTAAAGGTACGAGAATGTATGCATATGCCCGTGACTTACCTTCCGCAAGCAATAATATACAGAACAACTCCATTGCATCAACAGAAACATACCATAACCTAATAGCTAGTTTCAGTTGAGTACGGTTATACTCACCTCCACGGGGACGGTGAGGACAACACCTCGCGGAGGGAAGTGTTAAGCACCTGTGGAGGGAAGTAGTTGAACGCTGTTGGAGGGCGACATTGCCATGCACCGTACCGCGTAGCCCAACGGGGATAGCCGTTGCCAAATTCACGAATTGAGCAGGCCCATGCGGTCGCCCACCTAAGTTAGCCAAACCAGGTGGCAAGGGTTGAGCTGAAGGCCACATGGGATTCGGTGAAGGGTCACCACTAAATTTGGATGATTGAAGAGGTATGCCTCCCTTGCGGCTCATGCTCGCCTGGTGTAATCCTTGGTACATTTGAGGAGGATCGCGTTGACCACCAAACTGCATAGAATCATCTATGTCAGAGAGCATGGCGCCGTTTTGTCTGCTCCGAGGAGGGGCAGCGGGGCTTAATCCAGGAACCATGCTATCTGGGACAAAATTCCCATCCTCAAGACTACCATACAATTTGTCCCGGGCGGTCCTGGCCAGCATAGTGCTGTGAGCGGCCGAGTTGATTTTTAAGATGGTGAAGGTTGGAAGGATGAGTGTATATTGAAGGGCCTTCCCAATCGATGATCAAAGGCGCAGCACCGAAAGCAGACGGTTCGAATCTGGCACAGGAGTTCTGTGCAAAACCAGGACTTGTGCCAAAGGGTTGAAAATGAGTCAGGAAAATGGAAGGAAGGGGGCCTGAGACGAGTGTTGTTGCATGTCGAGCGCCGGAGGGACTAACACTTCCGATTTGAACCCTGGTCCTTGAAAATTGAACTCTGGCCCTTAAAATTTTGATGGCGCACATTCCACTAAATTGTAAATTAAATCATGTACGTGGGAACTACAGGTGAGATAAGGTGACTTTGGTATGGAAAGCCGGACGGCCGCGCTCTGTTACCACCCATGGCATGGGCCAAAAATGGCAGTGACAAGTTGAGGACTCCGTACACCTATAAAGAGATCAATGCGACCGACCAACTGTAGGTTCCATAGTATAGCGCGGCTGTCCGGCCTTTTGTGCTGCAGTTACTGTGTCATATCATGATGGCGCCGGCGCCAGCCCCCCCACTTGCTATTCCTGGCATGTTTTCTCAATATGACCATCGAATTAAACGCAAACTAGTCTTATTTCATTTTTGGTAAATGATTGCTAGTCCCATGTGATTCTACCGTCAATGCATGATGCTTTTCGACTGGTAACCGAATGAGTAATCTTGACCAGTCTCAGCAGCTTAAACCAAACGTGACAGGACAAACAATCTTCTCCTTTTACCACGCCTTGAATATTCACTCATGGATGGATTTTTCAAGGCCTGTCTGAGTAGTCATAGCCAACCGTTTGGCAACCAGAACAGATTATAAATTTGCTCCCTTGTGGTGCGGATTCGAAACCTGTCGACATGGACTGTTCTTCGGAGGTTCGTCTAAACTTGGCCAGCAAGCGTCCTGGCCCAAGTGGTTAACGCAACAGAATCCAATTCTCTTGTACTTCGCAGGTTCGAAACCCTGCCGAACAACAGGTTTTTTCTCTATCGGAACACCTCGGAGCAACTTCGCCCTGACTGAAGTGGTTACTGCGGCATAATCAAATTTGTCTCTTGAACTGTACCAGTGCAGGTTCAAAACCTGCCAATGATTTTTTCCCCATCCGAACACGACTTGAAGATTCACTGACGGACGGTTCCTCACTGGCAGAGGCTCATCTCAACCTCGCTCCGGACAAAGTGATTACTGCAACGGAATCGAAACCTGTCTCTTGGACTGACACTACCGTTGCAGGTTCAAAACCTGCCGGCGAGGTTTTTTTTCCATCCGAACACGACTTGAAGATTCGCTGATGGACAGTTCCTCAGAGGTAATCTCAAGTTCGCCTTGGCTAAAGTGGTTACTATCACAGAATCGAAATCTGTCTCTTGGACCGTACCAAGTGCAGGTTCAAAACCTGCCGACGAGGTTTTTTTCTATCCGAACACTGATGGACATTTTCTCGGAGCTTCATTTCAACCTCACCTGGCTAAAGTGGCTACTACAACAGAATCGAAATATGTTGTGTTGGACTTGCGCAAGCTCGAAACCTGCCGAGGACAAGGTTTTTTTTCCATCGAAACACACTTTGACATTCACTCGTGGATGGATCACTCGGTGGCTCATCTTAACCGGTCTTAACCAAGTGGTTTCCCACAACAGAATCAAAATCTGTTTCTCTTGCAGTCGGTTCGAAACCTGCTCACAACATTTTTGCAGTGTATCTATAAGATCCTCAGACCTCCGTCTTAACTAGGCCCAGTCATTGCGCCGAAACCTCCTTTTTATGTGATAGACCGTCCATGAAATAGAATTCACCTTCACGCCTCGGCAGATCGTCTCAGAAACATAAGGTATATCCTGAGATGCATTCAAGTCTGCATCAAGCTCCCAAAATACCAAATAATGCTGAACTTAATACTTCGTATTACAGGAGCGGCAATGTGCACCCAGCATTGAGAGAAATAGAAATAGATGCTGACACTCCATTATATGTTCCCTCCCAGACGTATCCGATTGATTTTCTGCCCACCAGCTGAATCACTTAAACATACAATTGTGAATATCAGCATCTTACATAATCTAAAATCTTGCGACATTGTACCTCCCGGGCATCTGTGGCTGACCGATCGCAATCCACCTATTATGGAACAACCGCTGAGTGGACATTTAGTGTGGTCTTGCACTATTAAAACGTCCAAGGTCGATCCTTTCATTTTCCATCTCTGTCGCGCAACATTTCAACGCATCCCTTCCTAACGCTCATCCATGCCATACTCACCATTAAAGTTGAGAGAACCTGGGTGTGATTCATGCGTGGCTAAGAACCAGCCATGCTATGCATATTGTTCTGTATCATCATGTCAGACATGCTGCGAACAGTGTTCGTGTTGCCAGGTAAGTGATTTCTGCACATCTGACGTCACATCCCTTAACGCTAATGACCAAATTGTAGCCCCTATGCCACGGTTTCTGGGTATCATGAGGGCGGTTGGACCGACAATTCCAGGCTGTGTATACTGCACAGGAATGAAGATAAGGTGTCGTTCTAGAATGGGCGAAGCGTGTATAGCCTGCCAGCAGAGGTGTAGCCATGGTAAGTCCTTATTTCCTCGAGTCCGTATTCTACGCTCACAAATACATGGCTCAGTTAAAAACAGGCTCAAGTTCCACTCTCTTCCGACGAATCTGAATCAGACTCTGCCGGCGAATCTGAATCAGAGTCTCAATCTTTTGACTCCTCTGACGAAGTTACCGCTTTGGATGAAAGCCATCTGACTGGGTCGATAAGCCGCTGGACGAGAAGAAACGGGTAAGACTTGAGGCAAAGTTGCTGGGTGTCAAGCAGCGTCTGGCCCAAATGGAGGAGATGCACCGCGAGTTCGAGAAAGTCTGCAGAGTATTGGAGCAAGTTTTTGAACAGTCTCGACGGATGCCTTGCGGGCTAGTAGATACATCAGCTCATGCGCATAGCTAGATATAATACTCAATGTTACCTTCTACCTCATGGACTCCCTTGTGCACTGAGGCCAAATGTTATTTCGGTCACACGGCGCGGTCGATTACATAGACCTTTGCATGCAACGCGACACCATGAGTGTATGGTCAGACATTTTTCAATGGGAATATCTTACAACGCTGAAATAACAAAGGGCAAATGATATTTTATGACTCCTGATGCATGTTGTGCCTGAATATCTCTCGGCCAAGCGATCGGCGGTCCGCTTCATCAGAAATTACCAGAAAACTCACATTCAGCATGACATTATGACCCCTGGGTAAAGTGGCGGCAGAATTCATCTCGGCCGACAGCCAGACGGTCCACTTCATCTAGAATTACCACTACGTCCACATCCACATTTCAACTCCACTATAAATTACTTACTCACGCCGATGAATCACAATCATTCATTTAACTCTGCCACGACGATCCGTCGTTCACTTAGCTCAACATTCGAAGATGCAGCCATCCCAAGCCTGCACGGTGAGAGACCCTGGCTGCGACTCCTGTTTGGCCGATGACACGGCATGCCACGAATATTTGGCTGGACATGCATGTCAACGATGCCAGCAATATTGTTCCCTCCTAACAGGTAACTGTGTCATTTGAGTCTGTTGCACCATTGGCTAACCTCATGCAATGGCTCAGAAAATCAGACACTGCCCATATACAGACGGGGCTCGTTGCACAACAGCACCTAGGGTGTTCTCGTTGCATTACCATGAAGCAAGACTGCGTGAGCCGGCCGGATGAGGCTTGTGTCGCCTGCCAGGAGCAATGCAGCAATTGTATGTTTCTTTACTTGCTATTATCCGTTCTTGATATACTCAAAGCGACGCATGTCACAGTCGTCCGAGATGAAGGTCGTCCGAGTCCGCATTCGCATAGAAGTTCATGCGATTCTTCCAGTGACGCCATACTGCTGGGAAAACGGCCGCCGCCGAACGACTGGGATGTGGGTGCAAGAAAGAAGAGGAAGATTGATGTGGCAGGGGGACAACAATTGAACCAGACTGTCGTGGAGGAGGTGAAAGAGTGTCTGGAATTCATGAGGAAAGCTAGCAAGAACGCCGAACTCATGTGCAAACGACCTAAGGGAAGAGGTGCAGTGCATCGAAAGTCATCTAGGGAATAAGCAGTTGTAGCGCCTTCAATATATTGTACAGCTGTCTATGTTCAACAGTCTCATGAATCTCAGCTGGACCTTCTACTCTCCAAATGCTGAGTTGTGCCATCTTATATGTCGGCCAGCGGCTGAATGATTGCGAGACATCAGGCCGAGGCCTTAGACTAATGCCGAAACGTTGCACTGAACACACTTGGTCAATTTACCAACAATTTCAGCCCTTCGTATGATGTATCAGGCCGAATTCTGAGACAACATACTTTGAATTGGAATATCCAGCTAGTATGGACCTGATGAAGTTTGGGTTACCATACAAGATGATTCAGCTGCGATACACTTATATTCACACCACATCCAAGTCCCACATCGTCAATATATCTTTTTTTCAACAGACATGGTCCTCAGGAGTGATAATTCCATAATAGGTTTGGAAAACACAGGTACGTGTTATCGCGATCATTGAAAGCTGAAATGACATGATATTTCATGTCAAACTGACGCAGGACATTTGTGCCCATTAGTCAGCATCACGATTCGGGATCTCATGCATGCCCCGTCGATCTTCTATATAGTTACGGCTGGCCCAGCTGGACTGGCGATAAGTGCTGTCGACTTGCAACAGCTCACCTGGTAGCGGTCGAGTTCTTGTCAATTACTTGCATAGGGCACGAGCCAATAGCCAAGGGACATGTAGAGCCTCAGACCTAGGGTGATGTACTAAGTGCAGTGGTCTGCGAGAACAACTTGACCATTCGACCAATTAGTCTTGTGTGAACTTGATAAAACTCGATCGCAGGTAGTCTCAAACAACGCGTTCTAAAATCCGTGGGTCTCGTGAGCAGAGCGGGTTGTAGAATGGAGTTGAGATGAATCAAGTCGAGTCAAGTCTGAGGACGGAAAATTCTCGGGCCAGTGACAGTGCGGATTCCTCGAGTTACTGCCGAAGCGTTTTTCATTGCCAACATGCCGCAGAGAGCTTGGATGATGGACGTCCACCATGCGGAGTGCTGCTGAGCGGGATTCGAATGTCGAATTGACTTCGCTTGGGTCTGCAATGATGTTGGTAGGGCTAATTTCATGGCAATTGCTCTACCAATGTGCCTACATCACTGCTGCCCATTGTGCGATGGTGATGCTTGGTGGTCTCATAAATACATTTCTTCAAACAACCTCTTGAGGCTGCAAATTTCAAATTGTAACCCCCACCCAAATTTTCACACGAGGAATGTTGGTGTTGTCACAATCAGATGTGTGGTTGTGTGTGGTTGTGTTTGCCTAAACGAATCTTGTACTTAATGTCCAACTTAGGTTTCTTCCAACCTGTGAACTTCTAACACATCATCATGTGCACAGTCCATGTCTCCGATATGTACACCTTCCTAGATGTGTCCTGGAGTCATCCGGACATGTGCAGGTGTCATCCTATTCTCTCAAGGAGATTCAATGCCATGCTGGCGCATGATGGTCTATAGATTAGTCAAGGTATCAAAACTTGACAGATGCCCTTGTGTCTCTTGCCATGTGGTGCAAGAAAGCTGTCACCACTCCAACACCCTAAAAGGCGAGAGGATCACCAAACCCTACACAGGACGACCCTCTCTATTTTCCTCCAACATGACACAATATTCGCAGAAATGCGGAGTGCGAAGAAAAACATCAGGTGCAATACAATTACAGCTGGCCACTGCTACTGGAGTCAATAATAATTATATAGTAGGGGCAGTTTGTGCTAATCATTCACAGCCCATGCTCGACCCTGCCCAGCCTCTCGCCGACTTTCCATTCCATAACGCCGGACAGCCTGCGAAGTTTTGCAGGACGCATATTTGATGAAGTGCTGGTGTGAACAGGATTTCTTTTCCCACTTCCTTCCTGTGCATCTGTGCCTGGCATAGTGTTCACAGATAGCTTGTGCAGTCCAGGACATAGGGGAAATTTGTGCCAGAAGACCGAGGGAGCAGTAGCAGGTTTGACAAGGATGAAATGGTTGTTATTCTGATCTGTCGGGAGACATGCAGATTTCCACCGACATTCCCCACATATCATCTGAACCATGTTCTCCATCCGGGACAGCCTGATGGTGTCTGTCATCGAGGAATTGCAATCTTCATTTGCACATGCTGAGAACTTGTACCCGAATGCGCGATGTGTGCTATGTTTGGCCACCTCCCTACTCTCTACAGTGCGTCTCCCTTCCACATAGCAAGCATACACCACAATGACTGTAGTATGCTCCAGCACATCTGGATTTGTGACAAGCAAAGCACAAAGGGACTCCCACACGTCCGTGCAGCCAAACACTGCAGCTGCACGAATGAATGCTAGCACTGTGGGTCCAACAAACCCAGGGAGGGTGGAGGATCCCCCAAATCCGATAACGAAATCAAATAGGTCCCTAAGACAGATTTCAGTGAAGTGCGTCAGACGACATATAGATGGCCTCACGACTCCACCATTGCCAGCACTTCCTTAAATTCTGTTTTGGCCTGCATTGTAGGACCACGAGTGACGAGAAAAAGTCCGCGTCGACCTCCCCTCGCCTTGGGTGTGGTGTTGTACCATGGGGATTTTCCATTGATGGTTTTCTCTACAGTCTCATCTTCCCTTGCAGACAACGAGGCAGCCTTCATCGCTGTCATGAGTGGCTTACCCAGGTAAGTCTGTATAATCTCAGAGGCTGTGTTTTTGTTAGGCCTTGTTGTCCCACTGGTATGCTGCAAGATACTGGTATATTCGTCTGAGGGGGTGTCCATGATGACAAATGTATTGCTGGGTGTGTCATTTAGGACACTCCTCATCACCCATTGCCCAACAGTTCCCATCTTCTGGACATCAAAATTGTGATCTCCAGCCTTCATAGGGATAGTCACTGTGTGAAGCTATGTTGTGCACATTGGCAATGGGGGTGTGAAAAATGAGAATGGCTCACATTTCCAATATATCCTTTGTATTGATTTTGCAGGTCAATATTGATGAGGTCCTTGAGGTAATCATTGTTGCCCGACGTAATGTGAACAACACATGCGGGCCACGCCTTCTTCGCCATCTTACCGGTCCCATATCGTATGACTCTGTATGGAAGACCTTTCTCCCCTCCACTCACTTCAGTCACACATAGGGGACACAGGAACACCCAACCTTTCCGGACCGACCGATAGCCAATGCAACCTGGACCATCTGGCCGTGTCTGGCGACATACAACTACACCGCAGTTGACACATACATATGAAGATTTCGAACTGCAGGGGTCACAGCACCAATGACACCAAGTACCGAGTGGGTCACTGCGAGAGGATGGCTTGCCCATCGATGCGATCGGAGTGTGGACCTTATCCGTTCCGTGATGCAAGGGAGTGTTGGTAAAAGCAGACTGTTGAGTGGCAGCAGCCATATTACCCTGGTTGCACTGGCTAGGAGTGGAACTCGAGGCTCTGAGATGAATGCTAGGTAGACATGTTTTGAGTGGCATGATAGACAAACAGGATGGTTCAGCCATGGGAATGATTCTTACTAAGGGTCCAAGTGGGGTGGAGTTTGTGGGTGGACCGTGTGATAGCACGTCAAACTCCGACCGGAGAATTCCATCAGCCATTTGACTCCCACATTAGTGGAGGGACGATGTCTGAATGGATATACCTCCAAATCTGTGGCCGCTTGATCACCAACCTTAGACATTCAAATCTCACAGCAACCAGGTTTTGGCGGGTATTACTTTTTATGTGATTACATGACTAATCCCCTAGTGGAGGTGACGGATGTCTGAATGGATATTCCTTTAGACCTGGGGCTGCTAGGGAGGAATAAAATGATAAAATAATAAATTCTTGATTTTGAGTTGTCGGGGCCACGCTACATAGTTGCCTGCTCGTGCAAGTTCATACAGCAATAGCGACAATTCCAACTTGAGGCATTCTCGCAACACGAAATGGTGGTGAAGGTGATTACAGCTCACGAGGCTGCGGGAAGACCCTTTATTCTATCATTCCTATTCTGCTTCATCTGGGCACTATCAGCATGACAATTTCACCGCCTAAACGTTTCCAGAACACCCAGGTGAGACACGATTCAGCAGCCGCTCCTGCGAGAACTAGCTAGTTGTGGGAGGTGAACAAATACTCAAAATACAGCATACCGACAGCATCAACTGAGGATACCTTACATGATATATTGCTCTGACGGGCGTTGTGCCGTTAACCTCCATGCACGAAGAAATTGGATTCACATACGTTGGTCACCAGCAATCAATTTGCGAGAGGCACTTCAACCACTTGAATGGTTCGCCAGAGAAATTGTTTATGTTCAATGGTAGTCATCTGCCGCGTCTCCCACTACTCATACGTCAAGACGGAATTGTCGCTAAAAGCATTAAGCATATTGACGTTAACAAGGCACAAACCATTTGTACAGCAGGACTTCCACATCACGTCGAGAATGCGTTTTCAATTAGCGTCTGGCAAATTGGGAGAGCTTTGTGTGCTACTTGCATCGACAGGGTCGAGAATTGTGGCGAGGATATCTATGCTACCTTCAGATGAAACAAGCACATTCGCCTCCTGTACATGTGAAAATCAGCTGATGTGCAGGCTCCGTCAGACAAGCTGATGGTGCATGCACATCAGTTAATTCACCCCAGTCAGATTGAACGGATGGTCGCGTGATACTGCGTGTGTGTCAGCATTGGCTGGTTGTTCTCTTCATACAAGCTCACCTTATAAATATGTGTGCACCATTCATGTTGCCTAGGTGTGTCACTCGGTGATCTGATAATGTCTATCTTGCTAAGGTTGTCCTTGGATCCACTTGCAACCAACATCAGGTAACATGCAGCTTAGCACAACTCACATACCATGCATGGCACCGTCATTGCATCACACGCCTGCCCACCGACCGCGTCCTCAGTGAATCGCGTGACACAGAACATACACTGGATACAAAGAACAGTTCACACGAAAGAAGAGGGGATTGGCGATGGGCGGAGGACATTGAGTGATAGTTGACCAGAGGGACAATGAACTGACAGACCAGAAAATTGCTGACCAAGAATGTTCTGCCAGGGCCGCTCCCAACGTTCTGGGAGAATGTAAAAAAAAGATCCACTGTTTGTCTTGCGATGATGCAGCCGTCCTTGGTTATATTCAGAATAAGATTTGCAGCGTAGTCATGTTTGAGGCAGCTAATTAAAGAAAAAAGGAAATCATCGCAGGAACATAGCGATTGGTCCACCCGCCCTGGCATGTCCACCAGGTCTTGACCCTCCCTTAGCAGGAGAAAGAGAGGGCAACCATATGTTTGACAAATTATCTAACTGTGTTGGGTTTTTTGCCTAGGCTGCTCAGCCAGGACTAATCAACTAATTCTCCTTGACAGGAGAAGGGCTCGTCATTGCATATGGGTCTGGATGACATAACAACACCCCCTTGTGAAGAAGGTGTGCCACTGGACTCCGACGCGAGAAGTTGAGACATTTGAAGACAAGTGGACATCGAGCAAAAAATTAAAACGATTAAGCCAAACATACCGGCACACAACCACACACGAGGACTGCTGCGACCCGTCACAACGCCAAACACAGACAAAAAGCGGGTATGTCCGGTGAGAATTGACAAGGTGGGGGATACCCATCGATAAACATCGATGCTATAGGCTGTATGGACTCGTTCAGAAGTCTTTAGGAAAAAAAAACTGGCACTTTTCGAGAAGGAAAAAAATAAAGAGCGAGGGTTGATTAGATGTGAATCTCGCTTTGCTGGAAAACACACGACTAATACGATACAATGAGTATCGACTGGTATTACTATGAATGAGTGTTATCCTTCTCCTCGACGTGGAAAATTTTACCACTGTGAGTAGCTATCCATCATCAACTTACTTGTTTCCAAATTGTTGACACAGAGCCGAAGTTTGGGACAATATTTTTGTAGGGTGTGGAACAACCAACTCAGGAGGACGCAGAGGGATGCTTGTCCACCGGATGCAGGTGCGAGGCCTGGTTATTGAGTTGTCGGAAACTGGAAAGCATGATATTGCGGATGGTCTTCGCGCACTAAACCGAGACGCTCATGCCTTGAATTCCACATAACAACTATCTAGGCTGATTTTCCTCTCAGAGGGACTGAATAGCATGGGAAGAACCCCCCCCCCCCCCCCCCCCCCCCCCCCCCCATATTCATACATATCTCATTCCCACATGGGATCTATCTCTCATTCCCTCATTCTTCATCACTTTGTTTTTATCATCTGTCAATTTGATCGCCATCTGATGGAGGCACTTAGCTCTAGCACACTTGTGTGTGCAACGTACCTCGGCGTTGCTCTCATACCTTTGTGAGACTATCCACCACTTCCTGATCACCTCAGGGTGTCCAAGATGATGCCATGTGCTTTAGAATGAGCTAGGCCTCCAAGCTAGTTGTCTCAAGGACTTGTTGAATAAATGGACGCTGCACCTATACCCCATCACCTTTAGCTGTCCTAGCATCCTGCTTGGACTAATGCATGAATATTACATAGCTTGTAGAAGCACATAGCATTTCAGTCTGTTACCGGTACATTTGGTCTACCATAGTGCATCATCCCAACAGACGATAAACACTGATATAAAAAACAACCTTTATTACCAGCATAGGACTTAAAGAGTCATGTTCTATTGATAGAATCAGTATATCTACTTCCCTGGCCTGCCAGCCAGATTCTGACTTCCCTTGGCAGGAGAAGTGAAGGCAGCACGCACATGTCTGAATGACTCCAGCTCACGCACCAACCTTGCAGGGAGGCAGCTGCAAGAACTGGCAATATATCACTGATTAAGAAACAAAAGACCACCATAGCCTCGGCGATAATTGGGCAACAACACCTTGCCTAAAAACAATCAGACAACGAAAACAGGGCACTTCCTACCCAGTCATGTCTGCATGGATTGCCCCTTGACGGGAGAAGGTAACATGGTGCACAGATGTCTGGATGACTCCAAAGCATACCTCCCTTGTCAGGGGGTCCACATCGCTAGACAACCAAACTCCAATGCAGTACATGACAATGTGGTGGGGGATTGAGAGGTTAGAAGACAAAGTTGAACATTGAGCAGGCAAATATATACAAATCCTCGGCATCAAACAAACCATCACACAACCACACAGGAAAATACACTGCACCAACTCGGGATTACCCAAGCGAACACCGCCACCCCATAACCTCAAAGCACCATGTGGGTGTTGAAACCCGTCTGTGCTAAATGGGGCAGAATCTGTGGAGATGCACGCTCGAGAGACAGAACACATACTCGCACATTTCGCCCAATATCCAGACTCACAGCACGTTTTCTATAAGACAGGGCAATGCCTCATGTGCTCCCTTGTGTTTCTTTTGACATCAAGTATATCTACAAATACTAGTACTTTCCTCACAGAATGTCCTTTAATAGTCTCAAATATGCTCCAATTGCACAGAAGGTATTATGCTGTATAGGTATTTGAAATCAGATGCAAAACATGCGAAAATGATATGAAACAGTTCGAAAACAAGTGGAGCACGTATCAGAAATATGTTGAAAGCAGAGCAGACTAGATGAGCAGAGGCAGGAGAAATCGGAGTGAAAGTGCGTTGAGGAACACAGCCCTTGTTGAGAGTAGCATAAAGCCGCACCGTGCGTTGCGTTGACGTGAGGGAGTTGTAGTAGGCATTGAACCCCTTGGTTGTGCTGTTCAACTTAGTTTGTTTCAGCTAACATGAGGCGCACACGTTCATGATATCAGTAGATAATGGGCAGTATCATCTGAATCGCAAAAAAAGCTCACCATCCATTTTTGGTTTGGCTAGGACACATCTTGCCCAAGCTCTTTCTTCATGTTGATGGTGAATTCAGCATCCAACCCCTTGAGGTGGTTGACCTTGTTCCAAAACCGAATGTTTGGATGTCTCTGGATTTAGGCATTGGGAATTACTTGCACTTGTTAGTGTTGGGATGGACCATTAATCAAATTAGAGTAAGTGAAAATAAATGAACCAAGAAAATACGTACACTACAGAATCATGTTCAGCTGCCAACTCCACAATTTGTTACTCCAGCGTCTTATATTGTTCATGTAGATACAAGATGGCATTGAGGCTGTGGCAGGATCACTACCTGTAAAGTGATCCTCACTAACTACTGATTGCATGGAGGCGGTAGAGGAGGGAAGGTGTAAATTCCTGCCCCATATGTGAATTCTGCAGAGAATGGTTTGATTTAAGTGTGGGATGAGATAAATGCTCCCCGTTGAAATTAATCGAACCTCCGTCGACAGAAGAAACCATCCTAGAGCGATGAATCTAAGAAACGGGGAGCCACTGCACACCACCAGGGCGATGGGGTACCCCGGGGCATAATACTGATGTGGCAGTCATGGCCTTGAGCAATCTACATCCCAGTTACTCGATTCTGCATGCTCTTACTTACTACAAGGACCATACAACAAGAGTTCGCAGATTTTTTTTGAGCTTCCTGACAAAAGTATATGAACACTAGGTGAAAAGAATTTTGCTGTCTCCAAATCATTCTGTGCCAGGCATATTTGAACATTCAGTGTATTAATTGGTGTGTCCTGCAGTATGGCGTTGAAGGTAAATCCAGTGAATGATATAGAGAGCTGCATGTTCATCAAATAGATCCGGTTCCCGTGAGATTGTGACACCACGAGCGGGGAAACTATTCAATAGATTGATTTCGTATATTTACAAAGTGCATCAAAACGCTCAATTAGGATACATATTGAAGATGGATTTTAGAAGAGTCCATGGCAAAAAGATGGTGGATAAAGGAGCGAGGAAGGTAGTAAGTAGGCTGGTGACCAGCCTGTCGAACACTACTACAAATGCTTGAATGATGCAGCCAGGCTGGACAATCTTGAAGAGGTTTGGCAGGGGAGGCAGAGAGTTCGAAAATTTGCAGTTGCGGGTGGTCAGATCATTGAATATACAGAGACCAACAAAGCAACTTTTGCGCAGGGAGGTAATATTCATGTTCTTTATGAGCTGCTGAACAGATTTGCAGTTCTGCCTTGCTGCGCACATGTATCAGATCTGTAGAGAAGAAACTGGTGATTCATCCATTAAAGGTAGTAGCCAAATGAATGATCAGATTCCTGTACAACAACACTACTAAAAGAACTGGAGGTCATTTAGATATGATGACCGGTGGTCACAAACATGTAACAATGAGTATTCTATCCAAGAGGTAAACCATAAGCATATGATGATCAGTTCATGGAGGGCAACATCAACTCTCATCGCCAACGCCTCTTCTGTTTCCAATGTCTTGAGCAAACCATGGAGCGTCTTCTTGTCTGCACGACCAGAATCAAGTGTTCGCAGGGCTTCTTGTACAGTGTTGACATGGATTGGAGGGATGTCGGTCAACAATATGTTGCGGAACTCGTTGAACGAAATGCCATCGTAACTGAAAGCATCGATGGCCTGTTGCACGTCCGCCAAGGAGAAAAGCGATTCTGGGATGAAGTTATCGCTTCCGGTCCACCTGCCATCTTCCATGTTCTCTGCAGTGAATTGCGAACCATCCTGATCTTCAACTATGGCATCAGTAGTATGGTTAGGAGGGGTGTTCGATGGTGTTGTTAGCTGATCCCCCCAGTTCTCGCCAGCGTTCGAATGAATATGTCCATGTGAGCTAGGAACCATCAGCTTTGACAAAGGCACCCAAGATGGTTGGACTGCAGACCGTTCACTGTCAAGACAAATATTGTCAGGACTATTTCCCCTTGATTCTGCCTCTGCCTGATCTACATCTGTGTTGGATTGCATAACTTTAGCAGGAGGTGTTGGTTGTGTGTGACCAGTGTCGGTCAGCCTAGCACCCTCATCACCTACAATAAATGATGTACACAAATGTGATGTGTGGGTATATACAGCATGCAAAAACCTACCTTGGCGCATGTCCGACAATTTCAAACTCTGGCCATGTGCTTCCTTCAGCACTTTAGTTACAGTTTTGGGTTTGGCTGTTTTTATAACCAAATCCCACAGCTTGAGATCGTTGGCATCTGGATCAGAAAATCGACTGATGCTCTGAAAAAATATATTGGCAGCAGTGTCGGGGTTGCTTGTCGAGTTGCGTAGGTAAGCTCGCACTGCAATCCTTGCATCCAACTTGAGAAACGGGAGGTCAAGCTCAACATCATCTGTGAATCAGGGTGTGTTATGCAGTCCCACAGAAGTAATAATATCATGAATGCACATACCTGGACCCATGCTGTTGACCCGCTGATCCAACTCCAAATCCAACTCATCAGCCACTAAATTACTGAAGTCGTCCCATGTCATCTCGCCGTCGATCAGCTGGTCGACGCGCAACGACCACTCCTGTCGTGTCTCGTCAGTGGCAAGCATGTCCATAATTTCCCTCAGGAAGTCTCCACGCTCGATCTCCTCCTCGGCCCGCAAGCAATGGTACAAAAAGACCAGAGGTTCATCTAGGGTGAATCCTGCAAGGCACCGCAGGAATTGTTAGTTTGGTCAGGCAGAGATCAGAAGTAATCTACTGCTGACCCTGGCGTAGAAACGCGTCCTTTCGTTCGCTGATGAATCGAATTGGAGGCTCATGGGACTCGTGCCACTTGTCTGGCAATTCGGCGTTTTCGTTGTATGGGATGTCGATCCCTTCCCCCCCAGTCTTGAGCTCCTTGAGCGCTGCATTCATGGATCTCTTGAACATCTCTGAGAGGTCAAGTCCCTTGGACATCCATGCATTGTCCGCCTGACCAAGCATCGTCGGGATGTTATCCTCCTTCACACCCCAGCCCGTTTCTGAGGACATCACAAGTCAGTGCAGATGCACACGAGCGGATCAGGAACACATACCGAAAAGCTTCTTGTTCCCAGCGTGCAACGGATCCGCCTGTAAATATTTGTCCGCATCGTCAGGCAGCTCGTCGAACTCCATGAATAGCCAATCTCGGTGATTGCGAATGATGAATTCGTCGAGTGATTCAATCCGCTCATCATTCACACCGTTCGTCATGCACTCCTCCAACACCGCTCTCCTGGCAACCATAGCTTGAAGGAAACGTGAACCGGCATTCTTGCGAGAGGTGTCAACCAGGCCCGCCCTTTCTTCCTGGGTCTTGATATTTGTCTTTTTAGTCTTCTTCTGCTTCCTCTTCGACTCTTCATCCCAACATTTCCATATGGAGAGCCAGTACTCCACACAGTAGCAAAGATACACCCAGGACGAACGATATCTGGTGGGGAGGGGCACATAGCCGAGAAGCCGCTGGTCCTTCAAGACAGGAACCCGCAAACACTCAAACCGACCGGTATCCTCTGCACCGTAGTTCATCAGTTGCGGAACGCCGTAGTGGATCCTGTGAGGTGCTTGTGCGTCCCATTTGTCCATAGACAGCTCGGCCTTGGTGACTGGGATGCGGAAAATACGGATGGGTTCAGGAAGTGCCCTACTGATGACAGCATGTTTTGCTGCGTTCATCGCACGATGCTGTACTCGAACAGGTTTGCCGTAGGGTTGCAGTACCTTGCCAAATTGCTTTGGGTGTTTGCGTGCGGTTTGTTTGGTGCGAGCCATTCAGCGAATGTCAGAACAAGCGAGGCAAAGTTGTTCTTGTAAGGCTGATCAATCAAACAGAGATGTCAGGATGACATAAAACGCAAGCCTAAATGACTTCGAATTCCGCCGGGAATCGCCGATATGTGTGGTTCAAATCTGCCCAAGAGGTACCTGCTGGGGAAAAGTGTACATGATTCAAACCTACGTTCGGTGAGATCCCGACTGTATAGATTTTACATGACTTGAGCACGGTTCATATTTGTAACAGAAGATACACACATAAACAGACACCTCAAGCAATGAAAAACTGCGAGACGGAAGGGAATACCAGCACTGGCCGCTACGTAGAAGAAGAGAAGCAAAGGAGGATTCAGTTAGAAGACAGGCATCAGGACCAAAGACACGCCAAGACAAGACATTCACAACACCCATCAAACACTCTCTTCAAGCAACTTATAAACTACACAATTCCCTTTGTACGAAATCAGCGTCAGCCTTTGCCTGACAACAAGCCGACGGAGTGCGTGTGCATCCACTCAACACAACAGATTACCATACATACATACGATAGAGTAGCTGGAGTAAGCCACCGAGTTTAGGGCTATGTCCAACATAGGGCCTACAACCTCGAAGGACGATAAATTTCTAAAAAAAAGTGTACATGAGGCCACCTCACACAGTTAAGAGCCATGGTCAGACAAGGTTTTAGTGCAGAAGGTATGTCTTGACTATCTCTCGCATCAGACAAACCTCGCGGGCGCTTACCAAGCAATACGGCAGATGATGATTGGGTGAGAGGTGTCAGTGCTGATTCGGAGCCTGGCATAGGTACCAACATGCCACGGCTAGACTCAGTTAGGTCGTGCCACACGGTGGACTACACTACCACAGCGCATGCACTGTGCAAAATCTTCAAGTGTCTTTCCACATCCCAAAGCTTATCGAGCGCCCGATTAACCATTTCCCGAGGGTCTTGATCTTCCTCGATTTCTTGCCTGGGCTCACCTTCAAACCGTGAACGAAGCTCGTTGCTTGCACCTACAGGAATACTCAGAGGTAATTAATTCCTTTGCTAACTTCCGCAGGTTCTCCACAAGCTGCAGTCCAAAACTACATAATGCTGACCCATTCGCTAGCTCTTTCCCTGGTAGCATGATGGGGCTGGCATGTTCCAATTCATCAACGTCGATGTCATTGTCATTGCACAGTGATAGCAACTGTTCGCTTGCTGTTGTAGTAGTGAGTTTGGCGATTTGAGCCTCACTAGCACCAATCACGGGCTGCCAAGCCTTTGCAGGGCTAGCCAGCGAAAGCAGCCAATTGCACGCTTGCATTTTTCGGCTGGAAAACCAGGTGAGCATTGATTATTCTTCACTGCGCTGGTGTTTTTCCTATGCTCGAGACCCTCGGCATGAGCCTTCCAATCGGTCTCGCCTTCAAGGCCTATGTTTATGTCCTGTGTGCAAGAAGCACAACTCCGAGCGGCACTGACATCCTGATATAATTATGCTCAGAAATGCACTCATTGCCTGGAGAGGGAGTTTCATACGGCTGGTTGGGATGCTTTTACCTTTTCTTTGACATCGTGCTGGGGTGCTCAGGTTGTGTGTTTGGGTCTTGAATGTAATCCTTGGGAAAAAAGGATCCAGGTGGATATTTGTTGTTGAAACATGCTTAAAACTTAACATAGCATGTCGTTCGAGTAAGAGTACTCATCAAGTACTTGTACTGTATGACTGTAACTACCTACATCACTGCGGGCACCTGCCAAATTTCAAGAGTGCAACATTCATGTTGCATCTGGTAAGCTAGAAGCATGTCTGCATCAAAATACATGGGTGTATCAGAAGAAAATATTGTGGTCAGACTAAGGACTTCCCATAATTTCCTTTTTTTTTTTTGGGGGGGGGGGGGGCGGGGGGGGTGGGGGAGATGTGACACAGATTTGTGAAAACAGTAACACGTAGAAAGAAGTAGAGATGTCAGTCTTAAAGGTAAGCTTTAAAACCCAGTGTTGTGCAAGGTTGTCTATCATAATAGGCAGAGAGCTCACAAATCATTTTGAAATATGTAGGCGGGCATGCCTCTACATAACAAAACCCCAACATTCCTTATCCTCTATGGTATGTACTCACTACAGTCTTTTCCCAACTCCTTGAAAATCGAAAAATATACAGCCGCCTCCTCAACACGGGTCTGACGCTGAAGCTGGGCTGCATGCCATGCCTCAGGACTCTGCTGCTTAACAGCCTTTTCTGTGCGGAATCCATAATCAACCCATCTGATGAGACCCCCTGCAAAATATTGAGTAAAAGACAGCCTTTTCTCCAGTGGAGCAATAGAAATGTTGCCATGCCGGAGGATTGCAGAAGGGATCAGGATGGTGGCACCAGGCGGAAACTGGATGATGAGTCCAAGGTCAAATAGAATCAAGTGACCACCGTTGGTTGGGTTGAAATTTCCTAACGCGGTAATGCTACACATCCCACTGGCGAAATTTGCATTGTCCGTGTGATCAAACGTGACAGTGCTGGGTCCAAGATTGAACGTGGTGGCAGCAAAAACACTGTTGTGGAAGTTCCACTCGAGATGTGGATGCATGTCCTTGAGAGATGATTTGGCGTTGGAATACACCTTATGAACCTTTGGCGCGTAATGACAAAGTATGCCTTTTGAAATAAATAAACGCACACAAACCAGAAGCTTAGTACTCACTACTGCCAAAACCTGCTAACCTTTGAATGGCTGGTTCAGACAGAAGTGTCCGCAGCTCCTGTTGGTTTGTCTTGGAGTGTTGAAGATTGCTGGGCTCCTATGTGAGTATATGTCTGTTAGTGCAGACGGCCTGAATGTGATCGGTAGAATACCTGTTGACCACCACCGTATGATACTCCAACAGCAATGCATGGATAGAGGCCTCGGCGGGTGATGGGTATCAGATAACTTGAAGGTGCAACGCTCCCGCGCATTCTCCATTGCAGCGCAGGCTTGGGATATTGTAAGCTCCCAGTCATCATCCCGAGGCTGGCCAGCTAGAACGCCAATGACCCTTCCATTCTTATCCAGTAGTGATTGGGGGGATCTGCCATAAGTCAGCCCATAACCTTGCATGGAATCTGCGTGGCTCACACCTTCCATCCCACTCCACTAAGCGAAATCCTGTGTCAAGTAGTGTCTGCAAGTCTTGCACTCCGTCGACACTCTGAACTCGTTTTCCAACATATGCTCCATTCGCTATAGGCATTCCCTGCAACGAAATTTGTGTGGGCATAGGATGTTTGAGGACTCGCTTGGAGGTCAGCTTAAGTATAGGTACATATGCGTTGGCGGCCTTTTCTTGCCTCTTCCGTCGACGACGTGAATTACTGCCTTTCTTTTTATGAGACACACCCTTCGCCTCGACAATTCGTTGTTGTCCGTTGCTAGTATGTGTATGAGTGTAGTCGTCGATTAGTTTGGCGTCGCATGTGTTGGAGGACAAATCATATTCATTCATTGCTTCCTGGGCGATCATATCCGGCTTGGGGTCCTTAGTCATCCCATGAGCAACTGCATCCTGCTGCTCCAAGGCTCTGTTCAGAAGAGGAAGTAAATCTTGGTTAGTATGCAAAAATGTGTGCATGTTGTCAGAATGTTGTGTCTGTGCTGTATCAGTAGATAACCAATCTCATTCTCATAAAAACATACCATCAAGCTGTGGTCCTGTGGCTACCTCAACGGGTTGCTAAATGTGTTGACTGGGGAAATTTACGATTAGAGAGTGTTGCTCGATTCTAAAAGCCTGGGAACCGAGTACCGCTAAGCGTCGCTAAACCTGTCCTAAACGGGACTTGTACCTAAACTTTACGGCGCGCAGCGCCAACGCGTGCAGCAAATTATCAACAAGGTCTTAAAGCATGTCGTAAACCTCACCAAACCTTGTCATTCACGTTCCTAACCCCAGCAGGCCTGACCCTTAGCATTCCTGACCCCTTTCCTCACCTTTTCCAGGGTATATCATATTCAGTATGTTCTTGAATATAATATGATCATCCCTCACTAAAATGCAATCAATCGATGATACATTGCTACTTGATGAGGTTGAAATAGGGGTAGGTTTAGGAGCCTTGCTGAGGTTTAGGACGTGCTTTAAGACTGCTTGTAGATAATTTGCTGCATCAAGTGTTGGCGCTGCGCGCCGTAAGGTTTAGGTACAAGTCCGGTTCAGAACAGGTTTGGCGACGCTTAGCGGTACGCGGTTCCCAGGTGAACTCGAACTTTTAGAATTGAGCAGCCCTCCATCTATAGCTAATGTAAATTCTAGAAATGACCGGCGAGTCGGAGAATCCCGGGTCTCAAACGCAGTCTCAGTAGCAGCCCTAATAGTATGTCTGCGGTGCGAGTTTTTAGTCTATAGTCTAGCTCCAGTAGAACGGGTATGCTGTAAAGCATATTTGAATGCATTCTCTTTCGCACAAGTACCTTCAATCACACAAGCTGTTTTCACTTGCTTTGAGGGGAAAATATATCGGACGGCAAGCGGGTGGGTGAGGATGGGTGACAGCGCCGTTAAGGCACATAACAAGAACAGTGCAAAGATATCAAATTCCGTGCCGGGTGTTGAGCAAGCTGATGTGTGGAAATTACTACTGCTTCAACCGCATCAGTCTTTGCTGCATCATTCAGGGCCACTCTGTGAGCTTGTATGATACTCAAGATAACAATTATTATTATTAAAATATTAAAATATAACCTGTAATGTGGACAGCACTATGTGTGACGTATAATACGTAAGGCGGCACCGAGCAACATTGATGCAGCCTAAGGTGACGCAGCACGGTTGAGCTTGACGTGGTATGGGTGAGCGTGAGGCAGCATGGGTGAGGCTTGACCAGGCATAGATTATTGGGTGATGGTGCCTCATTATTTTCACCTGGCCCTTATTCGAATGATACGTTGACAGTGGGCTATCTGCTCCTGGAACCACAACCTCCGAGAACCTATATAGACGATGCCCGTGAGTAACGAAATGGTTTTAACACACCGCGTTCGTCTTCTTCGTTGTAGGAATGATGGTGCTAAATGATGCGATGATCATCAGCTTGAATAGAGCCTGTTACCTTGTTACCTTGTCTACAAGGTCACTAGAACCGATGATTGTGGCTGATTAAGACAGATTTATGTATACCGTGCAAATTTGAGGACAAATTAAACAACACCCTGTTTGTTCGACGAGCTCGAAGCTTGAAGACTACGTCAGGTTAACAGTGCCCGTAGCTCTACCCTCCTCACCTAATGACCTGCCTTTGGTGTGCCGAGTGGCGAACAGTGTAAATAAGTGGAGCTCACAACTCACACTGTCCGAACCATGTTCCATATTTTCTAGGTGCTTGACTTGTACAACTGGATATACTACAATACTATCTCAACACCCGTCTGCTTCATGTGTCTTTTCTTTCCATCATTGCTCTATCTCCCGGTCCATCTTTGTCAACCTTTCATCTTCGATTCTCAAATATTCGCATGGATGAGTCGTCAGCAAGTCAAAATCTCGCAGCAACCTGACTCCGTCATTGCCGCGAGCTCGCGATAATGCAACGTATACATTGAATGGTGTAAGCCCCGCGGTAGGTGGTGTTGCGATGTCTATAAGGGCATTATTGATGGTTTGACCTTGTGAACGATAGTCCGTAAACGAGTATGCAGGTGAGAGGTAGCTGTCGTCTTTTCATGGATTAGACTGATTCCCTTGGATAATGGTAAATGCGCGCTCTATTGGAACTAATGGCACCATATTCTTCTCTAGACCATCAAGCTGAAGCACCTTCGTACGGTTCATTTTAATGAGGGCATAGGCTGGTGGATATGTCAATTACACAACCGCAGATATGGGTGAGAACATAGTTTCTCGCTCGTCCAGTACAATCTTCATTGTTTCACCGCGAGAACCATTGGAGACGTCTAGGTCAGTTTCCACATTCAAAGTAACCATCACATACATTCCGATTGCTAATTCCACTCTATTTGGAAGGCCAGACCTCCCATCTCGTTTTCCGTGACATGTTGTTTTTGGCTTCATAGACACTGCAAAGCGTTCTGATAGTGTGAGAGGCCGATCTTGGAATGTGTCACAAGTAAAAAAGACTACGAGACGATGTGTGCTATCTACGACACTCTCGGTCAGTGGTCCATCAAACTCACTCACAATCTCTTCGAAGTAACTACCTCTCATCACTCATTGGTTTCCTTCCCAAACAACTCAATATATCTTACTTGAAATAGGCTGAGACATTCAACAACGAGAATCGATACAAGCCTAGTGCCACTCCAATTGACGATGAATCTGACAGTATGTCAGGCAGGTTGATTTATTAAATTTAATTGTTTTCATCACTAACTGCAGATAATAACCTTGGCCCTGAATTCGACATCTCGACTTGGGCAGTCGCAGAGCGATGTAAAACCTACCCAGCAGATATTATCTCTACCCATAATGTTCAGCCGTTACCCGCATATGGCGAGAACCATATTTTTATCCCACCCCTCCAATATGAATCTAAATTGAAGGGAGCACCAGTTGAAGTCCACATGGCATTTTGCCATCATCGCATCATCAAATCCAAACGCGATGTCTTCAAAGCTATTTTACGAGAGCTCATCGTGCCATCACCCCCATCGACCATGCCGAGCAGCCCCTTCAAATGTTTGCCGCCTGAACACAGGGCCCCGCACAGAACATCTGAACAAAGGAACACAACCAGTCAAGGGTCCTGGATCTTCGTCTTAAGAATTGTATGATGTTCTCACTTTGATCATTGACATTCATACATTGATTATGTTTTACAGCAATATTGTGCTGGCTACTAGCCCAAACAATCATGTAACAAATACCGTTGTACTTATGTCACCAATACCATGTTCGAAGCTCGCCACTAGCATACTGAAAAATCACTGCCTCATACCTCTGTACGAATACCGTACGAAATCCACACAGAACTTTATCATCGCACACTTTACAAAAACAGTAAACAAGGTCCCTGCCAACGAAGTTCGGCTCCATTGTAGTAATTCGTTGGTATGGGGATATGGATGAGCTTTAGAAAGATATTCGAACACAAAAATGGGTTTCTTCGTCGATTTTTATGTTTGCCACACAAAATTAGTGTCCGATACGGTGAAAATCCAACATGGTGAGGTCAGGTGACAGCAGGTCAGATCTAATATTTCCAGCTTGAATAGGAAATTTCCCGAGCGGCCCACAGAGGGCTTAAGTGGCTCACATATGTTACATGATGAGACACAGTCTCAGAAGCTATGAGGACAGTTGACTTTTGTTGTACTCATATCTCACATGATCTTAGTTATTGATCTGGATGCATTTGAATTGCGATGACAGTGAACGTGAACAGGTGATATGGCATTATGGCATTACAAACGGGAATTATTCCAATCGATGGGTTGGGCAAACCTGGTCCGAAATCGGGAATCGGTGGGCTGGGGGAGAAATACACAAAAGGAATCACAACGAAAGTAGTGAGAAATGCGGGAGAATGCGAAAGCAGGCAACAGAGTGGAATGCAAGCTAGACAATGACGAGTGAAGAAAATAGCCAGACTAGTACATGATACCCTCACAGACAGCCTTGTTGTAACCCTCCATTCACAGCCTTGTGCTCTGCGACCAATCCCCGTCATACCTGTCCTCGTCCCGTTGCGTGGATGTAAGTGCGGCCCAATACAAGCAGAATTCGTCTGTGGTGCTGCTCGCCATCTTCGCATGTTTCAGACGGCATAATGCACATAAGTCCTTTGTGAAAAGGTTAGTGTGAAGTAGTAGTCGAAATAAAATTATCTACTGAACATTTTTTTGCAGCACCCAGCGGACACATAAAACAGCTTTTGGAAGCAGTCGAACAAAAGAGTTGCTGCCGGGGCATCAAAAACTTGCAAAAGGGTCCAGGAGAAATAGTAGATGATCCGGCGAAGCTTGAGGGAGCAACAAAGATGGAGGGAGCAACAAAGATGGAGGTATGTCAATGAGAGTTTTGGCCTAGAAGATCGTGCAAATAATGCTCATGTGGATGCAAACACATCCAAGTGACATTATCGAGAGGTCGTGCGAGTATCTAGTAGTGAGTCCGCTGCTAGTATTGGACATGGAGGTAGTGGAAAGAAATATTTTTGAATGCTTGGAGACATCCTTATATGGATGTGGTAAAACTGTTGCTGCACTGCGAGGACGATGCACATTACGATAAAGACAACGCAGGATAATGTTATGCAACACGTCCGTCACGTGCATAAATTTATACACCTAAGGTGAAATTCAGTGCCATACCCTACTAGATAGTCCCACGAGTCCGTGTGTCCCAAGAGTCCGCGCATCGACTCTAGCACACTCAATTCTGCATGGAATCCTTATGAATGTTGCATATGGGTTTCCGCCAACATAATGCACAGTTCCAAAATTTGTGTGGAAGAAATTCGAAGTAGATCTCGTCCCATCACCAGCCATCTTTGTCCTTGCTAGACAATCCTTGTTGATCATCTGCCGTAGCTGAGGCTCCGAAGCAGGGACTATGACTATGTCAACCCCAACCAGTAAAACAACAGCAACTACGGCCCGCCGGTGTCAGGATACAACTATCGACGTCACTCTCGTACATACTCTTCCTTTTCTTTTACATGTGCAATCACCCTTCGTTAGATGTGTTAGACACGTTCTATGAATGGCGGGAAGTGCATGGATCAATTTGAATGACTCACGTGTGTGCGCTTTGGATTTCAACTGCTCTGCTGCCCACTTGTTTCCCCAAGTCCAGATACGTCCAGATCCCACTCTTGTGGTGGGAGCAAGTAACGAGGAGACGGGTACCACAAATGAAAACTGCCTCGTTCAGTTCACCAAGGCATTTCCTCTTGAGTTGGCGCTTGGGACTCGGACGCTACTTTGTAAGTGCCAGTGATGGCCGCCATTGAATCTTTTTCGGTGTCTCGGTCAGCACTGGCAGGAGCGTCGACGAGGGAGTGGTCACTTACGTGCACCAAGGAGTCTAAGGTGAGTGGGCACTAATTTGTGTCTCCTACAGGATACTAAACCCACATGTCGGCCTTGCTGTAGATACGTGGTGTCCCGCATGCAAGCTAGTGTTTCAGGAGTAGCGCGGTGGTCGCTTGTAATGTGCTTCGCCCTGTTGCGGCTGATTCTATTTCTCGTCTCATCGATATCTTTCCGCATTGATCTTGTCCTGATAGGCGACCACATGAATGCAACGAATCATTGACTCGATGACTGCGGTGATATCGTAATTCAGCTTGAGGCAACTACCCCCTGGGTACATTCGATTACACGACTTCTCCTGACCACTGGAATAGGTCGATTTGGCAACCATACAGACGCGCAGCTCTACACGTGGGCTGGCCAATATACACACGAGATCATACATACAGGCTGTCATCAATACGGTCTGTACCACCTATCCGAGTCATCGAGCGACGACAGAACAATACTGTCACATGCATTCTCATTGAAGACCACCGCTAACATCAGATTCTTCCCATGCTTGCGCACTCTACGGCTGCGCGAGCTGGTACATATTGGGCTGAATCGCGGTTCATGGTACTATGGTTAGTGTCGTTCTTACCTGCACAACCGGCCACATCATCAGGCAGACCTTACCAATTTGGCATGTTTAGCTTGAATTCATCAACTTATCTTAACCAATCTTAGTCAAGTGGTTAACAGGTTTGATATCTGTTGGTGCAGGTTCGAAACCTGCTGACAATAGTGCTGACAATCTTGATTGCACCTTGGGCATGAGCTCATGGAGAGATCATCGAACGTCAACGGTAAGGGTCATGGCCAAGTCGTTAACAGATTTGAAATCTGTTCCTCCCGGATTGTGCAGGTTCGAAACCTGCTGACAACAGTTTTTTTCTATGATCGCACCTTGGGCATGAGCTCACGGAGAGGTCTTCGAACGTCAACCATAAGACTTATGGCCAAGTTGATAACTGATTCGAAGTCTGTTACTCCTGGATGGTGCAGGTTCGAACTTGACCTGCCGACAATGTTTTTTCTCTATGATCTGAATCCTGCGTATCATACTTGGTACACTGTCAATCGTTTATTGGGAGCAACATCGAATTGCACGCGTCGTCAAATACTCAGTACATGTGGTGATATGTACTCTAACGTAAAAGTTCGGAGAGGACAGAAAACCTAGCGGGAGCTGGAAGCAGTCAAACTTGTTTGTCCAGTGCGTGCAAGACGCGGGAACCACATTGTGAGAACTGCAATGTAGCCGATGTCTGGAACATGTTCAACGTCCAACAGGGAAGGAGATCCGTTACTAGTAGCTGCACCGATACTTCCAGTCTGCAACGTTACTGGGGTGGCTCCGCCGATAAAATTGTTTGTCCCTGCTGGTGGCGTGCTGCTACTCGAGGAGCTAGCATTGGCTTATTGGCAAGGAGGACATGGTGGCTGCACCAACTTATGCCCTTTGCCACTGTGGGCATTAGCGGTGTGCTACGAGACAATATCAGCATCATGAGATGGATATCGAAAAATACATATTTGCCCCGAGTTGCAAAGACATCCACAAGAGGAATCCTACATGGGCGAGGAGGATGGCCTTTGGGAGCAGAGGAGCCAGAAAAGGGGTGGTTCATCACGTTCTTCATTCCGGATCCCTCGGCGCAGCTGTTGTGTCCAGGTGGAGAATGTGGATCGAACTGTCAAAGGATGGTGAGTTGCGTGCCGCCACTACTGTACCAATATTGCAATTCTCGCGGAGAAACTCCTGATCATTGCCTTCGAAGTTTGGCATATTGATAATGTGGTACACACCGCAGAGCAGTTGAAATGTAGCTCAGATCCTAGTATGACAGTGTACACAACCGACAATAGCGAGGTTCGAAGAAGTGCACATCCGTGAGTCACATTTAAATTCATTCATGCACTTCCCGCCAATTGTAGCGGTAACTCTCCGCTGGACTCAACACGTCGAGTTTCTAAAAAAAATTAGCAGATACTGTACCTTAGACTTCAGTCTATTGAACTGTCAAAGAATTATGTTTTTATGTCTGTGCGTTGTGGAGTAATAGACGTTGCGCCAAAAATGCGCGAACTCCTGTGGACATCTACTTAGTATAGTCTAGTAATTCGAACTCGAACCTTGCATAGTGTTTGGTCGGAGATTTGTCGGAGTGTCAAAATTGTGTTCACCCTCTGGGCAGACAGGTCACAAGTATACGTCAAAATTGCTTGCTCTACAGATTGAACTATTTTGTTTGTGTCATCCTTCAACCCAAACACTATGCCTCCAAAAGCGCGTTCTGCTGCCATTCACCTCGGCATCGCTCGTTCTGCTCCTGGGCGACTCGACATCGGCTCGCTCACATTGCAAGATTCATCTGTTGCGACCCCCATCGTTGAGCCCCAAGCTGCCCACCCCATCAAACCTCCTGTGGTCGAGATTACCAAAGTTGAATTCGACTCTCTTGGGACCTTCTGCCATTTCTGCTCGGATGTGTGCGATACAATGACATCCTACTTGTGCGTCAAATGTGGCGCCGTTATATGTGACCAAACACGGCCAGGCGGATCTGGATGCATTGGCCATGACTCGGTGCCTAAGAATTGGGAGTTCCTGTGCCCACTGTGTGCTAGAAAGGTTGATGGAAAGGAAAGGAGCTTGCCTTACAAGGTAATCGGCTATGGGATGCGCAAGAGGGGTGAAGAAGGCGTGGCCAGCTTGCATTGTTCACATAACCTTAGATTCGATGAAGGACCACTATCTGAAGCTCCTGATTAATCTTGACCTCGTGACCCAATACAAACAATCTTCTGCAAATGTAAGTCATTCGCCCTCCTTGACCCCCTAGCAACTAACCTTTGTAATGGACAGCTGACCACCGCCACCCTAGTCATGAGGGCAGGGGCTCATCAGCAACAATCGCGTATGTTGGAGACCCCTTCGAACTTTATCACCACCTCCGTCTCTGAAAACGTCCCCAGCAATACCTTTGTGATCATGGACACTCACTCCGATGAGTACACCGGTATGTTGCAGCATACCGGTGGGGCTTCCGGAGGGACCAACACCACGGCTGCAGAAATCATACAAGCCTACCTTGGTAAGCAGTTCATAACAGCGATGAGGTTCGCGTCAAATCATGCGAGGGAGGATGAGTCGGTGGAGACCACCGCCATGGGCGGCACGCCATGGTGGCGATACCACACCAAAGGCGAGGGGTGGACGACGGGGACTTATCCTTGTCACTTGTGGGCCTGCCATACGGGTCAGTCATCACTTTGACTCACTGCTGAAACTGGTGAAGGAGTAAGTGGTATTGCATTAGTTTATCGCAGCGTCCCCCTCACATGTATCTTAGCGACACCTTTGATTTCGTCATTGGATTTGGAGGAGCCTCGACCCTCCCTGTGAACGTTGGCCCCATGGTTCAAGCCTTTGTTCGCAATGCTACACTGTTCGGAATACCGGATGTCTGGGACTCATTGTGCGAATTGCTCGCCTCCAGTCCAGATGTTTTGGACCACAACACTGTTGTGATCGTCTATGGCTCATATGTGGAGGGGAAGCGCATAGTTGAGAGCAGAGAGATAAGCAAGCACCGTCCTCCGTATCGTGCGTTTGGTCATGAGTTCAGTGCATGTGCAAAGGAGGGCTGCCGTCCCGCGGTATCGGATAACCGGGTGGCAACAAAGAATGGCAAGGTTCGCATCACCTGTGCAAAGTGTGAATGGACATCCGCCTGGGTGGCTATTGACAAGGACAACGAGTATTTCTTCCGCGTCAAACCTACCATTGCTCCAATGCTCTTCTGGCATCACTTCCCCCCGTCTTCTGGACTCAACAACTTTTTCGTGAACGCCACGCGAGCCCCCGATCGAAAGGACTCCAAGGGAAAGAAAGGACAGGAGGCCAAAGCTGAAGCATCCACTCGTCGCTCTGCAAAACGCCAGAGGTCATCATCGAGTTCGGAAGGGTCAAGCAGCGATAGCAACGAAGGGTCCCCTATGACATGTGAATGATGTGGACCCTTTTCCGTCCATAGCCTTCCTTCCGTCTACGTTTTTTTACACCGTCATTGTTTGTTTGGACGTCGAACCCAAATTGTTTTGAATATGTAGAGAGCTGCGACAATATCAGAATGTACCCTACGCAAACAGGCTCGATGTGAGCCCCCGGTATCCTTGCATTCAACCATCAACCACATGCATGTTGTTATATCTACCCCAATTATTGATGCACATATTGCGGTCCTGTTCCGGAGGCATGTCTAGGACCGTTCTTTACAGGCTGTCAGTGTTGGCCATGCACATTGGGTTTTCCTACTCCATGCTTCATGACTAGTAGATTACCCATGAAGTTGTCCTCTGTTACTGCGAATTCAGTGATTGTGCGAATAAACGTACTAAGCATCACTGTCCCAGTCATGGACAAAGATACAACTTCATGGTCGATCGGTAATCGCTTTGCAGATGAAATGGATGAGGTGAAATATAAGTATCGAGTCCTTCCTCTCCAACTTTATCGCAATAATCAGTTGGTCGAGCTAGGAGATGCTAACAGCGCAATGGATGGAGCACCAGTAGAGGTTCACCTCGCAATCAAACATTATGCACCCTCGAATCTTATCAAGCCGACATCCAGCAGGTCAACATTCTCAAACACAGTCAACCAATCGAAGAGAGGGTGTACAAACAGGAGAGTGCTCGAGAGGGACAGCTGACTGAGACGAGGTCTCCTTCTGCAGTTCCTGCGACGAAGAAGGTTGAGTAGATGTGCCCACCAAGAGTAAGGAGGGAAAAGAAGTTAATTCAGAAGAGAAACCGAGAAAGGAATGAGAGTATGAGGGTCCAACGGTCCAGACATTTATGCCTGTGTCTGATTTCTGATATTCGGGATGCGATGGGTTCAAAACATAATAGCTGATATTATTTTCTTTATTTGGTTCTGTACTTGATTCACATGCAAAGTAACTTCCATATGACCTTGCAAGCAAGCTGACCCTCATATTTGTTTCATGATCCTCACGCTCTATCTACAGTCATCAGCGAAAAGAATCTTCAAGTCCCTTCTCAGCGCATATCCGCTGGCATCTACATATTTACCATCTGATCATCTGTAACGTTGACTCGAGGAGACGCTGAGATGAGCCGTTCGGTGAGTGACTTACTCCTCATTCATGCATATACACCAACATGTCGTAGATATCTCCTTCCCACACGTTGGTGATGTCCGCCCTTCCCTCACACTGAAGGTTGACGTTCGACATGCTTAAACGTCACGTGATAATGGTGCCATGTTCCACTCTCAGGAGGTGCGTCTTCAGCATTCACTCCCTCTCGCGATCCAAGAGGTCGGTCTGTCATTCTACATCATGCTCGGCTTTCTCCTCAAATCTTCGTCCTTACCATGGAATATCGTCTCTGATTTCTCTCTTCCACTTTAGCTTGTCTCTGGACTAATTTGGCGTCGATATGAACCCCGTCAATCCATGCCTGGGCCAATTTGACACATGTCCTCCCAATAATGTTATTCAGGCTCAGCCTTGCCTGCTTCAAACTCTCTTTCATACGCAGGATTTCTGCAGGTGCTCCTCCTTTATAAGATTGAGCTGTGCACTTGCTTGTGTACAAATTCCACGACGGACCGCCAATGGTGGTACCTCTGGAATCTGTTTTCGTCTCCGTTTCTTCCACTAATGTCTATCAGAATTTATGTTGGCTATACTAAATAGAATCTTTGGTTGTTCTTGGTCGTGTGTGAATGCAGTGATCCTTGTCTTACGAGTCCGTCGGGGTCACGCCATTCACCTTAGGTAGTAGGGTGGGTCGGGCTCTGTGAGTGTCTTAAGAAGACTATAAATGCGCGAGGTGTTGGTCAAGAAAATAGCAGTGAATTTCTTATTTTGACCAGCAATTTATCTAACTCAAAAGTGATATCATGTATAGTGGAGGATGTGCCAACATTATCAATGGAACATTACATCCTCAAGCTCTGTCCTCAAGGATTGCAACGTGGCTCGAGAGAACACGAAAAAACTCATCACTTCTCATCTGACCCATCTCAAGCGCCTCCACACGTGCGTGGATTGGTTCAATAGAACTCCTCCACCTCCATGCCATGACGTCAAGCTGTTGTTTGTGCCGGAGATCTTGTTTTTTCAGGGACTCCTGCATATTCTGGACGTCCTCCTCCAGTTCTCTCTGCTTCGACAAGGATTCCCGGACCAACCTCTCCATTTTCTTGAGCATTATAATTATCTTCGGCCATTCCTCCTCCAGCTGTGTAACACGTGCGTTGAGTAGTGCTGTTTTTTTACCCTGCTCGCCTGTCACAAAGGTTGCAGTGAGGGTCTCAGCGGTTGAGGGCACGGTGATGAGAGAAACTTTGTTGATTGGCATAATTAAGGTCGATGAAGCAGGGTGTACGGAGGGCACTTGGAAATCCTGGTGAAGGAAGGAGTAAGGGAAGAAAAAGGCAATCACACAACAATTTATATCGCAGGCACGAGCTGAGTCATGGCATTATGTCGGAATTTCATTGTTTCATTATGCTGTTATGCAGTTATGCTGTCATACATGCATATTTATTATTTCTCTTCCACGGCTTGCGCACTGGCCTTTGCCAGAATACTGTCAAAAGATTGTCAATCGAAGGCTGGCGGGTTGTGCGGAGAGCATCCATTTCTGCGCTCTATCCTCGCAATGCACACTTGCAACCGTTCGGCCACAGGAGGATACAAGAAGTTATCAAAGGGTAAGGTACAAGTGGGATGCGAGAATCAAGGTGCAGGAGGCAGAGGTTGGCTAGTGATATGGAGGTGCTATTCATCAAAATGGCTTCCTAGAAAGTATCTAATGGTTACCCTGTGCAGCAATTCAATTAAAATAAGCATGGGTGTGAGCTGCTAGACTGCAAATTAGAGAATCATGAACCCTTGGATGCTTAGCCCTGATGACAAGCTCAAACATTAAATTGTCACTGCAGGGCCGTCAATCTTGGGTGTCCTATATGCAATGGTATGGAAGATGCCATGCAACATTCACCAACAGCGCTTGGTACTACAACGGAAATTCACACTGCCAAGTGCAAAAAGCAAGGGCACTTCCGGTTGATCTATGTACTGTACAATTCTTAATTCTGAATGGTAACACTGGAATGTATGTATTCCCGTTACCTACTAAGTGGTAACTTAAGTTGTGCTGCTTAGTACATCTGTACTTCAACGATGCCGGAAGGAAGCAGTTCTCTGCCTATTATTGGTGATGTATATTGTAGCTGAACGAACAGTGCCATTGTCCTATTTGATTCATGTGCTAGGCGTTCTCAAGCATTTTAATTCCATCTCTCATCGCTTGAATGCACTGCTGCTTCGCGCTCTCCTCCTGAGCCCCGCGCTCCATGAGCTGCTCAATTTTCATCCTCTGTCTCCCCATTTCCATCTGAAGAGGTTTGATTTCATCATACAGCTCGTCAATGAGAGCCATGTGGTACATGAATTCTTCATCGAGTTCCATTACTTCAACGTTGCCTTTCGGTTCAACCCTTGTCAATTCCTCTCTGTCTCGAATCCTAGCCCTCCTCCAGGCATTTGACACGCTCCAGCAAGGATTCAATCGTCTTCCGGAACTCGTGCGCAGATTCATCAGAACCAAAGTCCTGCCCATCCTGGAATTCATGTGAGACAATGGTTTGCGAAGTGTAATTGTAACATACCTGGCAAGGTCGTGGAATCTCGTGGGAACGACAACTCCTGTGCCTTTTCTTGAGAGGGGCAAGTCCGAGAGCTTCACCTGATTTTCTTGCGTAGTGGAACATGGTGAATAATGATGCCAGTAGATGCAAATAAACAAATGGGCAAAGAGAGGAATTCCAAAGTACGGTACTTTTAAGATGTCACGGTGCTATGATATTGTCTCCGTTCAGGTAACAAACAAAAACAAATCACACGCACACACGCACACACAGACGGATCTCCATTGAGAGAGAGAGCAGCCTACAGTATAAAATGTGTGTTTTACCATTTTATTCCTGTACTCGCATCCTTCGCAAGCATTTTTAAGCACCCCCCCTCCGATCTCGCTGCTTCAACCTTCCTTCATCAATCTTAGCCATGTCCACCAACAACGTTTCTTTCATCACCGGGCCCTCAACCGCTCAGACTCTCCTCGCTGCTACCATTGAGACAGTCCATCTGAATCTCACAACACACATCACCAAGCTTGAGGAGGAACGGCGGGAGATTCTCAACAAGGTTTCAGTGTTAAATAGGTTGGCTGTGAAGTGCATTTTGAACAGGATAGGACTTGAGGAGAATGTCCAGAAAATGGTGGATTTATATAAAGAGAGGGAGCAACGGCATAGTGGAAATCTTGATCATGTTGTCTTGAAGTGGAGATCAGAACTTGAAGATCTCCTTCATCGTTGCCAAGAGCATATGGAGGACAAGATGGGGGAATCCCTGTTGCATGACGTGCTCTCAGACCGTGTTGACAGGCTACAGGACATAAGATATGGACCTTTATCATCAGATAGCATACCATAACATTCCAAAGTGTGTATTGGACATTTAGACATTTCCATGTGCAAGCAAATATGGGTATACCATTTTGATTGCCCCAGCTTCAACACTTCCCTAATGTGCGACGCCTGAGTGAGCACCATGCTCTCTATACCTTCCAAATATTCTGAACCTCTATTAAGGAAAGACCTTGCTCCCTGCCCCTCATTGCCTGACGAAGCTCAAAACACATACGCATCAGCCGGATTATGCGATATACGAAAGCGCCCTTAAATATGGTGGGCAAACCCTGACCGGGCGAATAGATCAGTGCGTGACGATACTGGAGCTCTGCATGGTGTTATTACTGTCGCCGGAAGTAGTGAGTACTTGTGATGTTGAAGGAACTGATCCTCTTGACACACGTTCCGTGAAGGCGCGGAGACTTGCACCAAGCTTCAAACGATGTCATAGACCTATTTGGCTCATCGATAATGGTTGCTGGGGGCAAGCCGGTGGAAGGAAGGGCTCGACCACCCCCTTACAGATGGCATGAGCATTTCGGCTTTCGTGATGGGATCTCCCAGCCTTGTCTACAGCAAGTCTTTCCCGGAAATGGCGTTTGTACCGCAGGACTTCAATATTCCGTCAGGGGTCTTGTTATTCCTCGCGCTGGTCAGGTTCAAGTTGATCCTGGAGTGATTATTATGGGTTACCCAGGCGATCCTGTGCGGGATGATCCGACTACCAAAGTGAAACGTCCGGCCTGGACCGAGGACAGGTCGATTTTGGTGTTCAGGAAGCTCGAACAATCTGCTATCTCTCTTTGGAGGATTGTGTGCAGAGGAATGGACCTTGTTGGCGCGAATTTATTCCCGGAGGTGGTATATCTCCTCCGCTCAGCAAACAAGAGGCTGAAAATCTCTTCGGGCCACTGGTTATTGGGGGTAGAAATCGGTACGATACAGCAACGCTCTTTACTCTGGTGCATTGAGCGCATTGAATACATGTTTGTGACAGGGCGCACCCATTGCCAAATGCCCCTTCCGCGACAATCAAAAAATGGCGCTTGACCCAAACCTCAACAATGACTTTGATGACTTAGTTCGCGATAACCCAAATATATCACAATATGAACCTAGTGATTACTACTGCCCATTCACTGCACACACACAAGATCGCGCCACGTAATTTGTATCCTCACATCGACGCTAAATTCCTCGGATCTGGTTCGATCGTACGTGCAGGCCTTCCGTATGGCGACGAGGTGAGAGAATTCACAGACATTGTGCATCACTACTCCCCTGATTTGTGCTGTCTCCTTCCTTCAGGTTACTGATCAAGAACGACGCGATGTAGCAGGCCGAAAGCATGAGTTGCCTCACGGGCTTCTGTTCAATTGCTATATGACCAGCTTGGCCCAAGGATTCGTTCGTGGTATGATTGGATACGCGCGAAATGATTACTGGCCTGTGACATCTCTGGTGCCACAGAAGAAGGGTAGCTAAAACAAAGAAGCTCTTCGCCTGTATACCACTCTAACCAATAGATTCCAATTTCAATTAGGTCAGGACCCTGTAATTGGTAGCCCGCTTGTGTATACACCTGCTCAGCTCGAAGGCACATCTCCCTTAGTAAATTCCAGGAATAAAGTCGACCTACAACTCACCGGTGCGGATGGTACAACGTTCGAGATGTGCGGATTCGCTAAGGTTACCCCTAAGGGTGTGATTCCACCACCCGGTGAACCGAACCACTACTTCATTTCTGGGAGGAGAGGAGAATCCTTTTTTGTTCCTTCTGTCTCGACCTTAAAAAGTTGGGCTAGCGCAACCACTACTGCGACGTATAAGCTGTAAGATATAGTCCTACCTTATGATTCACTGGTACTAAATAAGCCATTCGCAGAGACATTGTTTTCCTCCTCGATGCGACGGGTAGTATGCAAGTCTATATCGAACAAGTACAAACACCATCCTGTCGCTGTGCGAGCGCCTTGTTGTGGCTGAAAAATGTCAGGTGGCGATTTAAGATTTGGACTTATGGCATTCCGCGACCACCCCACGCAAGATTCCACGTACATCACCTGCCAACACCCTTTCGTCTCTGACGTTTTTGTTATCAAGGCAGATCTGGCAAATCTGCAAGCAGACGGCGGTGGTTACGGACCCGAAGCTCAGTGTGATGTGTTCGCTTGTGTCCTGAATGCGGGATGGAAGGACGAAGCCACCGAGGTCGCTATACCTATCACAGACCATGTTGGTTTATTCCATCCAAAGTATTGTACCATGGCTCACCTCCCCATCTAGTCACCCTCTCAATCTCGCCAATAGCCAGTCTTTGCACTTGCTTACTCTTGCCAAGCAGAGGCTCTGCTCGCAGCTCCGGATCTCACCCAAATCATACCCTGTCATCAAGGTGACCATCATCCTGGATCTCGTCAAGATTGATGTGAACAAGATGAATCGAGTATGGGACTTCTCGGTGCACATTAGTTTCCTCAAAATCACACCTGACCCGCCGCATGCCGTTGCTCAGGATACCTTGTATGTCAATCTTTCCCCTGGATGACTGGCCTGAGTATAATTGAGGTCGCAGCGATGACGTTCCTCATTGGCTCGACAATCGCTCGCGTGGAAAGTGAGTCCGGTGATTTTCATTGTAGAATCGACTAAATGAAACGCTGGCAGAATTTCCAGTGGTTTCTACTCCAGTGAGCTGTCGCTTCGGGGGCCTTGCCCCCTCTCTGCGATCTTTTGGGCGCCAGCACTGATCCTCGAACTTATCATTTGCATACTCGTTTGTTTCTCAAGAAAGTTCTCCTGAACAACACAGTAAACTTGCAATGATTCTGGCTCATGGCAGGTTTGGTAGTTGTTATCTTTGATGAGACATGCTGATGACCACTCAAGTTTATGATACTTTCTAGTGTATGTCCGTCAGCGTCTAAATGACTGTCACAGTGTACTTGGCCATTTACCATCTCAGAATCTTCATGCAACTCGCTGGGTCAACTATTGTCTGGGCTCAGTATTCCTCCTATATCGACTTCTTTATGCCATGGGCCTCTGTCTCTGTGACACACTTGTGTCCAGCGCATGTACAACACTCGCATCTTGAGATTTCAAATTTCTGCTACACGTCCTGCCATCAACTCATCTCTCCTACCTCTGTTGGTGCGGCTCTTCGGCCAGACGTGCATGTTTCTATGACGTTGCAGGGTGCTTCCACACTGATCACATAATCCCCCCGGTTCAGCGCGTTTATGACCCGCTGATTACTGCATGCGTCACGACACGGACACGCATGGAAATTATGCCTTCAGCAAAAGGACGCATGTATGCTCACCTCTGAATACCTCCGAGTACTTCTCGCCTGATAATCATGCTTTGACTGCTGAATGTGTGAAATGTCGAGGCACCATGTCTAGTTACATAGGGATGTATATGAATTGCAGGAAACCACAGAGGCGGAACGGATCGAGTCCCAAAAAATGGACACTGTGGGAGTTGAACGTTGAACATTAAATCTACAACCTTACACAATCACCGTTTGCGAAGGGTATGCGCTACCAACTGTGCCAAGGGCTGTCGTCTGCTGAGTGACCTAAGCAATACATCACTGGCTGAATTATTGCAGCTTAATAGAACGTGCAATTGGGACTTGACCGTCACATCCCAAGTGTCTTTTGGATGGACATACATTATATTGAAAATGAAGTTTCCCTATTGCAACCTCCCACAGTCCAGAGGAGACGAATCCGACCAGTGGACAAGACATGGAGTGCTGCGTGCTTCGATTGATATCCAAAGTAAGTTGAGTTTGATTGCCTGCGTATCACCAAAGTGAGTGTCAACTATCATCACACCTTTTCTGCGTCGAGTGGTGTATTGACCCATAGCATTTTCGCGACCTTACCTTACCACGGTTCGCAAAGATGGTATCGGTTGCGCAATTGAGGTCGATCGCCGCAGAGTAGAGCTTGATAGCCCTGTTGTAATTACCTGCAGCGAGTGCAACATCTCCAGTCGCAGCGAGGATGGTCTGGAGGGGAATGGTAGTGTCACTTGAAAAATCTAGAATAGCAAATAAAATAAGTTCACCGCATGGCGGTCAAGTGACATTGGCCTTCAATACAATTCGCCGACGAGAATCAACCTCGAACAACACTCGATCGAGATTCGAGATAAGTTCACGTAGCTGGGGCTTACCTTCTTTTTGTGTTTAATACTGAAGATCCCTTCCAGCTGTTCACTAGGGATGGGATTGAGTTTATGCATAAGGCCATAAAGGCTGGATGTCCCCCGAATCTTTTGTTGTGATTGACACTGAGGTTGCCGAAGGAAACGCCACAGTCTCAAACACTGTCGCAAAATCCCTTAGTAAAGAATTCATGGAGTGCATGGGAGCAGCATCTTCTTCTGCAAGGGGTGACACTGCTGTAAATATCACGGCAACTAGGAAGAAGCCGTGGTGCCACATCACTGCCAAGGCTAGAAGAGGACGGAGGGCTCTCCTCCTGGTCGGAAGTCATCCTCCTATCAGGTTCCGTCATCACTTTTAATCGCTCGTGGCGCTGATGCGTGAATAGCACTCACTCACAACACTTCAGTGACAATTTCGACTTCGTGCTTGGGTTTGGCGGTTCTGGTAGCTCCACATCTCAAAAACGATAACGAGTTCGTCGAAGAGCTGAGACTCTGATGCATGTAGGTAGGATTTCGCGTACATTTGACCTGTCTCACTCGCATCTCCAAGTTTCACGATGGGATTCGCTGGTGATATATCGTCGAGCGAAAGCGAGGGGCCGGCGATGGGACATTGTCGGGAGTGTTGTACATATGGATAAAGTTATGTAGTCGTGAAAGAATGTATACGAGCCGGCCCAAGGCTTGTAAATGGGAAACTTCATAATGTTATGCTGAGCCCGCTGAGATCTGAGCTGAGCGGGAGGCTCGAGTTGTCCATTACTAAGCTTTGGAGCAGAATGGCCAGACCGAGCGTTGTAGGGAGGGGAAGAACTTGGTCTGGAAACAAGCAGACGTCAGTAGTGTATACATAGAGTAAAATGAACAAACAATCAGGCTTGAAGCTTGAATGCTCGGAGTAACCTCCAAGAGGAGTGTCCTCGCAGCCCGATGTCCTCTGATCCAGGTCGCCGCACGGACGGACAAGGACATCAACGCTTTTCTCCCCTTCTGTTACCCCTGCTTCTCCTTCGGTGTCATGCGTTCATGTTTCCATCTTGCTTGTACTTCTCCGTGCTTCCTGAAGTTGAAAGTTAACACTCAGCGTCGTTCAGGTCGGGGTTTGGCGTTTGGTGGATGCAGGGAACATGGGTGGTGACACGGTGGTGTTGTCCCATTTCTGCCGGCACTTGCCAAGGGTCGAGCTCAATGTTATATCGTATAGTAACACGGAAGATATTCTACCATCTAAGCTCAAGACAAGTTTCACAAAGCGAAAAAAAGATTCGTCCTCGCATACCTCCAACAAACCAATGCTGTCATAATGTCTTACTCCCATACCCATTGATCAGTTGACAAGCAAGCCTTGCCGACGTTAGGACAGCTGCGAGACGCTCGCGTGAGACCGTCCAGTGACGCGGTTTGATGTATGTTGTTGGGCAACGTTCTCACTAGCACTTTGTGCGAGCATGCGCCTTGGCAACACATCTACTGAAATTATTTACGATGTTGCAAAATATTAAAATCGATAATGCTCACATGAACGTTCACGACGATGTGCACGCTGCGTGATGAATGATCTGCCGACAAATCTTGGTATATGGCTAAGACCACCACGAAGCTGAGGATAACCAGGAAACATTGTCTCATGGAAGCCGCAGTATCCGACAAATGTTAGCGCAACATCTCCTAGTTCAGCTCGTGGAGCGCTGCGAAAGGCAGTGGCCAGCGATACTATGTCTGGAGCACGTTCACGCACTGAGTGAAGGTTGGTCAGTCAGAAGTCCATGCTGCGAGAATAGAGTGCTATGCGAGTGCTTACAGAGAGTTGGAAGGTGTTCATAGCGAGATTCCAGTAGTGCAGTGTGATAAATGCTGTCAATATTCACTGTAGGAAGTCAGCAGGTCAAATAGTAAGGATAAATTATATTTAAAGAACTCACGGTAGAAGCCACAGCGGTTGTCAACATGATGGCAGCGCACGACAGTGTGTCCCGAGATGAACTCATCAGCGAAGCGTGCGGGTGTTGGCTGTCCAGAGATCAGTCCGCAAAAACACTCCCATGTAAGACCGCAACGGCGCAAAAAGTCAAAAACACCCTCTGGCACAATGCGCTGCCCACGGCACGACATAGGACTGCAAATGAATTAGAAATAGGTGTGTTTGGAATGCAAAAACTGCATACTAGGCGATCATGACTAGTTGACCAACTTCGCGCGAGTAAACTAGGAGCTCTGTAGAGGAGTGTTGTGCAACGACACAGGCATGGAAGATCGAGTTGATCTGGAAAACCATCGGTTTTTGTTGTGCGTTGAAAGAGAATGGCTGTGCACTATCTGCAGAAGATGTTGTACTTGAGTATGAGTCAGCAGACCTATTAGGGCATATGACAGTGCAAATGTTAAGGGCGAATTTGATCACATCGAAGCACAATACATGTAAAGGTGCACTTGTCTTGGAGTTTGAAAAAGCTCAACCAGCCTATTATCTGTTTGTTTTTCCTTTATGTAATTGACATTTACCTGATACAGATGTGTACATTTTTGGCAATCGCAGTGAGCGTGTCTCGTCCTCCGTAATTTGTATGAACATCATATTCTCTACTTCCGTGTACTTTTGGAATATGATCAATAACAAACTTACGCATTCGAAACATGTGCCCAAGACTTTGGTTATGGCCCATTAGCGCCTGCTGCATCTCCAGTTGAACACAGGCATTTTTGCCGTAAGTATTTCCCCTTGCGACTCGATCTTTGCCCATTGTTGCTTCCCACATCATATTGGCACCATGTTGGCAGCTATCTTCAACAATGTGTACTCCACAAATGGGCGCATAAATGCAAAATGAAGTATACCATCTATCTCCCCAATGACTTGCAAGATCATCCACACGTCCTCGTCATCACCTGCAGCACACATTCTCACGCGCCTCCGATACCAGGCAAGGCTTCGTCTATATTCCGCTGCTTTGAGTCCAATCTATGATGCTTAGAATGGAACTTAGCTGATGCCACAAATATGTTGCTTAGTAAGTTGTCCCACCTTGGGAGCCTATTCGCTGACCGTTCGCCTGTTTTGGCAGTCTCCCCGCAACTCGCTCTCCTTGCACTCCGTTGCCAGTGTTCCTACGGCGGCTGTCATCTTCCTGGCCTTCACGATTGCTGTCTCTGTTGTTGAAGGTTCATTCACAACGGAAACTTTCACAACATTTATCGAGGGGGATGTTGTAAGTGTTTTTAACTCCATGAGTTGAACATCTTCTAATATTCCACTAGCTGCCTTTATGTACCCATACCCAGGTAGATTGAGTGTGCTTGTGATGGACAATGCCAAGATACACAATAGAGAAGGTGTGTCCGAACTCATCCGTGAAGCTGGCAGGTGACTCGAGTCACTACTCATATTGACTTGATACTAACGGATATTGCTCCCTCTACCCAAACAAACATGTAGTTCCCATTTCTTTAGTAGGTCGCCCCCAGGCCTCTCTCAATGTCTGAACAACCAGAAGATACCTGTCACAATCTCACCAAATACAGAACCGCTCAAGAATGTCTGTTTAACTAACCAACGGCAGTAAACTGGGACATCCAGATATGTCTGAACAAGCTACACAGTGTGAGATCCAGCCGTCAATGGCATAAAGTCTATCCTACCCATCACTACACTCCCACACTCCAAAAAAACATGCACGAAGAAAAAATAGCTGGAAGTCATGTATGAGCCTGATATTATCTATGCAACAAAACGAACAGATCGTGAACATGTGCAAATTAGTTCACAGAGCCACCTCCAGAAACTCTTCTTGCCAACGCTTCTTCCCCTTGCAACCTCTCGAACAAGGCATTCAAGATCTGTTTGTCTACGCAACGATGATCAAGTTTCTGGAAAGCTTCGCTCACAATTTGTAAATGTCTTGGGGATATATCAATCAACAATGTGTAGTGGAACACATCGAATGAGATGAGATCTTCATTGAACATGTTGAAAGCCCATGTCACATTCTCAAATGAGAAAGGTGACTCTGAGATGAAGCTGTCCTCGATCGTCGATCATCCACCTTCCTCAGATGCTGCAGTGAACTGTGAAATTCGATCTGATGATGAGTTTGGATTTGTGTATATCTCATCCTGAGATCCCATGATGGTGTCAGGAGTGTGATCAGGAGGCCTGCCGTACCAGGCATCTTCTGCAAACTTCAAGACATCGGCCAGGCTGCTTTCCAGGCTGAGCTTCTGCACAGAACGCCATATAGGTTCACTGCTTGGTATGATGGAAAATCGATCCACACATGCACAGAACAATTTGTCAGCATCGTGGGGCTTCTCCTTCAAGTGCCGAAGGTAAGTCCTTATGGCGATCTTTGCATCTAAGGTTCGAAACGGACACTGAAGGTTTTCCCCCTCTGTGAATGATAAGGATAATCAATATATCAAGAACAACCGGGAAATCCATGTTTCGTGCAACTAACTTACCTTGATCTGTACCGCCATCCAGCTGGCCATCGTGCAGGTCTAGGTCATCAGCGAGTAACTGACTGAATTGGCTCCATGTAGTCAAGCCCTGGTATAGATGATCTACTCTCTCCGACCATTGATCTCTGCCCCGGTTCATAGGGAGAAAATCCATGATTTCTTGCAAAAAGTCTGCTTGTTTGATGTGGTCCTCCTCTTCAAGGTAATGGCGCAAGAATACCAGGGGTTTATCAAGAGTATGTCCTGCACATGCAGAAAGGACGATATAAGTGCGCGCAAATATGTTCGTCTTTGAAGGACCCACCACTACAGAGCCATGCCTCCCTCCTTGAGACGGCCATAGCAGGAGGTGGTTGTTGTGCCACAGAGGAAGGAACAGGCGACGGTTCAGGCAGTGTAAACCGGACCTCAGATGAACCATCGCCTGACTCCTCGTGACTATCTAAAACATTTAACGAATGTTGGCTGCAGGTACAGGAAATAAACAGGAAACACACCTGTGCCCATCCCCGAACAGGCTTTCATTTCTGGTGGGGCAACATACTGCTCATCACCTACAATGAATGATGTACACAAATGTGAGGTGTTGGCACATGCAGTGCACAATATCCGTACCTTGGCTCTCACTCAATGATTTCGAGCGGTGATCATGTGCTTTCTGCAGCACTGTAGTCACTGTGTCCGGTTTGGCCTTTGTCATAACCCAATCCCAAATCTTGCGATCCTTTGTATCTGGATCAGAAAATCGACTGATGCTGCGAAAAAATATATCGGCAGCGGTGTCGGGGTTGCTTTTCGAATTGCGCAGGTAAGCTCGCACCGCGATCCTCGCATCCAATTTGAGAAACGGGAGGTCAGGCTCCACGCTGTCTGGGAATCAGAGTATAGTATGCATCCTACAGAAGTGATGATTTCATGAATGCCCATACCTGGACCCATGTTGTTAGTCCGCCGATCCAGCTCCAAATCCAACGCATCAGCCACTAAATTACTGAACTCGTCCCATGCCATCTCGCCATCGATCAGCTGGTCAACACGCAACGACCACTGTTGTCGTGTCCCGTCGTTGGGCAGCATGTCCATGATTTCCCTCAGGAAGTCTCGGCGTTCGATCTCCTCCTCGGCCCGCAAGCAATGGTACAAAAAGACCAGAGGTGCATCTAGGGTGAATCCTGCAAGGCACCACAAGATATGTTAGTTCGGGCAGAGAACAAAAGCAATCTAGTGCTGACCATCGCGTAAAAACTGGTCCTTTCGTTCGCTGATGAATCGAATTGGTGGCTCGTGGTACTCATGCCACCTGTCTGGCAATGCCGCGTTTTCATCATATGGGATGTCTATCCCTTTCCCCCCTTTTTTGAGGTGCTTGATGGCTGCATCCATATCTTTCTTGAACATCTCTGAGAGGTCAAGTCCCTTGGACATCCATGCATTGTCCGCTCCGCCAAGCATCATCGGGATGTCATTCACATTTACGCCCCAGCCCGTTTCTGAGGCCATCACGAGTTAGCGCAGATACACACGCCTGCATCGGGCACACCTACCGAACATCCTCTTGTTCCTTGTGTGCAACGGATCGGCCGCTAAGTACATGTCCGCATCGTCAGGCAACTCATCGAACTCCACGAATAGCCAATCTCGGCGATCGCGAATGAGGAACTCGTCGAGTGATTTAATCCGCCCATCATTCACGCCGTTCGCGATGCACTCCTCCAACACAATTCTTCTGGCAACCATAGCTTGAAGGAAACGTGCACCAGCATTCTTGCGAGACGTGTCAATCAGACCCGCCCTTTCTTGTTGTGCCTTGATCTTCGTCTTCTTCGTCTTCTTCTGCTTCTTCTTCGACTCTTCATCCCAACATTTCCATATGGAGAGCCAGTACTCCACACAGTAGCAAAGGTACACCCAGGATGAACAATATCTAGTGGGGAGGAGCACATGGCCGAGAATCCGCCGGTCCTTCATAGCAGGAACCCGCAAAAACTCAAGGTTAGTGTTATCCCTTCCAACATAATTTACCAGTTTCGGAACGCCGTAATGAATTCTGTGAGGCGCACATGCCTCCCATTGGTCGATAGAGAGTTCGGCCTTGGTGACAGGGATGCGGAAATCATGGATGGGTTGAGGAAGTGCCCCACTGATAGCAGTGTGTTTTGCAGCAGATTTTGCAGCGGATTTTGCAGCGGTCATCGCACGATGCCGTTTGTAAACAGGTTTGACGTGGGGATGAAGCACTGTGCCATGTTTTTCGGTGCGGCCTGTTTGCTTGGTGTGAGGCATTCGATGTCTGTCTAAGCTGAGCAAGATGAAATTCACGGCTGAGGTGGGGGCTTATCGGAGCAAGTAGAGGAGGAATAATTGAGTGTAGATTGTTGTAGGTAGAGGATGTGTTCTGAGCGTGTCAGGATTCGAATTCAGATGGTGCGGAAGGTGTCGTATGGTAGGTGAAGTGCTACACCATGTTTAGCCGACCAACCGCGAATCTCTCACGCAAACCCACCAATCTTTTTACATACAATTTTTGTTCATTGAGAGTAAAACAATATGAGTAGGATACATCAGTCTTGGAGCCCAACAGTCTACTACTCTAACTCGCAAATGTACTGGTGTAGGGCATACACTCACTAGCCCGAATGCCGTGATAGACAAGAGGTTTGCTTTGGTGTCCAGTTCAATTCTTGGTTGAGGATAACATCCAGGGAGCAGTATGGTGGCACCTTGAAGACTGATTGGGGGGCGTTCGCGCTTCTGGCGATGTCCATCAGTGCAAATTCTTGGTTTCAGACGGAGAGTTATGTTTCTGCAACCAGTTAAAACCATCCCCGCGACGCTCAAGCACGCCCCCGAGACCCCAATGAGTTTCAACAAAATCCTTACTGGTGGCCACTAGCGCCATGCCATCCAAGAAAGCCAGGGTGAATTGTTTGAGTGCCTTGTGACCTCTAAGAGGTTGCACGATATCGAACATGTCAACACTATAAATCTCATCGAGAGGGTCGTCTTGACCTATACAATTATGGATGTCAATCCAATCGGAAGTAAAACCATCGAAATGCATAAGTGCCCAATCAAACTGGCAAAGCTCCGTACAGACTAGTGAGATATGTTTACAGATGCCTGAATCCATAAGGTATGATTCCGGAGGACGATAGAACTGATTATAGAGCAGGGTGGAAGCTGTTCATCAAGACGTCGTAGAGTGTAAATCGGACAGGATACAAATAGTTGGGCTGTGTGATTACAAAGAGTCACGCTACCACGTGAGGGAGTCCACCTTGGTCTAAATGCATCAGATAAACAGCAAAGGATTGGTTACACCAACCTCTAAGACTGATGTGCAACAATGTCCCAAATCAGTATTATTATTCATCTCAGCTGCAATTACAGTTGAAATCCACAATACACAGGTAGATGGGTAGCAATCGACGTCCAAGTACACATTGAAGCAGATAGAAATCTAAGAAATTTGAGACGAACAAAGGCGGGTTTTATGCAAAATGCGAAGAACTTCGTAATGTTCAAAAATGAATGTCTGTCAGACTTCGAGCACAGTCATATTTCCCACCAAGCAGCAAAACCTTACTATTAGAAATACAGTGTTGTTGTGTTTGCAATTGTGTCCACGTTTGCCGTTGTTGCTCGATGTGTTTTGAACTGATCTCACATTCCTGTGCATCATTTTGTACTGCTACAAAATGTACCCTGCATTCTGCACCAAACTAGTACAACTATGGGTGCTTATTGTCATGGTGCGTGTGCCGATAGGGGTTTTGTGAGTTGAAGCATGTTTTCCATAGGCTTTGTGGTAGTCTAATGACTGATCTTTGATGATTTCAAACACGCATGCTTTCCATTGATAAAAGTCAGGTAGAGCCTGGTGGTAGACTAGCCTTCTCAAATAGGTGACACAGGTGATCTGCAGAGGTCTCCGTTCTCCATAGCTTCTCGCAGCAAGCGTCTCCACCTGGAGTCAGGAGATCATGGAAAGATTACCCCGTGCAACTACAGCGGCCCCACTACACGGAACACAGATGGTTGGTGGACAACAGGGCTTTCGATTATTATAAGGAGGGCCCTACGGGTAGAGTAGATGCAGCTGTGTCTCTAGCGTGATGTAGCAACTCGGCTTGAAAGGTTGCAAACGGGGTAGGAATGGGTCTATGGAGATGTCGGTCAATATTGAGACAAGATAGGACGAGCCTGGACTTGGTTGGAGGGAAATGACAGTAAATACCGGATGGGACGAGCTCTGGCGGATTAACTTGGCGAGAGGGAGATGCTAGTAAATATTAAGAAGACCGGATGGGATGAGCTTGTAGCAGATTATTTAGAAGTACTTGGCGAGAGCATAGTTCACCCTGTCTGACGCGTCAGTCGCTGAAATGGGCAGGGACGGATGATCGTACTGTGAGATTGCAGAGCGAGCTACCTCTAAGATCGGAAGTATGTAGGTACAGCGACAACAGAATTGCCGGTGCCGCAGACTGAAGGGGGAGATGGTAGCCAGTCGTTGAGAGACGTTGATGCGTGCCAGCATGATAATGGGGGCTACACACACAAAGCAAGCAGCGTCGCCAATCAACCGTTTTCCTATGGTCGTCGGTGCCAAGCGCGTGGACCTCCAGCCGCAGAATAACAACCTCGCCCACAAAAATGGAGGTGATGCACCCGAATGAACTTTGAGAAGGGGAGGCTTCGTACCTTTGTTGACTGGTGCGCCTGCGAGAAAAACAAACCAAGCAGACGGCTGCGGGTCAAACAAATCGCAGTTTCTGTGGGAAAGTTACGGCACTTGACGGCATCAGCTTAGCCCTGCTGGCGCTGCAGTTCGGCTCTCACCTTCATACTTTCACCAATAATGTCCACCCACACCTGTCCTCCTCCTCTGCCTCCAGACTTTCCAGATCCAGACCATGCCATATGCACCCATCATCGTCACCCGCCGATGGCCCTTCGTGTTTCACGCATCGTTCGTCCTCGATGTGCCTTGACGGTTGTCTTCCCACCCTCCCACTTTCGGGAACGCTGATGTAAGCCTGTGCTCAGTCAGACGGTGAATTTACTCATATGAAACCATCCTTCCCACTCACACCTTTACTCCTGGTCTCTTCAGGTGACCTTTTATACCATTCCAAAGTGACTGATACTGCAGCTCAGATTGGGGCAGTGAGTAACACACAGCACGGCCAATTTGTTTCATTCATACAACATGTGTTTTCTGTAAAATATGTCAAGCGTTCGTTCTTCTAAGTGGTTGAAGGCCACTTAGCGTTTTTGATGCGAGGTGGTAGAAGCACTTGAACATTGTTTCAAGTCTTGCAGGTATGGCATGTCTTACAATTTTACACTGCTGACTGCTGGTTAGGCCCTAATTTTGAAGACCTGGTTTGCATTGTCTACCACAATGACGAACAAAAGTGGCTGCATGCGACAAGCCATAGATCCCTTTCTCACACCAATACACATGCAGACTGCGCGTTAGTCGTCTTGCTTATCCCTCTTCCCACAGAATATGCTAACTCTCGCCCCACTAGTGGCACTGTCCTTGGGATTTAGTAGGTGGGCAGTGTGACTAGTACATGATTACATCATGGTTCTATTGCTAGTCAGACCGACGCTTTTTAAACGTTGCAAGCAGCGTCTCCTCAAATGAGTCCACATCTCGTTGTGTCTTCTTGTTTTTGCCATTTATTTCGCGCTGAATATTCTCATGGCTATGAATTGTAGCCATGATATCCACAGTTTGAAAGGTAAATGCAGGGTTTTTCCGGTCTTTCTCCTGAGGGTCACGGAACAAATGACGATACAGGATCGGGATAGACTTGACCCCTTGATCTGGAAAGAGCTCCAGGTCCTTGAAGTCAGCAGATTGAATTCGCAAAATAACTGGGTTAGATACCTTGTATGTATTTGACTTCTGGGCTCTGACCCAATATGGTGTCTTGGCAAAAGTCACTACTGCTCTGTAGGCATCGGGTGTTGGTTGGACTTTGTCCGTGTCCTTTATAAGCTTTCCATTTATTTCAGGAACGAGCTTGTTAAGCTCATAAGTATCGTTCCCTTCAACAATCCGAGGATACCCTGGATCCATCTCCCAATGGGTCCAGATAACGGATTTCAGTTTCCGTATTCCGTCCTTTTCCTTCTCGTGATCGAGGTTGATTGTGGCCGCTAATTGTATCATGCCTTTGGACAGGCATATAAGTCGGCCAGCATCCAAGGCCAATTTCTTTTCCCCTTCCCCGTAGTATCCCACTTCAAAGGCAACCGTAGGGATCCCACTTGTCCCTTGCTGCGCCTGCCCGCTACTTTCTTTTACTTCATACAGGCTGAAATCAGGTGATTTCGAACCAGCTGCCAGAGCAATGGTCGTTGACCCGCCCTGGGTGATTGTGCTGTCGTGATATTTCTTTGGGTACGATTTTTCTGCATGCCTCATCACATCGAACAGTTCTGGGAGGATCTCGTGGCCAAGGTTTGGGCAGTGTACAATGAGCACACCCTCATTGTAGTCGACTCTACATGATCGTCAACATTGAGCTGGGACTGACCAAACTTGTGACACACCTCACAGCCTGCCAGTCTCCGTTATCTGTAGCTTTTTCCATGACTGCTTCATATGTGGCAGATGGAACGTTTTGCATAACAACCCTTGTTACTGCCCGATCTGCAACGTTCCTGAAGGACTCCAAAATAGAGTCGCAGGTTTCAGGAGATGGACTTGATGGAGATGGTGGAGGGGTCAGATCACTAGGCAGTAGGTTCGCTTCTGTGGGAGGCACTGCAACTTGTGCAAGGGTTTCAGAAGCGCATGAGGATTCTAGCCTACACTGGGACTCCTCAAGTGAAGGCCGTGTACTGTTGGGCGGTGTGGGTAGGTGGTTACGAAGCGATATTCCTTCTGGTTGGAAGTTGGAAGGCATATATATAGGCTGGTACTTGAAATCACTGAACTCTATGTCTGGTGTCATTCGATGCATGATGTGGCTCAGGCGGAGATAAGGATGATCTATGCGCTGATTATATATGTGTCAACATATTTCCCTTCTCACGCAATATTGATTGAGTTCGTGAGAAGAACAGTTTCACATGAGGAAATCCACGCTTACATAAGCCCGCCCACCAGCTAATGACATCTACCTATGCATCTCTATATGTATACATCAGTAGCCAAACTCCGACTACTGAGCAGGAATCACAAACCTTGAAGCTTGAGATGTTGCATGATCAAGTCGACCACAAATCAACGCATGAGAATGATCGTCGATGACGTCACAGGGGAAATGGTACGATTTGTAAGCAACGTATTCACCTTAAGGGTACGTCCACACGTCTATCAACATACATGACAATTTACAACTGTTTGCAAAAAGGTTGACAGTAGCGACATTTTGAGAAAGAACAAATAAATAAATAATAGCCATGTACATACATCACAAATCAACCATCATGTATCGGAAAATCAGTCGCGACGTCAAAATGGCTGCTATTAATCTTCACAAGCATGAGCACCTTGCACTTGAAGACATTCTTACATGCAACGGAATTTCAGAAAACCATTCACCATGAACTAAGCTGTGTTAGGCTTGAGTACTTCCCGGACTGGCTCTGGGACCTGATTCGTCAGGATTTCCATCTGCAACAACGGTTTAGTTCCCAGAGTGGTCCACAGAGGAATACTGCAGCATGTTGTCATCTTCTGTCATTGATAGTTCATCGTCACTGGAGAAGCTGTCCATGAATATTAAGTCCATTCAAGTTGGTGTGATTATATGCGCGCATGGAGCGTTTGCAAGTATCGATGCACGTGTTATTGACTCTGGCTATTATTCATTTGTTTGTTCTTTCTCAAAATGTCGCTACTATCAATCTTTTTGCAAACAGCTGTAAAACAAGAAGGAAAATGCCGTACCTGACTCCCCTCACGGACAAGACGTCGAAGATGCTCCGCAGATGGACAACGAAACCGCAAACTGGCCGATTCCGGACGAGTTTGCGCTGCACTTCGATAGCATCAAATACCAATTCCAAGTAATACCACTCCCTGTCTTCTATGAAGGCAACTTTATTCAACCTATCCACACAAATACCGCTCTCAACAGTCCCATTGAGTTCACCATGCGTCATTGGAAAATCCAACTTGAAGAACATGTGATACTTTCCAAGCGACCGCGGAAAACGTAACTATCCTGAGGCTCAGAGCGGTCCACCACAATACTAACTACAAACGCCCACACGTGAACTACAAGGAAGACCAACCCGAAAACAAGAAAATTCACCGAGAGAATGGCGCGAGTAGTTCGAAAGTCTGAAAAGACGTACGTGCCTTCTACTGCCCTCATAATTGTACTTGTATCTCGCAGTGTTGCCGACTGGTATTGCCAAGCACGTTTTCTATATTGTAGTAGTATTCGACAGCCTTGTATGCCACAATGAAATCGGGATGAGAAAAACAGACTAGGAATCAGCCGGAGCAAGGTATATAGTCAGCAACGCCGAACCCTAGTTTTTTATAATGTATTCTGCCCATTTCTGTGGTCACCACCACCAAAAATTAAAGTATCCATGATCATCATAATAATGAAGAATACCATTGTGCACGACTGTACTACCATGTCAACCAAGTCTTGACTTCTCCTTGCCAGGAAAAGGCAAGGCACACATAATGTCTGAATCACTCCAACCACACCATCCTGGCCAGGCCCTAGGGGCAATCATTCACCTGGAGAGACAGACCCACATGCATTATTGGGCATCGAGCAACGACACCTTGCTATAAAAACAATCAGACAAATGAGTATATGAGCGCAGGAGTATCAGTCCTGTTGGCCAGTCCTGTCAACCACAGATTGTGTCTCCTTGACAGGAAACAGGGACGCCATGTACGCCAGATATCCGGATGACTCCAGAACACATGTCACTGGAATGTGACACGGCAACGTACATGACCATGTGGAGAAGTTTAAAGCATAGTTGAATGTTGGGAAAACCGTCAAAATACGTGAATCCTGAATACCAAACATACCACCACACAACCACACATGAACATTGTGGCCGAGCACGTGGTCTCGATCTTTGTCTTTTTGAGACGTGATTGACCTCAATAATGAGCCACATTCAACCAGGCCTATTTATTATCCAATAAATGACCTTCCACAAGATCAGCGACATCTTCAAGTCAATGTTATATGCTCTGCGATCATGCCTGCGCCCAAGGAGCCAAACGTGCAGCAAATCAATCCTGCTTAGAGACTTCGACTCTCAAGCTAACTGACCAGAAAAATGGTACTTTCTGCCATAAATGTACTTATATGCTAATGAATACCTATTGTTAGGCGTCAAAATGGTTATCCACGGTTAGTTATCTTGACCCGCTTTCTTGAAGAAATCAATATCTTTTCCTCCTTCACTCGCTTCAGCCCAGCAAGATTCTCCTTTGGGTCTTTTGGATCACACCACGCCCAGCCACTGTCAAGAATGTAGCTGGGAGCATCAAACTTTTATCATCCGGAAGTGCAAGCCACACACTTGAAACCATCCACCGACCGGCACGATTTTCAATCTTTCTTGCAGCCACAAATGGGAAGTCCCTTGTTTCGCCTTTCACACGCACAGTGTACTTTCCAGTTACGGGTGGGGATGGATCCTCAGTGCTGCAGGGTCATAAACTGCCTCTGAGAACTGTGACATCCCAGAACAAAAGTATGAAATGTTACTACAATGCTTACCAACGTGCTCCAGTATGTAGCGCCATAGAGATAAAGCGTCCTGTCTGCTTATTAGAATCATCTACCTCATCTTCATCTGGAGACATCAGTGATTCGGTAAGTGCTGGTCTATACTTCTCATCTTTGTCTGGTTAATATCCAGTCCATGTCTATTCCTATCCCATGAAGCATCCCACTATACTTCATGGACGGAGGTGGAAATTTGAAGTTGTAGTCTGACGACATTGACACGGATGGTGGGGGGATACTGGACAGTCCTTACCAGCTTATGACAAGCTTGTTTCTTATCTGTCTGAGACCCATAATCACATTCTTTCTTCGCTATGTGCAACAACAAGCATGATGATCGTCAGTAGATGCAGCCGAGGGCATTGTCGGGAAGCTGTGAGTTGTGAACGACTATTACTTTCAGAGAGATAGGATGAGACGAAGGGTGTTGGGGTCATATATAAATGAATCAAAGGGGTCGGTTGTTTAGTTTAATTTGTTTTGTGTATGGGAAGTTCTGGAAAGGCCAGACCAGTGCAGGAAGGAAGGGGTCTGGGTGAGGCGCATGGATCCCGCGAAGTCCGAAAGAAGCAGCTTGTGCTTGGAGAGGATTTGGAATTGACAAAGACAAACTTCGGAGCGTGCTGAGTCCGAAAAGTAGGCAAACCGAAGGGCCCGAAGGTACACACTGATCCAGACCAAAACACACTAAGAGTAGCAGATGGGGAGGTGTGCGTGAGTGCGAAAAAACAGAAGAGCGACCGGCAAAAGAAGATGGGAGCAGAGAAGAGGGAGAGAGTGTGGCGCAGATTCTCAAGTTGGGTGCAGATTCTCAAGTCGAGCGCTATTGACTGGGGCTAACTCGGATGTGTGCTTCAGTAGAATAGAAGCACACTGGTGGCGAATCTTCTTCGTGTGACTGCCGACAATTTAGTACAAAGGCCATATGTCACGCGTCAAAGCTCAAGATCTGCTTGAAATGGTCACATGGCTGTGGATATGAGTAATTGGTTGAAATAGGATGGGGTGAATAATTATTGGGCCGGTTGTTATGGTATCTCCAATACCTCAGGATGGTGCAGCAGCAAGGATATGGGACTGTACGTCACGAACCCTCTTTTTTTGGAACCCTTGGTTATTTTCCGCTGGAGCCAAGTCCTATGATGGATACTACCTCAGTATAATATCCAGGTACCCGTTGTGTGTTTATCCGTGATGTGACGTCTATGCTGTACAATGGTCTGATTTGCGCGAGGATGTGAGGCCTTTGTTCAGGCTCTTGACACGGTAATGAGGGTTTTGTCTTTCTTCTATTACTTCACAGACTCAGCATAGGACTTAAAGAGTCATGTTCCATTGATGGAAATCAGGATGCCGACCTCCTTGGCCTGCCAGACAGGTCCTGACTTTCCTTGGCAGGAGAAGTGAAGGCAGCACTTACATGTCTGAATGACTCCAGCTCACGCATCAACATTGCAGGGAGGCAGCTACAAGAGCGGGCAACATATTCCTTGTCAGGAAACACAAACCCAGCATAGCCTCAGTGATAACTGGGCAACAACACCTTCCTAAAAAACAATCAAAACAAATGAATACATGAACACAGGGTGTTTTCCTACTCAGTCATGTCTGCCTGGATTGCCGCCCCTTGACAGGAGAAGATAACACGGTCGGTAGATGTCTGGATGACTTCAGAACAACCCCCTTGTCAGGGAAGCGTCCACATCACTATGTGGTGGGAGGTTGAGAGGCTGGAGGACAAAGTTGAACATTGAACAAATATATACAAATCCTCAACGCCAAACAAACCACCACATAACCACACAGGAAAATACATCGTAAGAGGTAGTCAGGAAATGACTTTTTAGCCCCACCCATAACCCAAGGCAGCTTGGATGTATAACCTGACGTAGGACATACCTAGTACTCGAACCAGACTAAAACCCGACTTGGAAGCAAATTGAAGCGTCTCGGAGCTACGAGACCACGTAGACAAACCAGACATTGGGTTAGTGGTAGACATAGCAATTCGATCAAATACAGGCTTGAATTTTCACTGTTGTTTCCACCCTACAACTGACCTCATCTGTCAACAAGCTGTCGAACGCGAACGTTCACGAGAGGCTTCCTAAAACACCCTGCCCAGTACTTATTAAGCTAATGTAGTTTACATTCAGCATCAATGCTCCCCCCCAGTTCATTCCCTGCAGCTTCATCTTCATCCTATACATTCTCTGGCGAATGCTTCACCCCTGCCAAGCCATACCTGAGGCCTAGCTGAGTTCAGCGTTCAGGGTACAGTGATTAAGGCAGCAGGCACAGTAAGTACCTTGTATGGAATGTGGTTATCAAGGTATTGTGATGCCTGAGAGTATTTGTTTTTCCATTGCAGTGGCCAACGACATGGCCTCCGATGTGTACAGATGTTGTGGACAGCAAGTAAGCACAAACCTTGTTAACATGGCACTGGGCGGTGTGGTATAAACATCCTTGCAACACACTTTGCTAACAACAATGAACATCTGGTTGTCATCAATCGGTCTACTTGAAACGTAAGACAGTAACAAGGTCCCCTGCTCTACGTGAAATACTGTGAGTTCTCCTCTTCTAACTCTGTGCAGAATGCCATAAAAATCTCCAGCAAGTTGACGTACTTCCCATTCTCCTTTTCCTCCTGTATTACCCACATATTGAATTCCCCTTGGCTGTCCCAGCCGGTTGATCTTCCCAGAGTTGGAGCCAATCTGGTAGCATTTCCAGATGTCCAAAGGGCATATACAACCTTGAATATAAAACCGCTGAATTGGCATTTCTCGCCCTTGCGGTACTGAAATCCACTGTGGCAGGCAGGTTCCTCTGAATTGTGGTTGTTGTTTTGTGGCAGTCCACAGTGGAAACAGTTGGAGTAATTCTTGAATTTGAACATTTGTTTAAATCCCAGATAATCTCCACGTCCGAGGGTGGTGAAATCCACAGTTGGAATGTTCTTGTTGGATGCCATTACCGCTGGCAAAATGCAATGGGCAGCAACCCTTTAACCTCCGCATCAACCTGTCCAGGAGCGATGTTCTTTTCAAGCGACTTTCCAGTGCACGCTCTACCCTGGAACCCCTATCCATCCATGAGGGCGCAGGCACCGGGGCTGATGAAGGAGGGGGCGACAGATGGTTTGGACACATCTGATGTCATTGGTTGAGACAACTTAGAAAAAAAGTCAGCAATATGCACAAAATCACAATGAGGCATTTAATCACTGTATATTTAGATGGCTGGATTGTGCGTGGCATCTCCTCAAATGGGTGACAATTCAGTGAACGAACCGAGAATGATCCCTTGCTGGTGTTGGAGATACCAGATGCAGTAGGTGAGGAGCTAGGGACCAAAACCTGAGCGGGGGTACACATGGGCCTGGATGCACTGGACATCCTTGGTTGAGACAACTTGAAACAATGTCAGCAATATGGCTTCATACCAATAGAAAACCTCATCACCTTGTATTTAGATGCCTGACTTGTTTGGGAGAGAGCGAATGTGATATGTTCCTGGCCCTGATCATCTGTAGAAGGTGACGAACTAGGGACTAGAATGCGCCCAGTGGTAAGTGGTAACCAAGGCTCCTTGATGGCATCCAAGGCGAAACAATGGATTTGGGTTGTGGGGTCACATATATCACAAGGTATCACATCTGGTTTGTCCTTGCAACGATACGCAAAGTGTGATCCATCCATGCAGGAGATGGAGGTGTGCCTGCGACAGGTGTTGCCAAAGACCATATTTTGTAGCGCACCGAGGGAGTCAAAATCAAAGTCACTTTCGAATGCACCGAAATCCGTTTTGGAAGTGAGATAAAAGGTATGGGCCTCCTTGCCGTCACGTCCTGCTCGTCCTGCCATTTGATTGATCACTGGAAGTCCATATTCAACTCCATTGATGATAACGAATCGAACTGAGCTTCGATCTACTCCCTGGGCGAAGGCAGTGGTGCATGCCATTACCTTTGTCTTCCCGCTGTCCCACTTCTCCAGATTGTCAGCCTTTGAGTTTTCTCCCATGGTGGGAAGTTCACTATGAAAAACCGCAAAGTTCATGGCAGTGCCAAAGGCATCCGCCTCTCGATTTGATGCAAAGAATACCAGCATCCGATCAGATTTTCCCATACGCGATTGGAGTTTGGCGACTAAGTTCTGCAAAGCTCCTTTGGCATGGGTCGGCAGGACTTGCAGCACGTGAAATCCAATCTCTGGCCTGTCTGTGCAGGAACGAACTTCGTGTAACTCCGAGACTGCAATGTTAAAGTGGCGAAGATAGGCTGCAGTAATGGCAGGGGAGAAGGTTGCAGAAAGGAGAATGATTTGGCACTTCATTCCAGAAAAACTGACGTGCTAGTAACTCCCAGGGCCTTTTCCTCTCCGGATGGCACATGACCATGTCGTGACATTCATCAAGGAACATTTTGTTGAACAAACTTCCAACAGGCGTTGCAAGGAATCTACAAGTTAGATCAAAGGGTCAGATGAAGACTACGGCGGTAGATGTAATGGAGGCCTACTCTCGGAAAGCCACTCCAGAACACGTTTCAACTTGAAGGAAGAGGATTTGAACATCATCAGGAACAACTTTATTTTTGGTAAAGTTGTGGGCCTTAAGCCCTGCAGCGCAGCATTTGCTGACCTGTTCTTCTAGAAGAACAACAAAAGGGCAAACGACAATGCACCGTTGATCAGGATCAATGAGGGGAGCAACCATCCAGAGGGCACTCTTCCCTCCACCAGTCTTGAGAGTGACCAGGATGTCCTTCTTGACAGTCATCACACTGACAATGGCGTTCAACTGCTCCCTGGACTTTTCTTTTGCCGCTGGGTCCTTGAACAGGAGCTTAAAGGCACTACGGACCCTCATCCTCCACTGATTCGCATGGGCTGAGGAAGGGTAAGGCGGAGGCCCAATCTGGTCCTGATCCGAATGTGACGCGTTGCGTTGTAGGGAAGATGAAGGGACCAGGGAATGTTGAGGATCATTATTACGGTGAATGGAGACATCGTCCTCATCGTCATCGGGCAGCATTAGGTCGTCTAGCTCGTCTCGACTCAGGTAGGATGCACTGCGAACGCGCTTTGAAGGAGATCTGAACAAATCCTCATCACTGTCCATAAGCTTGGAGATTTTTCGACACGGTTTCTTTTACGATGGGCTGCGGGAGGGGTGAAAGTGGAAATAGAGGACTGTGATGTGTATGCACTGGGACCACAAGCGCCAGCCTTGAACTCCACTCCCTGGTTACCCATGTCCATAGACTCTGACCCTTCATCAGTATCATTACAGGCAAGCAACATGTCAGATTGGCTAGTTTGGGCCAAGTCCCCTGTGCGACCTATGAATATCACATCTTACAGAACGTGATTGATGCATACCTCCAGACCATACAAGACCACCTCCCCTAGTCTAGCAGGAGTCTGCACTGATGATAATTTGTGAGGACCGACGGGGTGGTCCTGACGCATTGTGAGTGCAGCAGTGCCCTGCTGAAGAGCATCCAAAATGGGTGGCAAGATGGCAGTAGTGGCAAGTTCCTTCAGGAGGCGAGGCAGATTGTCCTGGAGGAACTTTGTCACCATACTGCTGGCAATGGTTGACACGGTCTCAGAGATCCCTGCAAGGTCAGGAGACGATTGTCTACCACCTTGTGCACCTTGTGAATGTGCACCCCTGGTCCTTGTCTGTCGAATTGGCTCCTGAGGCGGGAAAGGTCCAAGACCACAGAAAGCGTGCCATTCTTCATTCAACCAACGATGCTTTGACATGGTATTGTTGGTGAGTTCAGGCATTGAGCCGTATAAAATGCCATAGTGTTCCTTGTCAGTGTCTGTGGAGTGGTCTGCCCCCTCAGCTAGGAGATCTTCTGCCATAGCAAATGCATCGTTCGGAGATATAAACTCTCTTGCCATGGCGATGGCACCTTGCCGGAAGGCTCGCACGCCCCACGGGCAGTTGAAAACCTCGCGGTTCCTTTGCTTAAATTCCGTATACCATTGGTCAGGTTTGATTCTACTGCCGTTGTCCACCATCAAGTACCTGAAATTCAAGATGTGAGAACATTCCGTATGATGGCTGATGATGCAGCGACCTACGTTTTATACTGATGGTGTGCAGTGTCCCCATACCCAAGCTTCGCCAGAATTGCTTCAGCATCTCTTAACCCGCCTGCGAGGAATTCAAACAAGAAAGTCCAACTTTGGGATTGATGAATGCAGGGGTGCATGAATCTCTATCCGCAATCTGAGTGGTTTTGCTGTACCCAGACAAAAGAATCAACTCCTGTCCCTGAACAAAAATATTGCGGTGGCGATCACTGTTGGAGGTATGATGCTCCAGAAACTGCACCGACCGTGTAGAGATCTGACCAGTGACATAGAGCAAGTGGTATAATGGTTTCCATACCTCCCCGCACCTCCGCAGGATGTCTTTCACTGCCGGTATGTTCCATCCAAGACGTCCATCCCCATCCACCATAGCCAGGCTGTGGTCCTGAACCAAACTGCAGAAAAACTCCAGTTTGATGGAGTCAAACTGCTTATCCTTCGCAAAGGAATGTCCCCGGATGGTGTTTGTCATGTCGTCATTCAGATTATTTGGCATGCTGTTGAACGCAGTGCGTCCGTTGTAAGCAGGAGATACCTGTCCTTCACTGTTGAAGGAGTGTTTGGATACCTTGGCGAAATGCAGGGAGGTGCATTCTGTCCGCTCCAACTGACAGCCACTGGAACCCAGGGTCAAAAAATACTTTTGGCTCCCTTTGCTGGTTCAAGGCCAAGGATGAAGAAAACTGCTGGTATTGAAACAGCATGTTGAACGTGTTGGAGCGTCCCACAGCTAGGACCTCATTATGAACTGCAAGAACCCGCCTGAAATAGAAAATGGAGGGATGAGCCATGCTCACAGGCTTACAAGAAGGACCCACTCGATTTCGCCCATGTCACTGTCCCTCTGATACCATAACGCATGAACAAGCGAGGTTCCATTGACAAAATATTCCAGTTTAGCAAGATCTGGCGACAGGTCACCTGCCTCATAGAAGTTCCCATCGCGTCGAAGTGCACGTAACCAGATAAAACGCTGTATGACATTAGCCCATGGCCGACCTCCATGAAAACTGGGTCCGTCGATCAAGGACCATAACAGCTCGTGGAACTCCTTGATGTTTTGGTCATTGATGCTCATGTTGGAGTGCACCATGCCACTGATGAAAGCGTCCAAGGCCTTGGTTTGGGTGACATCAAGGTCGAAAGAGAATGCAGACTGAACGCCGTGACCAGAATGAAGCCTGATGATGGCTCGGATGAGCTGGATAATCATGTCAGGATAGGCACGGTTGTCCTTGGAAATTGGACGCCAGTATTTACTGCCAGCAGGTGGTGGTTAAAGATTATGAAAGATTATGAAAGAAAAAAAGACACTGACGACTGGCGAGTGACATTGCTGCCATCCAACAGTGTTTTTGCTATAGTCAGCTTGTTTGGATTTCCATCAAGGATGGTGCCAGCCACATGAAAGTGATTTGCTACTAGGGCGCTTACAGCCTTGAAAAGACCGTGATGTTCTTCGTTGTGGTGCTTTCCCTTCAACGTTTCCACTGCTTTGACTTCCTTTGGATATCGACGTACATCAACCATAAATGTATCCCATGACATGACTTTGAGCAAGGGCCTTCGCTCTTCATGTGTCAAGGCTTCCGGTATCACAGGTACATCAAGTGATGGATGAAAATTTTGCATGAGGAGAGTCCTGAGGTTGTCAGTGGGATCCGAAGTGATTGATTTCCACAGTAAAGTACGATCGCCCAACTGAATCGAAGAGGTTTTGCACAGAAACTTGCGTGTACCTTGCTTCCGCTGGGGTACGTCCATGTATCTGTCTGGCATGTCTTTTCATGGTGTCCAGATTGCGGACGGCATAGGGACAGTCCGTTGACATGGTACAGGCAATACCGGGACGGGGAGGGCCGATCATCTGGATTACAGGCCCTCCAGGTGCAGGAAGCTTGACTTCTTCTTGCCTACCATAGATCTTCTTGTCGATACAATATTTGACGAGCTCGTCCAGTTCGTGGGTGGCGATAGAATGATTGTGTTTGTTCTTGAGGTGACCAGCGACCATGTTACCTGTGAGTGGGCTCTTGCAACCCTGGGCCCTACAAATAAAAATCCGGAGTCCATCGTGCATGCAAATCCCCAAGGTGTCCAATAGTGGAGTTGACATCAAGTAGTCTACGCCAGTTTGAAGACATACTCTTCCCTCAAGGGATTCTTGGTGAAATTGGGTACTTCATATGGGGTCTGAACGTCGGGGGAAAATGATGACCCACCAGGAAGAATATCATTAGTCATGTTCTGGACATGGCTCTGGGCAAGTTCAGCCGATGCTAACGATGGAATACAAAATTCAATCAAAGTTGATTAAACAACACAAAGACGCACCAGAATCACTGGCATGCACCGCCGCTTGCTGGTCATTCTGCATTTCGAAAGGGACCACGTTAGACCCTTGAGAACCCACCAGATTGAATGAAAGGAGAAGAAGAGAGGTGAGAGCACACACCACAGTTGGTATTTTGGCGTGTACGTCCGTTTGGCACCTCCGGTAAACCAACTTCATTCGAGATTAAGATGTCAATGCAGCGCAGGTACTAGCAGATAATACCCACCACTATGTTCATTCACCATTTCCTGAGGGAACACCGCAGGGCCTTAAAAGCCAGCGGATTGAATGAAGGAAGCAGAAAGACATATGAGAGGACGCACCCCCGTGAATATTTTGGGTCCTGCGTCGCACCGCAATTTGTTGTGGGTCTGAGGAAGGAATAGGGGTGTAATCACGGAACAAATACAAAAGGAGAGAGACTCACGTTTATCCACATGCTTCTTATACGTCTCTCGTCTTCTGATCATGACATCGCAGCCATTAACAGGACACTTCAACTTGCCGTCACCAGACCGGGTTACAGTGACTGCGGCATCTCCGACCATTAGAACAACGTTTGAATGGTATTCATAATGATGTTTGCGGTTTGGCTCAACATTTTGGCATGGGTAGATGTTGCAAAGCAGGGCAGTCGCGTGTGAGTCGGACATGTCGCTGTGCTCAGTACAATGACAATATTAATGGTTGTGGGTGAAGGAAGGGCTGGTGGGCCGAACCTCACCATTAAATAGTGGAACTTCCTTCGGCTGCAGAACACGCCGTTATTACGAGTTATTGATTAATCGGATCATTTCAGACCGGTGCCAATGTGGTTCAATGTGACTGTCAAAGTGTGATGAGGATAGGAAATTAAAGGTGTGGAATCACATCGAAGAGTCGACACACTGAGCTCGGTGGATCGTTGTGGAATTGCCAACAATCCTTGTGCAAAATGTGAACAAAATGCACCTACACCTTAAGAGGATAAAAAAACTGGTATAGCTCTTCAAGGAAATGCAATCAGTGTGAGTGGGCAGGAGGCTACACGGATGCGTCTAGAATGTGATCCCGTACACCGAGCCCTGGGCGTCAGGGTCAAATATAGTCGATTGTGTCTATGACGACCCATCCGCGGACCGTTCAGTTCATATTGAATAGAGATTAGTTAGTCATTCATTTGGTAAGCTGACAATGAGTTTTCAAAATCACGACGGTCAAATAACATATAGTATGTTGCATATGTGATTGCAGCACAAGTTTTTCAAAATTTGGCCTCGCTACCTTTACCGGCACTTTTACATCCCAATTACAGCAGTTTGCGAAACTAATGGCACTGGCGTGTTGTGGGAAAATCACAATTGAGATTAGGGACTTAGTTTTTTTTTTACCATTCTGTGTTACATAATGCCGCGTCGCGTCCCAATAATCGACTTTATATCTGCACTGTGCTATACCGTGTTCCTCATAAATCGTACAATGGCCAAAGCATTCAAGAGCGCCGAATTTGTAGACGACACTGATACAGATGTCATGGAACTAACCCTAATGTGCGTCTCGAGAAGCCGACGCAATCAAGGATTTCACGAAGACTAAGGATATCTTGCTCATACAGGCAAATGGCAGCGAGTTTGACGTCGGATGAGATCTTTTGGTTGACCATACTAGGTGTATTGTTGTCCAACGTGGTGCAATTGTTTAAATTTTGCTCTAAGTCTCAAAACGGTGAAAATTTTCCAAGTCCCAAATCCTCAATTATGATTTTCCCACAACACGCCAGTGCCATTATATACGCACACAGCTGTAGGTTAAGTGATGTGACATGTCTGCTTGAGTGACTCACGGTGCTTTGACCGCTGTCAACGTCGACCAGCGTTCCAACACATTACATGGAAGGCTGTCAGTGCTCCATCCAGCAACGATGCAACAACACTACCAGTGATGGCTGCCATGCTTCTGCTTCCTGCAAGCCTCTCGCAGAAGTGGATTCGGTCCATTTCTCCTCCTACACCTCCCTGACGCTCTCACCGAGCCCTGGTATTCCCTCCATCTCCACTTCCTGCAGCAGGCTCTGAACTCCGTGAATGTCTGCATGACTTCACTGTATTTACACTACCATATGTGAGGATACTTTCCTGGCTGTGGAGCTAATTCCAGACCTTTGCGGAGAGTATTACTAGCAGAGTCATAAGTAGTATACTGTACGAACCGAACTTACCAACATATATGACAGACATGCTCGCCTGCCCAGAGTGAATCTGTCTCGATCCAAGATTATGGGAACTTGATATCCTCAACATGATTAAAATAAACCAACTCTCCGGCTCGTCTTTAAAAAATCCTTAAACAGTCTTTAATTCATGTTCTGACAAACTCTGGAAGGCGGCCGCATACCGAACAACAACCAAGATAGCGCTCATTGTTGACCCAGCACCAGACTGAATCATAGATTACCTCACACAACAAACGAAAGGTCAACCATCAAATATTGAGGGCTCTGTGTGACAATCAGTGTATCGAGCTGTGAGGTGTATCCTACCCGGAGCTGCCGCACCGTCGTGAACCATGCAACCACCCTTGTATCTGAAGTTATATAGCCTTTAAGGCCTGACGTCAAAGAGGAGTAACAAATAATCAAAATGGCGGACCGCTCATGTATTGCCAAATATTATCGCCTCATCATTAGTGAACTGGGGAACAAACTAACATGTAATAGTTAACTATATATAGTCAACAATCATATCCTCAGGATAATTTTATCTGTATCTGAAATCAATGATGCACTCGATCAAAGAGTCATGCAGCATCTTACCTTAATTGGCACGCTTCGCCGTCCTTCGCATAGGTTCTCATTTGGGAGTTTGTGTGTTGTGAGTCCTGTTTCTGGTGAGAGTGGGATGATTGCGCTTAGGAGTGTGTTTGAACTTGCTTCATTTCACTTTCGATAGTTTGGTACAGTCCACGAGTTGACAAGATACAGTGATGTCTCATGGATAAACCACATCTTCACAATCAAATATGTTTCGAACACTCACTTAATGAGGGAAAGAATGGAGTACTATCGGGGCCAAGACATTAGTACCCCAGGATATCCTAGCTTCCCGTCCTCCCAATGGACCCTCCTTCTCGAGGGAAGAGCTCCAGACCTTGAGAAAATCTTATCGGGACATTACTCCACTGCCATCGATCCTAAACGGACTTTGAAATTATCCTCTCCCAACCGACTACCACTCATCGCGTGAGATCATATCGAGACTGGAGTGTCACTTTAGAGCTCTGGATTGATCCATTGTCGTTCATGATGCCGTGGAAGGAGTTCGAGCTTCGTGAATACAGGCGGTATTTGTCCGGAATCTTCGCAGATATTCACTACAGCGTCCATTCCTGTATCATCGACTTCGATCGAGCCTGTCGACTCAAAATTGAGGGGCAAAAGTACCTTCATTTCAATGACTTCCATGAGTTCAAGTGACTAGAAACTTCCCACTTATCTTCCCTCGGAATGGTCGTCTAACAGAGCTCCATCACGCAGCAGGAAATGTATCCTCATTAGAGAAATCTTCTAGCAAAGCGTCTAGCGCGGGGCGAAAATCGTCACGCACGGACTCTTCCTCAAGGGGAGAACCATGTCACGATTGGAACCAAGGAACATGCAAGAAATCGACCACTGACTGTCCGCGCTACTACGTCTGTAGCAAGTGTCGAGGCCCTCATAAATGCGGAGACTGCTCTGTGGCAAAGGGGTCTAAATGATACCATAGCGCGAGGCCAGCGTTTTCGACGTAGGATGGTATGGGGGATAGCACAGGGTCAATTAGTGGAACGGCCGAATGGACGGAAACCGCAGAGCCTTTACCTTGTCCACCTGCAGTGGAATTTGAAAAAATGTTGCTGCATTAAAAACTATCAATGAGCATCCAGACCTTTTCCGTGTCTCAACTCCTATCAATATTGACCGTTTCGAAACCCTCTTGACTTTGGCGAATCATCATAATCCTCCGTTTGCGCGCTCGGTATGCCAAGGTTTGCGCGAGGGTTTTTGGCCATGGGCTTGTACGCAATACTACCCTACTACCTTGAACATTCCTTCTCCTACACCATCGACAGAACGAGAACCACAGTTCCTTCGAGACCAAATCTTGAAGGGGGAATCTGTCATGCGATATTCACACAACTTTGGCTTGACTCTCTTACCTGGAATGTGTAGTATGCTGATTCACGCGGTCCCGAAAGAGGGAGGGAAGTTTCGCCTTGTTACTAATCACAGTGCGGATGATTTTTCTTTGAATTCTATGATGGTGAAAGCAGATATAGCTGGAGTTACACTGGATAACGTTCAAGATCTAGGAGATGCCCTTCGAATTCACCATCTACGCCATCCGAATGATGAACTGGAGGTCTGGAAGGCAGATGTGTCTAAGGCTTATCGTCATATGCCCATGCACCCTCTTTGGCAGATCAAGCAGGTTGTCTCTTTTGAAGGAGAGAGGCTGGTTGACAGAGCTAACGTTTTGGGGGGACATGCTTCACAGCGAATCTTCCATGTGTTTATGTCACTTGTTATGTGGATCGCCGTTTTTGTTCGTCTTATTCAAGTGTTCATTTACGTTGATGATTCGCTCTCTTTTGCGAAGAAGGGCGATTTGTCCCATTATGTTTAGTGTCGAAAGATGCCTCCCTATGGTATGTTTGCCCTCCTTCTTCTATGGGATGAACTAGGCATTCCACATGAGAAGCAGAGGCAGATTTTTGGGTCACCATTAGCTGTCATCAGTTTTGATGTTGACCCAAATTTGATGAAGATCTCTTTCAAGGAGGAATCCAAGGTGGCTATGGTCAAAGAGTTGCGAGATTTTGCCAAACATAGGCGAAAGTGATCGCTATGAGACTTTGAGCACATTGCAGGATCCCTTCACTGGGCGCTGAATGTGTGTCCTTTACTCTACGTCTAGGAGAGTTGGTCTGGCCAGACAATCCTCACATTCAGTCTCGGGGAAAGCCTACCTTGCGCACCTCGGTCCTGATCACTGACCCTTATCATTTATTTGAACACCGTACTCACGAGGCGGACGTCCGATTTGAAGGGAGCACCGTTGTGATTCTGTGGACTGAGTCAGCGGATCCACATTCAGCTTTTCTCGCATATCTATCCTCTAGGGATCGGCTCTTTCCCTTCAACAGTTTTCTTTGGCTACGCGCCGATGAGTCTATCCCAACACACACATGGTTTACTCGCCGTTGGCGAGCTCTGTGCCCTGATTCTATATCGGGACACTCCTTGCGGTCAGGAGGTGCCCCTTCTCTGGCTGCTTCTGGAGTTTCGGCGGATCGTATTCAAGATATGGGTCATTGGTCCAGTAATTCATTCCGGGTATACATACGCAAAAGCGCTGCTTTACTTTACACTCTTATTTCTAATGGTTGTTCTCCCCATGATCCTTCAAGTCTGTTTGTGATACTGTGAGTTCCTTCTACTATAGTATGTTTCAGCCTTTACAACCACCTGCATCCTCACCCCTCCCTCCCCTCCCTCTGTCCTATTGCTGGTATTTTAGCATTGTACGATCATCAGTAAATCGATGAGTCCTTGATATTGTAGCGGTGCGAACTGTAAAGAGATATAATTCAGCTCCTGCTAAATATACTCATTTCTAGTGTGACAAATTTGAGTTGGAAATGCATAGCCATCAGTGCCTAAAAACCCAGAGTAACATGAACGGTCAACGACAATGTGATGACATTCCTCCCTTGCAGCCAATGGGCGGTGGTAGTATAGTACATACTGGCGCCGATTATTTTGACCATTGCCGTTTTGTCTTGCTTATGCGTTTGTATTACAACTTTATCCAAGACACTCTCGTGGGAGGTGCCTTTGGCACTTGTAAACAAATATATAATAATGTGGGACTTCGTAACAAAGTCGAGGCCCATGACCATAAGGACCAACAGGGAATGTCAGCGCACTCTTCTCGTACTTCTTTGAATTGTCTCTTGTTTTTCGTTGTGTGTTTTGAATTATAAGATCATGCAAAACCTTCTTGTGAGGAGTGCCTTTTTGGCACTCGTCGAGAGATCTAGAATAGCATTATTTACCTTTCGTGAAAATTTTTGTTATATGCCGCCATCGCAGCAGGCAATCAAGGGTTCATTATCTGGTAGCCGCAGTAGTACCTGTCCAAATGGCTGGCCGACAGTTTTCACTTTGTCCTATGGTAGTATTAATTAGATAGTACAAATGTCTGGGTAGGTGTAAAGGAGGAAAGGTTGAGAATCAAAACTGCTGAAAGATCTATTTCTTCCAAAACAATTGAGTACATCAACTACGACATCTCTAGTGTCCTGACATCCATCATACCGTGAACAGAATCCACGTCTTTGACTTGTGCAATTACATCATGATCTGATGCGATTCTCTTGTATTCTCCGCCGTGTTGCTGCACTACTAGTAGTAGCAGGCATGCGCTGAACAGCTGTCCAAGGCGAACAATCAATTGCATTGTACGCTCGCTCGATTCTGAGTCAACCGGGCCCAGTTCTCCACACGTCAAAACAAAGGTTGGCAAATTTTGGGACAAAGCGCTACTTGATTTATTGGTGTTTATTATTGCTTATTATTGGCAGTCAGCCCCCATGATGCCATATGACCTTGCAAGCAAGGTGACATAAACTCAACAACAATCAACTACAGAGTAATACACATACAAAAAAAAAATGCGGAGCAAGGTCATAAGTTCGCACGGCGAACCCCTAGTCGACCAATTTTATTGGTGAAAAATGCATTCCTATTTTAAATGGTGTTTTGTTCGCACAATCATGTAGGGCTGTTTCTAATCAACATGTGTTGTCTGCATATATCGATCCTTCTTAGTCGTCGACTATGTCTTCTATTTTTCACGAAGTCCTTGTGTCTTTCGCTGACGTTCCTGCTCTTATCCATGTAAACGGTGCGTGTTCTTATTCCACCGTGACCTTGTCTTGTCTGCACAGTTGCAATGTGATGCGCTCTGTTGTCAATCATAATGGGGTGGCTGTGGAGTCGACTTTTGGTATAGTTCTCGACAGACCTTTCGCTCCTTGTATCTGAATGAGTGCGACGTCGAGCTCGGCCATGATGGGCTCACGTTCGTGAATGTGAGATTTGATGGGTCTCGATTTCTTCGGGCTTCGGAGACGGTCATCAAAAACACGGCACGCACCCAACCCGGGACAGTGCAAGCTCCTTCTCACTGAAAGAAAAGAAAGCACCACGAAGTCAATGAGAGCGAAGCAGGTGCACGGGTACCCTAACCGTTCAACAGGAAAGGATCTCATGCCCCAATCTGTGCAGGTTCCTCCATGACGTACTAGACGCCGGAGAACATCCTGACTATTGACAAAATAAATGTTTCTAAACGCATCCAACTGTGCGTCATACATTGTAATCCTTACCTCCGTTTATTCAAAGACGGATTCAATACTCGAAAGATGATTCAGCCACTGCAGGCTTCTCTACGTTCGACGTCGCGATCAACCCCGCCGAGAAAATCAAGCACACGAAAGGACAGAAGCACAAGGGAGGGAAGGAGAAAGAGAAAATGGACTGACCGCCTCCGTTTCGCGACTTGATTTAGATATTGATATTTATGACATTAAAGAAACAGCAGAAGAAAAAACGAAAAACCTTTTAATTTCACAGTCCACTTGTATTTGTAGCACTCGCCTCCATCTTGCGAGTCGTCTGGGTTGATCCGTACAAGGTATGCTCGAAGGTCCATTGTGAATCATTTGCAACACACAGTATAGTGTGTTGCAGATGACTTTAGAGGTGCACGAGAATTTTTTTGCGAGCTCGGTGTTTGTAAAATGATGTGTAATAGCTACACGGGTGACTTTCGGTCACGTCGAACGATTGCCTCCTGCAAGGCCCAGGGGCCAGGGCCCAGGCTGTGTCAGTCACTCTGACACTCGTATCTGCACTGTCTCCGTCGATCCTATGCATGCGTTGCGCACAGTGAGTTAGTGCAACTCGCTGTACTCGATAATTAACATAGATTCTTGGTAGGTAATTTTATGAACCTTAAATATTCCTACTAGTAACTCACTCGATAATTCCGGCGATCTCGACCGCTCCAAGGCAATATCACAACCCTCCGAGCGCTGAGTTATAAAATATTGACACAATGTCGAGATTTTATTCCTCAGTGCTCAGATAAGTGTAGAGCACGGGCTGGTCTGTGCGTCCGTCGAGGCCTACAAAAAGATGAAGATTTGCTTTGGTAGAGCTTGTGGCTATGGACACATCAACATCTCGATAGGACTGCAGCTTCTCCTGCAGCTCATCAAGGTATAGAGCTGTGTTGGCCTGAATAATTGAGCGCAAGTAGTCGAGATCAGTGGTACTTACTCAGAGTACGTGGACGGCCTCTTCCTCGTGCAAATGGATTGGTGTGTTCAATGTTGGCCATATTCACAGTGGTTTCACAAGACATTGTAGACAGTAGCTTCACAACATTGAGCCAGTTTAGATATTTGAGACACAGTCTTCCGTTGTTCGTAGCGCCAGACAGTCATATTATGGCGCATTTCAGGAGTGATTAGAAGTCCATTGAAACTCCTTGCGAGCTCCCAGCGCTACAGCGTATGATGGAGGCCAAGTGTGACAGAGGTCACACGTCAAAACAAAGGAACAAACAAAAGCTGGCGAAATTTTGAAAATGAGACTCTAAAGTCATTTGCAACGCACTGTAAGGAATCTGCACAACACCAATCACATACGTCGGCGATTGCCGCCGGAGTTTGAAGTCGTTGGGGCTGTCTGATTGATCAAGTATATAAGAACTGGTTTACTTACACCTCTCGTGCTGACACTCACTGAATGCCTCGCATCAAGAAAAAAAGCCGCCAGCGACACAGGAGCACTGTGCCTCAACCTCACTTCAAACCCGTTCGCAAACAGCGTCGTGCGATGACCGCAGCAAAATCTGCAGAAAAACGTCCTTCTACCATCAGTGGGGCACTTCCTCAACCCATCCGTGATTTCCGCATCCCTGTCAGCAAGGCCGAACTCTCTATGGGCCAATGGGATGCACGTGCACCTCAGAGGATTCATTACGGCGTTCCGGAACTGATAAGCTACGGTGCAGGGGATACCGCTCAGCTCGAGTTTTTGCGGGTTCCTGCTATGAAGGACCGGCGGATTATCGGCTATGTGCCCCTTCCCACCAGATATCGGTCGTCCTGGGTGTATCTTTGCTACTGTGTAGAGTACTGGTTGGCGGTGTGGAAATGTTGGGATGGTGAGTCAAAGAAGAATAAACAAAAGCAGAAGAATACAAAGACGCAACAAGAGAGGGCGGATCTGATTGACACGTCTCGCAAGAATGCTGGTGCACGTTTCCTTCAAGCTATGGTGGCCAGAAGAATTGTGTTGGAGGAGTGCATCGCGAACGGCGTGAATGATGAGCGGATTAAATCACTCGACGAGTTCCTCATTCGCGATCACCGAGATTGGCTATTCGTGGAGTTCGATGAGTTGCCTGACGATGCGGACATGTATTTAGCGGCCGATCCGTTGCACCAAGGGAACAAGAAGATGTTCGGTAGGCGTACCCGATGCGGACGTGTGCATCTGCGCTAACTCGCGATGGCCTCAGAAACGGGCTGGGGCGTAAATGTGAATGACATCCCGATGATGCTTGGCGGAACGGACAATGCATGGATGTCCAAGGGACTTGACCTCACAGAGATGTTCAAGAAAGATATGGATGCAGCCATCAAGCACCTCAAAAAAGGGGGGGAGGAGATAGACATCGCATACAATGAAAATGCGGAACTGCCAGACAAGTGGCACGAATCCCATGAGCCACCAATTCGATTCATCAGCGAACGAAAGGACCAGTTTTTACGCGATGGTCAGCAGCAGATTACTTCCAGTCTTTGCCTGTACTAACATTTCTTGTGGTGCCTTGCAGGATTTACCCTGGATGAACCTCTGGTCTTTTTGTACCATTGCTTGCGGGCCGAGGAGGAGATCGAACGCCGAGACTTCCTGAGGGAAATCATGGACATGCTGCCCAACGACGGGACACGACAACAGTGGTCATTTCGCGTCGACCGGCTGATCGACGGCGAGATGGCATGGGACGAGTTCAGTAATTTAGTGGCTGACGCGTTGGATTTGGAGCTGGATCGGCGGACTAACAACATGGGTTCAGGTATGAGCATTCATGAAATCATCACTTCTGTAGGATGCATACTATACTCTGATTCCCAGACAGCGTGGAGCCTGACCTCCCGTTTCTCAAATTGGATGCGAGGATCGCGGTGCGAGCTTACCTGCGCAATTCGAAAAGCAACCCCGACACCGCTGCCGATATATTTTTTCGCAGCATCAGTCGATTTTCTGATCCAGATACAAAGGATCGCAAGGTGTGGAAATGGGTTATGCAAGGGGTCCAACCCAACACGGTGACTGCAATGCTGCAGCAAGCACATGATCAATCATTGAATGCGCGCCGAGGTACGGCTATTGTACGCTGCATGTACCCACATCTCACATCTGTGTACATCATTCATTGTAGATGATGGGCAGCATGTTGCCAGACCGGAAATGGAAACCCGTTCGTCAATAGGCACGGGTGTGTTTCCTGTTTGTTTCTTGTCCCTGCTGCCAACATTTGTTTAGAAGGTCACAAGGGGGCTCCCATCGGAAGTGACAGATCACCTAAGGTCACGGTTACACTGCCTATGACTGACCACACAGCTGATGTACACAAACCATCACCTGGTCCCCCCTCCGTGGTGCGACCAACACGGCCTCCTAAGGCTGTCCCATCCAAAATGGATGTGGATCTGACTGAGACATCATCCGTTCAAAATAGCGAGCAACAGACTGCTGGCCATCCACCAATGGTCCCAGAGATCCGAATCTCTAGCTTGCGGAGGGAGGCATGGCTTCGCAGTGGTGAGTCCTTCAAATGCTAACATATTTGCGCTCACATATATCGTCCTTTCTGCATGTGCAGGACATACCCTTGATAAACCCCTTGTATTTTTGCACCATTGCCTGGCGGAGGAGGACCACATCAAAGAAACAGACTTTGTGCAAGAAATCATGGGTTTTCTCCCTATGGACCAGGAGCGAGATCAATGGTCGGAGAGAGTGGATCATCTGTATGAGGGCCTGACCACATGGCGCCAGTTCAGTCAGTTACTCGCTGGTAGCCTAGACCTGCAAGACGGACGGCGGGACGACGGTACAGATCAAGGCAAGTTGAACGCAACATGAATTTCACAGTTATTCTTGACATATTATCCTTAGGATTCACAGAGGAGGAACAGTTCAGGTGGTCGTTTCGAACCTTAGATGCAAAGATCGCCATACGGTCTTACCTTCAGCACTTGAAGGAGAAACCCCAGGATGCTGACCAATTGTTCTGTGCATGCGTGGATCGATTTTCCACCATACCGAGCAGTGATCCCATATGGGGTTCCGTGCAGAGGTTGAGCCAGACGCTCAGCGTCAACGAAGTCTTGAAGTCTGCAGAGAATTTCTGGTACACCCATGTTCATTCGAGCGCTGGTAAGAACCAGGAGGATCAGTTATCAAAACCATCGAACACCCCTCCCGATTATACTCCTGACACCATCGTTGAATATCAGGATGAGATGGACATACATCCCAACGTACCATCAGATCAAATTTCGCAATTCACTGCAACACCTGAGGAAGATGGCGAAACGGCCAGCGAGGACGACTTCATATCAGAATCACTTTTCTCCTTGGCGGACGTGCAACGGGCCATCAGATCTTACAGCCACGACGGTATTTCGTTCAATGAGCTCCGCAACATACTGTTGACCGACATCCCTCCTATTCATGTAAAAACTGTGCACGAAGCCCTGCCGACACTTGATCCTTGTCGCGTAGACAAAAAGATACTCAATTCCTTGTTCAAGAAGTTGGAGGAGGAAGACTCATTGGCAACAAGAGTTGTTGGTTGATAACTTGAAGCTTAAAGACAGACCAGAGGTAAACATGGGTCAAAATTGTTGCACTACTCATAGAGATGGCTTCCGTGGACAGTAATCAGTCATGGCCCATCATGCATCAGCGCTCAGTGCCCTGCATCATCCTTCGTTCAGTGACGACGGCTTCGATGATCCAGAACGCGGTGGTTGTTAGCGTGACACGTGTACATGTTTGTACCAAAAACATAACCAAACATATCAGCAGTCTAGTTTTACCCGACCTCCCCAATCATAAGTAACTATACAGTGCGTTGCAAATGACTTTAGAATCTCATTTTCAAAAATTCGCCAGCTTTTGTTTGTTCCTTTGTTTTGACGTGTGACTTCTGTCACACTTGGCCGCAATCATATGCTGTAGCGCTGAGAGCTCCCAACGAGTTTCAATGGCACCTCTAATCACTCCTGAAATGCGCCATAATATGACTGTCTGGCGCTACGAACAACGGAAGACTGTGTCTCAAATATCTAAACTGGCTCAATGTTGTGAAGCTACTGTCTACAATGTCTTGTGAAACCACCGCGAATATGGCCAACACACCAATCCATTTGCGCGAGGAAGAGGCCGTCCACGTACTCTGAGTACCACTGATCTCGACTACTTGCGCTCAATTATTCAGGCCAACCCACCTCTATACCTTGACGAGCTGCAGGAGAAGCTGCAGTCCTATCGAGATGTTGATGCGTCCATAGCCACAATCTCTCGAGCACTGCGAGGCATGGCATTGACTCACAAGAAGCAAGCAAAACAAGCTAGTGAAAGGAATGAATTATTAAGGGCAACATGGCAAGCACAGTATGGAGATAAGCGGGAAAATATCAGTGAACGTTCTCGATGAACAGGGAAAGAAGAATACCAATCCATCCGCCTCTTTGCAACCAACCTGCAGAAGGACGCTGAGTAATAAAATCTCGACATTCCGTCAATATTTTGTAACTCAGCGCTCGGAGGGTTGTGATATCGCCTTGGAGCGGCCGAGATCCCTGCAATTATCGAGTGAGTTACTAGTAGGAATAGTATTCAAGGTTCATAACATTACCTGCCAAAAATCTATGTCAATTATCGAGTACAACGAGTTGCACTAACTCACTGTGCGCAACGCATGCATAGCATCGACGGAGAAAGTGCAGATACAAGTGTCAGAGTGACTGACGCAGCCTGGGCGCTGCAGGATGCAAAGGAATCGTTTGAAGTGACCGAAAGTCACGCGTGTGGCTATTACAAATCATTTACAAACACCGAGCTCGCAAAAAAATTCTCGTGCACCTCTAGAGTCATTTGCAACACACTCACTGCGGAAGTGAGAAACTGATCAGACCATATTCCGAGGGAGAAAGGGCAAGTGAGCAGACACAAAACGTACCTAGCTGTTAATCCGACGCAAATCCGACGTATCGTAGATTTTGAAGCAAAGCCTTCGTTTGGTCCACAGCTACAAACATAAACAGATGCTTTTTGGACTTCGCCACCATGTCTTTTCCGACGTCCGTTTATTCTCTTCAAATACTTGCTGTTCCAACACTAACTGACCCGGGAAATCCACTCTTTCGACGTCTGCATACGATTGGATTTAAGTGAGGTACGTTTTTCGAAAAATTTCTCTAAGTCCATCGTTAACTCGCACTATGTCGGACGACGCAGATAAGATCAAGCTTGAACTACCTTCGAAACTACAGGCATTCAGTTTTACCTTTGAAACCAAGCGGCCAGGGTCTATGGTAAGTTTTAGATTTAAATACAACCAACTAACTAAGTACCTTTGTAGACAGTCGAAATCACGCTTAGACGGCCCACCAAGCGGCCCAGATTACTACAATTTCCTGAACATGTCGACCTCAGCGCGACCGAACCCGAAACTCCTGACCGACTTCAAGTCATGCGCTGGCAAGAGGCCCAGAAATATAAAGTAAGTACTACGCATCCTTGTAGCTAGCTACTCATACTAACTAATATGCTTGGAAGAAGTCTGCAGCTGGAGATTCGCTTCTTCTAAACTTCCCATCCTAGCAGTGAGGATTGAAACCGAGTTCTGAAGCTCGTACCCCACAGAATCGTGATACAGAGAACCGCGATTGAAGCCTAGGTGCGGCATCATATGGGGCTGATGATGTGCAGGACCCGAAAGCTGACCGTAGTTGCCTCCAGGTCCGAGAGAGGGTGCGCGAGACCCTGAAGACTCGCTGCCTGAGAACGGAGTGCGTGAGCTGTGTCCCAGGTATGGAGTCCCTCCCTGAAATGACGGAGTGACTAAGTTTTGCGATACGCTAGGGGGACGCATTATATGGGACGGCGTTCGATGTTCCTGCGCCGGCGGCTTTGCGGCTTCACCAGCCTGAGGCGGTCGACTGAAAAAATCATCCACCTGTGGCAGCGCATGACCGCCAGCATTCGATAGCGGGGTTCCAGGAGTCAGTAGAGGCGGAAACTGGTATGGACTCGGGTTTGAGTCGTGGCCTGGGGAACCAAGCTGGTATGGATTCGAGTTCGTGTCGCTCATTGGCTGATTTTCTGGAGCACCGCTAGGGCGGCGCTGTGCCCCGTACATCGTTAGGCGAACAAGGGGGCTGAGGGGAATGGGGAAAAGCCAATGCGAAGCAACCAGAAGTTGGCAAATCCCCAGAATCACAGGGATCCACACATTTGTAACCAGATGCTAATCCGAGTCAAATATGATTGTATTCAGATGCAAATCAGACATATGGTTTAGGTTCTACTGTTTCTGTGCACCTCTGCAACGTCGAGTTTTCCAGTGTTGGATAACAGTCTGAATTGAGGATCTCTCCAGATTCTAACACCTCGGAATCCGTGTCATTTGCTACATCTGTTTAGATACTGTTTACATTCATCTTTTCGTACCCTTTCCAGGTCTGATCAGTTTCTCACTTCCGCAGTGACTGTAATAATAGCGGGTGATTGTCTCGCCAACTATCACATTAGTCTTTTTCTGAAATTTTTCTTTCAATCATGTGTTTTGCATGCTTTCCCACGCATCTACAACATCTATTTTGCTTTCACAGCACTTAGCTTGAGCTACGCAAATCGTGAATTTGCAGCAGTTTTCAACATTAATGAGATTCGTCATTTTTTTTCCATGTACGTCCGAATTTGGAAAACCGCCTATTTTAGACAAATTTTAGATGTATCTACAGTTGCGGACAAGCAAACGCCACCAATTTGGTAGCCATCCAGCGTGAATTTTTTGTGCCAAACCAAGGCCAGATCTGAACTCAGGGAGTGAAAATACGTCTAAAAACAGTAGTCCGAAGTTTTTCCCACGAGGTTTTTGGCCCGCCAAATGTTTGGACAATTTGAAAGATGTTGTGTACCCCCCCGGCACCATTTTGGGGGCCTATATTACCAAGACGACATGTCATTGACAAAAAAATCATTCTAATTTAGCTATGTAGACTTTATTGCGTATGATTTCACCCATTTGCGGCTCAGCCGCGAGAAGTTCAGGAGCATTTGAAGGACCTTCCAGGGGTAATTACCTCAACACTTACCATTTTTAGCGCTAGAACGGCTTGTTGTTTTTGTAATATTTCAATGGAATCATGCACGGGACATCAAAAGGAAGCGATTGCCATATTTTTCGAGATTTTAGCGATTTATTTATGGTACTGCCAAGATTTTGGCCTAGAAAATCCTCAAATGAGAGTTTTGGACAATCTGCTCGTGCAAATCCATTGCACTGGTCCTCAAAAAACATATTCTGCACTAAAAATGGGTTCCCAGTCATTTGTGGCAGGAAAAATCAGTCTTTGGTGTCATTCAAATTTGCTGATTTTGGTTGTCCGCAACTGTAACATGCACAGAGATTATGTAATATAATATCTTAGCTTCGAAGTACTTGCAGCATTTGAGGTAGGGTCTATCGCTGGTGTTGGGAATTTCAGAAAAAGACTAATGTGATAGTTGGCGAGACACGTAATCACCCACTATTAATCTTATTGGGAAGCTCAGGTGTCTAGTTTGGTGCACAAAACCCACCCATAACTAAGCCATGGCACGAGATCCACCTAATTTTTTGCCAAAAAAAAATACATGGTCGTGTGTATTATGTTGGGAGGAACCTACATGTAACATACATAAATATTCTGTGCAGAATTGCGTCTGCTAGAGTTAATGCACGAACTCGTGGGACTATCTAGTAGTAGTATCTGCAAGCGTTTAATTGAGAAAGAAAGAAGGGAAAAGGCCAGTGCAATTACTTTCCCACATCCACTGACTAAGCCAGCGCATCTTTCCCACACCCACGTCTGTTTGCAGAGAAATGTTGATTTGCTTGCCACAGAATCCTCTTCCACTAAAGTGGAGTTGGGGACTCTTTTGCTGGTGCCTTCATTCAACTCGAACGCAATGCCTCCAAAAGCTCGTGCTGCTGCAATTCACCTCGGAATCGCTCGGTCTGCCCCTGGGCGCCTCGACATCGGCAGTCTGACATTGCAAGATCCATCGATTGCTGCCCCCGTCCGTAGGCCCCCAGCTGCCTACACCATCGAACCCGCCATCGAACCTCCGGTCACCGATATCACAAAAATTGAACTAAACGATCTTGGCACCTTCTGCCATTTCTGCTCAGATGGGTGTGATACAACAACATCCTACATGTGCGTCAAATGTGGCGCCGTTATGTGTCACCAAACACGGCCAGGCGGATCTGGATGCATTGGCCATGACTCGGTGCCTAAGAATTGGGAGTTCCTGTGCCCACTGTGTGCTAGAAAGGTTGATGGAAAGGAAAGGAGCTTGCCTTACAAGGTAATCGGCTATGGGATGCGCAAGAGGGTGAAGAAGGCGTGGCCAGCTTGCATTGTTCACATAACCTTAGATTCGATGAAGGACCAATATCTGAAGCTCCTGATTAATCTTGACCTCATGACCCAATACAAACAATCTTCTGCAAATGTAAGCCACTCCTCCTCCTTGACCCCTGCAACTAACCTTTGTAATCAACAGTTGACCACAGCTAGCCTAGCCATGAAGGCAGGGGCTCATGGCAAACAATCGCGTCTGTTGACAATACCTTCGAGCTTTATCACCACCTCCATGTTGGAAAACGTTCCCAGCAATACCTTTGTGATCATGGACACTCACTCCGATGAGTACACCGGTATGTTGCAGCATACCGGTGGGGCTTCCGGAGGGACCAACACCACGGCTGCAGAAATCATACAAGCCTACCTCGGTAAGCAGTTCATAGCGGCGATGAGGTTCGCGTCAAATCATGCGAGGGAGGATGAGTCGGTGGAGACCACCGCCATGGGCGGCACGCCATGGTGCGATACCACACCAAAGGCGAGGGGTGGACGACGGGGACTTATCCTTGTCACTTGTGGGCCTGCCATACGGGTCAGTCATCACTTTGACTCACTGCTGAAACTGGTGAAGGAGTAAGTGGTATTGCATTAGTTTATCGCAACGTCCCCCTCACATGTATCTTAGCGACACCTTTGATTTCGTCATTGGATTTGGAGGAGCCTCGACCCTCCCTGTGAACGTTGGCCCCATGGTTCAAGCCTTTGTTCGCAATGCTACACTGTTCGGAATACCGGATGTCTGGGACTCATTGTGCGAATTGCTCGCCTCCAGTCCAGATGTTTTAGACTACAACACTGTGGTGATTGTCTATGGCTCATATGTGGAGGGGAAGCGCATAGTTGAGAGCAGAGAGATAAGCAAGCACCGTCCTCCGTATCGTGCGTTTGGTCATGAGTTCAGTGCATGTGCAAAGGAGGGCTGCCGTCCCGCGGTATCGGATAACCGGGTGTCAACAAAGAACGGCAAGGTTCGCATCACCTGTGCAAAGTGTCAATGGACATCCGCCTGGGTGGCTATTGATGAGGACAACGAGTATTTCTTCCGCATCAAACCTACCATTGCTCCAATGCTCTTCTGGCACCATTTCCCCCCATCAGCTGGACTCAACAACTTTTTCGTGAACGCCACGCGAGCCCCGGATCGAAAGGGACTCCAAGGGGAAGAAAAGACAGGAGGCCAAAGCTGAAGCATCCACTCGTCGCCCTGCAAAACGCCGGAGGTTGTCAAGCTTGGAAGGGTCAATCGGTGATGGCAAGGAAGGGTTGCCTATGACATGTGAATGATGTGAACGCCCTTCCGTCCATAGCTGAATTCCTTTTGTCTACATTTGTTTACAATGTCAATGGTTGCAACTCAAAGCCAAATTGTTTTCGGTTGATTTGAATATGTAGACTTAACAACTAAAAACTTGCCTGCTACCACCAATTATTGTGTGGGGTGTACCTGACCAATCTATAACGTGTTGAAGCAAAAATGGGTACAGAGGTAAATCATTGACATCATGGTGTTACATACGATTTGAAAAGGTCACCCTTAACTTATCATCACGGTGCGACTGTAAGTAATACTCGTACACGTTAGTGTAAGGATTCCCTATCCTCTACGCGCCAACCAAGGCTTCAGATGGAAATGTCCACGTTACTCATCTGATGCTTCTTCGCATTCGAGTTACGTGGATACATCCCCTTGTTTTCACGGAATATTTTCAACTCGACCACATGCCTTCCTGCTCGTCTCTAAACGTCTTCTCATTTTCAACCTCGTGTCATCTTAAACACGTCTCATATCTACATTGTTTCGTTACTATTCCCCTTCGAACCTACAGCCAGCCTTACATTAGTGGAGCTGGTCTCCGAGCGGTAATGCTGTTGACCTGTTTGAGAAGGCTGAGGGCATTCTTCCCCTTCCGCTCCTAAATCAGACATTCGTCTGACGTTCGATCCTGTCGAGATACTCTAGAACGGAAGAACGCTCCTACTTGATCAGTCTATGAGCAATGAAATGGAAATCAGCTTTGTGAGCAGGTGAAACAAGAGTAGAGGTGGGGCGGACTGGAATGATGTTTAAAATCACGATTGCAACCAGCGACATAACGAAAAGATCTATCGGACAAGTTGAGATAACACTGAACTTGTTGAAATGATACAGTTCTTTAACGCGGCATCGAATTGATACGGTCGATACAAAAGGGATACGATCTTTGTTCACTTGTGTCCATCGTATAGATAAATACATGGCAGCCTGTCCGAATTTACATGGAAGACTTTTGACAGTGATGGATCGGTAAGCTGGCCATGGCAGCCAAAGCAACTCATGGCATGGAGTCATTAGTCAGATTTAAACGATATTCTGCACGTTAAATATCTATTATGCAGTGCGACACGCGTGAGCATCACGTCACGTACACCAAAAGGTATAAATCATGACGGAGACCATTCGCGTGCAGCGCTTCCAACCCACGAGTGGTACACCCATATTGTTACAGTTTATATAGCAGGAATTGACTAACACTTGATGTACTATTGTGCCCTCCTGCACGGCATGTCAGCCGAGTTCGGACTTCCCCTTGGCAGGAGAAGGGAAGGTACACATGATGTCTGAATGACTCCAGACCACGACATCCTTACCAGGGAGGGCAATAATTCACTTGGAGAGACAGAGCCCGTGCATCATTGGTCATTGGGTAACGCCGCCTCACTAAGAAAACAATCAGATAGATGAGTATATGAGCGCAGGAGTTTCGGGCTTCTTGCCAAGGCCTGTCAACCACATGTCTCCTTGACAGGAGAAGGGGACGTCATGAATGCTAAATGTCTGGATGACTCCAGAACACATGTCACTGGAATGTGACACGGCAAGGTACATGACGGTGTGGAGAAGCTCAAAGAAAAGTTGAATGTTGGGCAAATCATTAAGTACATGATACAGAACACCAAACATACCATCACACAACCACACATGAAATTGTGGCAACTTATCACGATGCCAAATACAGACAAATACAAACGATAAACGAATTTCAATGCTACTGATGTACAGTGCGTTGCAAATGACTTTAGAGTCTCATTTTCAAAATTTCGCCAACCAGTACAAAATACAATTGTGATCGTGATATAACGCCTTACTCAATAGACAGTAGTAATACAAATTTGACCATGGACAACACGTCTGTAACATCATAACACGTCCGCGTGAACACCGATACAAATACAGTTAAGGCAATCGCCACGACGTAACCCAATCATCGACAACACGTCTGTCACATCAGAACACGTTTGTGTGAACACCGATACAAATACAATTAGGACAATCGCCACGACGTAACATTTCATCCCTTGGAACTAGTTGCCTCCAGTGCCGTCTCAGACTTCTTGTGAGGTGGTCGTAGGCCATTGGTTTCGCTGTCCAGATGATGCTTTGCTGGGACACTGGCGCTATGTTTGAGGATGTTGATCCCGTCTGCTTTCGCCTGGAACGTGTCATATCCGCCCAAGTGCCAATGCTGAATCAAAAAATGGACTTCAACTAAAGCTCCTTCCAGAGTTCTGTTGATGTCCAAAGGTGCGACAGGTTTTTTCGTCCTCAAAAACTGGCAGAGGGAGGACATGATGGGAATACTTGACATGGGCAAATTCGTCTTCGTAAACAGTTGGCACAGGCAATTGTCTGTAGTGTCATCCCATCCCGGGGCGTTTGACAGTTGCCGACTATGAGGAGAATCAGGAAACAGGCAACTTCTACCACCAAATATATAAATACTCATTTAAAAAAAAAGGACGACTCACCCTTGGTTCAAAGACGTTAGTCACAACTACGAAGCATCTCACCTGTCACGTCGAATAATACAAATAGCATAGGCAACAGGCGATTTCGAAAATGGAATCGGAAGCAAGGTCAAAGTTCGCATGGCGGACCCCTAGTCAGATCAAGTCTTGTAGGATAAAGGCAGAGAGGTCGACAACACTAGCGTGGGAACGGGGATCCGTAGTCAGAAGAACTTCCGGCAGGCGGCACGACCGCTCCGTACGAGCCGCGACTCGACGACCTTTTCAAATCTGACAAATATTGGCTCTTCAATAGAACCATGTGAACACCTCTGACAGTCACAAATAAGTAGTTATCTCATCTTGAACATGAATGCTAGTTTCCATTAAGCATTCCCTTGTCTCACCATGACTGCAGCCATCAACAAAGCTTTATACAACGAAACAAGGGTACATCATCGTCCCAAATCTCATTCCTTCAGAGATGTTCGAGGCCCTCAAAGAGGCATGCGAGCATGCTATAGCTAAGACCAGAACTGGATCATGGCCCCACCGGCGCACCGTCGGAAGACAGTTCCCTCCTTTCGACGATAGCAATCCAGATTTGTGGGGCGTTCAACACCTCATGCATCCTGACCTCGAGGAGCCCCCATTTGCAGAGTGGTACACCTCGGATGCGCTCATTAATGTTGCGAAGGAGTTGTTGCAATGCAACGAAGATGAACTACAAATGGGTATGCGTGTTGTTTGCCTGATAATTTGTCTGGTGTTGATATGTTTCGCAGAGCTTTTACACCTGCTAATCAACCCATTAGAACACGATTTTGCCCTTCGATGGCATCGTGATGATGTACGAGAAAATGCGACCGCTGAGGAAGAAGTTATTGCTCTTGGACTCTGGACGCATGGAGTGAGTGCTCGCAGTTGATGATTTGTTCGTTCTAAATGACTTCTAGGTTCAATGGAATACGCGAATATCCTCCAACGTCGACTTGTTGATGATTTATCTGAATCATGAACAGCGCTTTGTACGAGGACTCGTGTCTCTACCTCGTCCCGAAGACCCATAAACTGCCGAGAACGGAGCTTCACAGAGCTCAGTCAATGACACAAGCACCACCTGCGAACCCTTTAGACATGCCGGGAGCGATTCAAGCCACCTTGCAACGTCAGTTCACGAAAGTTTATTTCCTCGCTAAGTGTGTCTCACCAAGCTTAAATATCAAGCTGGCGAGTCGGTGTTCTATAATACAATATATTACACTGTGGAGCATACAACTCGAAACAGCGCCGCGTCGGGGGAAAGGCTGGGTCGTTGTGAGCCAAGTACAGAGCTTGCCAGGGAGTATTGCTACGGG